CGCGCGAACAAAGTCAGCGACGGCGAGTGCGGAGTGATGTGAATGCAGGCAACGCACCGAAAGGGTAGGCAAAAGAAGGTCGTACAACATCCGCCTGCGCGAGCGAAAAGGTGTGAGCGACGGAGTCTCGGGTGCGGGCGAAGAGGAGGAGGCGCAACTGACCGCAGACGAGTCCTCAAGCCTATCTACATGTTGTTGTTGACCGCCTAGCTGCGACGCGAAGGCTGCGGACCAGAGGAAGAGCGTCAGTCCGGGGGAGACGGCGAGAGAGAGTGCGAACCGCACTCACCTCGACCTCCCTGGCCGTCTTGAGGCCGCCAACGCGAGCGGGCGACGTCGTAGGTGGAGGAGCCTGCGCGGAAGTGACGAAGCGAGTCAGTAAGCATCGCGAGGGATGAGGAGCGAAATGTTGCGCACTTTGCGGTCCCGTAGCAGCTCAGCGGCATCGGCCTTGCGAAGGCGAAGGTGGTCGAGAGACTGTAGGGAATACGAAGTTGAGTCAGCAAATGTCTGTGCGGGCGAGGGAGGCTCGAAGGGTGAGGAGGAGCGAAGAGGAAGCGTGCCAACTCACCCGACTCGTCCGCCGGATCGCCTCAACGACAACGTCCATCCTGCTCGCCCAGTGCTGACCTGTGGGCAGAGAGAAGGAGGTTAGCGTGAGTGTCTGGAAAGCGAAGGAGGAAGAGGAAGGGGACGAACCTCGGAGGCGGTTGACGCCCGAGTCCGGCTTGGAGGGCGGCGTGGAGGACGTCGACGAGGAAGAGAGGCGCTCGACGAGGAGTCGGAGGGTGAAGGGGAGGGAGGGAGGGGTGCGAGAGAAGGGTGAAGCGGAGGAGGACGAGTAGGAGGATGGCGGGGTGAGGAGAGGGGAAGAGGTTGAGGGAAGGAGCAAGTGAGGTGAAGGAGGGAGAGAGAGGAAGACGAGGAGAGTCCGCTTTTAAAGCGCTGCCGCCCGCCGTCCCACCCGCTTCTCGCCCCTCCGTCTATGCGCATGCCTTCACGGCTGCGCAACTCCGGTGCATGCATCGAACCCAACTCCTCCCACCGTCTCGGAACGTTGCCTGTCGGCCACAAGCTTCGCGAGTGTCCGACGTAATCAGCCGAGGACGCGGTCGTCCGCCGAGGAGGGCGTTGTCAAGCAATCAGTAGGAGGAGGATGCCGGAGGTCGGTCCTTTGGCAGCACAGAATAATGTCGCGAAACACTCCTTTACCAGGCGCGGAATGAGGATGGAGCGACTTCGGGGGAGAGGGTCGAGTTGGGGTCGAGGCAGTAGTCTGGCGCTCGCCTTGGCTCGACGGGAGGCAGGAGCGCTCCGCGCGCTGTCGTCGTGAAGGCTTCAATACACAGCGTGGTTTGCAACACCTCGGCTGCATCAGGAAGAATGCGAGAGCGCAAACGACGAGGCCATGCAGTCGCCGTTGTTCAGCCTTGGCGGGAGTGCGCGGATTCGCACGCAGGGGAAAGCGATCGGACAATGCCAAGCGCCGTGCAGTCGAAAGCGCAGCAGCGCGCCGTGCCAGGAGGGGTGATGAAGGGTTAGGGGTTAAGGGTAAGCGGGTAGGCAACAAAAGGTAAGCGCGCGCGAAGCTTGCCAATACCACTTCCACAGGGTTGGCGCCTCCATAACGGTCAGCTCGCTCTGATGCTTTGCCCCGCCGGACTGCTGCTCTGAACGTGCTCCTACACGCTCGCTTGAATGTCGTTGCTCGACCCGCCGTCGCCGTCGAGCGCGAGCGACCTCTCGTCCAAACACCGCGACTCGTCGGCACATACACTCGCCCCCGACAGCGACGACCCGTCCTTCGACTCGGACCACATCTTGACTTCGACACCGCTGAAGCAGGCGAACGGGCGCGGCGGACGCGGGCGGGGACGGGACGACGAGGAGGGACTGCACGCGAGCGACACGGAGAGTCTGGGCGACCTGGATGAGCGGGACATCGAAAGAGGCGCGCAAAAGGGTCTCACGGATGGCTCGCATTCGCCTTTGACGCGTCGCAGCTTGCGTGAGCTCTCCTCGTCAACTCGAACCCCTCTCGCTCCTTCCTTCGGCGCGCAGAACGGGCGAGTACAGGCGAACGGGATTGCTCGACTAGACGAGCTGTATGCCCCTTCGCCAAGTACGGGGAGCAGCACGCTCGTCGACCGGGAAGAGGACTTCAGGCGGTGGAAGGAGGGACGTGAAGAGGAGGTCACGATGCAGGGGCCGCGTTTGGCCGCGAATGGACGATATGAGGGTGAAGCGGATGGGAGTGAGGACGACCACGAGACTGTCCAGCCGCCTGGAAGCGAGGACGGCTCGTCCAGCTCGCCCCGACCGCGAAGAAGCCGGGTAGGCGACCTCGCCTCGTACATTGACGCGCGGCTCTCGGCGTCTGCTTCGCCTCAGACTACGCCACGCAAGAGACCGCGCCGGCAAAGACGCGAGCCTACTACTCCCGCAGCTCCAGGCGCCTTTCCCTCGTCCGCTCGCAAATCCGGCTCCTCGTTCCGCCCCTCCGCATCTCACCCATCCTACGCCACGCCTTCTTTACGAGCGTCTACCAATGCGCCGTCTGCCGAGACGCCCACTTCGACGGGATCCTCCCAGATTCACGACGCCTTCAAGCGCCTAATTACCGGTCCAGACGGCGCACTCGCTCATTCCGCCGAGCGACGGGCCGTGCTCGAGGCCAACGTAACTGGTCCCTCGCCTGCGCGCAACGAGCCGCCCACTCCGCATCCAGCCGGCTACTACGCCTTCGTTCCATCCTCGTCGCTCCCGCTGGAGAAGAAGCCTTCGCGATGGGAAAGGCAGCTGCGGCATGATGTCGAGGACGACCGACTTGATACGCCTTCGCGAGCGGCACGCCCGGCGGATCTCGGCGGAGTACTGAAGCATCTGGGCCAGGTGCAGCGGCAGGACGGCTTCTTCGCAGACGATTGGCCGAGGGAAAGGATGCCGGACGTGCGGTACGGGGACGATCGTTCGTATGCAGACGAGGATGTGCGGCAGGAGGAGCCGCATGTCGGACGGAGCGCCATGGACTTTGCCATGGCGCGCTCGTTTACTCGGGACGAGGAGGGCGCAAACTTCGAGCAAGTGGAAACGCCCTTAGCAGCTCCTCCGCGCAGCGACTTCCGCGCCAGTACCAACGTCCGCTTCGCCGACCCCATCCACCGCGTCTCGCCCATTTCGCCTTCGACATCCTCATCTAGCCGATCTCGATCGTCTTCCTCGCCCAGGACATCCCCACGTACCGCTTATGCCGCGCCCACCCTTTCGCGCCGCCAGTCAACGACTCCCCCGTCCTCCCCGCCGCCGCAACTGCTTTTCGCGAAACAAGCTCCCGACTCGCCTCTCCTGCCGCCGCTTCCTCCGCCTCTACCACCTGCATCACCTGAGCCTCCACCTCTACAGCGTTCTCTCCGCGGCTCTGCATACCGCATCAGACGCTCCCTCAGCTTCGACGAGCCTCCTCTCGCGCCCGCCTTTCCCGACGACCCGCTCTTCTCTCCTCCTCGACCCGGTCAGCGACAAGACTGGCAGCGACCCGCATCGTCGACTCCGCCGAGGGGCAAGACGGCTAGCCCGCCTCGACCGATGGGCACGCCGCCCGACCGACCTGATCTCTCGCTCTCGCTTCGCAGGCGGAACAGGCGCGACGAGCACACCGCTGAAGACCTCTCGCTTGGCGACGGCAGGGCCGACCTTTCGGCAGATGCGACGGTGCAGAACCTCGTGTCACAGTTAGCGGCGGCCGTACAAGCCTTGACGACGTCGCAGTCTGCTTCGGCGGCACCTTCGTCCGGGCTGGACGAGCGAGGCCTGCCCCTGCCACGGCAGCCCGCAGATGGCGCACCGGAGCTGAGAACCGAGCTCGAGCGGCGGAAGAAGGAGAGCGCGGCGCGGCGGATGGAGCTTGAAGAGCAGTTGCGAAACATCGAGCGGCAAGGCGGGGCGGACGAGGTGCGTCGCCTCCTCCTGTATTCTTACTCCTTGAGCTGACACTTTTGAATTGCGCAGGACCACCGCGCATCCATGCTGCGCGAGCTCGCGGAGACGTACGAGATCGAGCACGAGCTCGGCTACAAAGTCGACGAGCTCAAGCGGACAATCGAGGGCATGGGCCAGATCGTTGGCGACCAGGTGCGCTCTCTTGTCGTCGCTCATCCACGCTCAGCTCACCGGTCAATTCGCAGGTCGCCCAGGCTGTCGACCGCTCGCTCCTGCAAGACTCGCGACGGAGGACGCAATGGCTTGCCCTAGCCTTCTGCGTTCAGTTTGCACTCTTCATAATCATCCTTCGGTGCGTTGCAAGATCACTCGACTTTCGGCATAAGCTGACTGCCGCGAGTTTCTGCAGCCTTACCAACGCCCGCACGGCATCACTCCTCCAGAACGTTTACTACGACCCCTTCTACCCGACACTCTACCACGTACCCTCCGATACCCTCGCGTACTCCCTCTCTGAGCCATACCTATCCGTCGATACCCTCGCCGCCTTTTCGCCATACCCTCGTCCGCCGTCCTTCTCTCCCTTCGCCTCCGTTTCTACCGGTCTCCAGCGCGTCAGCAACCTGCTCCAGGCTACCCTGCCCCATTGGCCAACATCGCAGGAGATGTACTCCTCCTGGTCGGAAGGGATTCTTGTGCCGTCTTGAGATGTTATGCCTCAGACCCACTTCCACGGCTCCTACTGTGCTGTATAGCGTGTTGTTGTATCTCGCAAGCGCAATGGAACAGGTCAGACGCCTCAGCACGATTACGAGGAGACGGAGACCGCCTGCCGCTTCGTTCGCCGAGGTTGTCCTGCTTCCTTTCCGCTTCTTGCCTTTCATATCCTCACTCGATCTTCGCACACTGCTCCACCTGCACTTCCCCTTCGTATTGCAGCTTCCTGCTGGCTCGCTTGGCCTCTCATGGCGGTTCATGGGCTCGGCGGAACCTCCGACGCCTCCGAGCAACCTCCGGCAGTTCTCCGCCGTCTCTCGCCCGGGACCAGCTTTTCTGGCAGGGAGCGTGCGCGTCGCCCCGGGCCTTCGGCGATTTCGGCGGAACGGGGCACGGATCCGACGTCGCCTCCACTTCGCGAAATTAGACCGCCTCTGCTCTTTGTCCTCCTTGTACCACTCCTGCTGCACTCGCTGCTACGATGTCGAAGGCTATCGACAGTCCAGCGCTATCCCAGTCACCCACGCTCGAAGGCGCGGACGACGAGCGCAAGTCTGCCCTCGCGACCTTGCCGTCTTCCGATGCCCCGGCGAGCCAGGCGAACAAGCCTCCAGCAGGTCCTCCAGGTCCCATGCAGCAGGATCCGTCGCTTATCCTCCAAGGAAGTGCGTGCGAATCGTTCTTGACGCCGCTCGAAGGTTGGACGACCCCGCTGACCTTCCCTCCTTCGCAGAGAAGCTCGCGGTCGTCTTCACGGCGATGCTGCTTGCTCTGTTCCTGATAGCGGTAGACCAGTCAATCCTTGCGAGTAAGTTCTTTATCCCCCCACTCACCCTCAGGCGAACGCTGTCGGTGCTCACTCTTCGTTCAATCTGGCAGCGGCGCTTCCTCGCATCGCTTCCGACTTCAACGCCTTTGACAAGCAGGTGCGTATTCCACACAAGCCTGACAGACTGCAAAGGCGACCGGCAGTGTCGTTGGAGACGTGGCAACAAGCGTACTGACCTCTCCGCGTGTTTGCAGGGCTGGTGCTCTTCCGCATTCGTCCTCACGCAAACCGCCTTCATCCTTTGGTTCGGACAGTTCTTACGCATCTACTCGGCGAAGTGCGTACGGCTTTTGCTGTCGAAACGGCTGTCCTCGTCCTGTTCGAGCTCAGAGGGAGCTGACCTTCTCTCTCCGACCAAACGGCAGATGGACGCTCGTCGGCTGCATTCTCCTCTTCGAAGTCGGTTCTATCATTTGCGGAGCAGCGCCCAACGTGATGGCGATCATCTGGGGCCGCGCCATCTCCGGCGTTGGCGCTGCCGGCATGTTCGTCTCGATGCTGCAGATCCTCGCCCAGGTCACCCGTTTGGAAGACCGACCTAAACTATTTGGCCTATTCGGCGGTTGTTTTGGCGCAGCCTCGGTGATTGGGCCGTTAGGTGCGTCTACCGCCCTCCTCCTCCTCTCCCCTCCTCTCCTGACTGAGATCCTCGCTTCCCGTCGAAAGCCGGCGGCGGATTGACCGATCATGCAGGCTGGAGGTGGGTGTTTTGGCTGAATCTTTGCGTGGGAGCGCCCTCCCTCGTCGGCTGCACCTTCCTCCTCAAGTCGATGCTCCCCATTGGAGCCGACCCGACGAAGCGCTCCCCTCGCGACCTTCTCCGCCAAACTTTGCGCATGGACTGGATTGGTGCGACGCTCGTACTCGGCGCTGTCACCGCCCTCGTCTACGCCCTGCAAACCGGCGGAAACCAGAAGCCATGGTCGGACGGCGGCGTTGTTGCGGTGCGTCCCGCTTCCCAGCGTCTCCTCCCGTCCTAAATCGTACTGATGTGGACACATCGTACAGTGCTTCGTCGTCGCCGGCGTACTCTGCGTCGCCATCTTCTTCTGGATGCGCTACAAGGGCGACTCCGCCCTCGTCCCGCCCGCCGTCTTCCAGAAGTCGCCCGTCTCGGTCTGCGGCATCTGCGGTGCCTCGTTCTTCAACCGTTGCTCCCTTCTCATGATCAGCTACGCCGTACCCGTCTTCTTCCAAGTCACCCGCCATCACGACGCGACCAAGTCCGGCGTCGACCTTCTCGCCTACATGCTGTCCGTCGTCATCACGGTCATCCTCGCCGGCCGTGTCGTCTCCGCCACGGGGCGATATTGGTACTTCCTCGTCGGCGCGCCCGCCTTCGGGGCCGTCGGTGCTGGCCTTCTGTACACCGTCACTCCCTCGACGAGTACGGCCAAGATCATCGGTTACCAGATCCTCTGCGGCGTCGGCACAGGCGCGACGCTGCAGAACTCGCTCTTCGCGATGCAGGCCGAGTTCCGCGATGAGATGCGGCTCGTCGCCCAGGCTACCGGCGTCGCCAGCTTCTCGCAGTTCCTTGGCGGTACCGTCTCGCTCGCCATCGAACAAGCGGCGCTCTCGACGCAGCTCGCGAAGAACTTCCCCATCTACGCCCCTCAGGCTCCGCTCGCCGTCATCAAGGAGTCACCCCTCGAGATCTACTCCCTCCCCTCCGACATTGTCCCTTCCGCCATTTTCGCCTACGTCAAGTCGCTCAAGATTGTCTTCGTGATCCCTGTCGCGTACTACGGTCTCGGAATCATCTCGGCGCTATTCATCAACAACATCTCCATCAAGCCGCCCGCCGCGGCGAAGGGCGACGCGAAGGACGCCGAGGAGGGGAAGATCGCGCCCGTCGAGGAGCCGAAGGAGAAGGCGGAGGAGGACGTCGCGAAGGGCGTCGCGGAAGGAGAGGTTGCGCGGTCGGAGGGCGTCTGAGTTGTTGCTTCTTGTTCGTTGTGTTCCCTTTCGTCGCATAGATTCGTTCCCCTCGCATCACTTCTTAGTTGGATCACTCGTTTAGTACTCGGTTGGATCGCTCACTTCAGTCCCTTCCTGTAAATCATCGATAGACTCGCGGCATGGGTGAGGCTCCGAGGAAGAGATCGTTCGCAAGAGAGCCATTTTTAAGCTAGACAACAATGCGAGGCGAGACACGCTACATCAGTCGTCCTCCTCGAATGCCCGCAACGGCTTGGCCCACAAGTTGAGCTCCATCCTGAGCGACTCCAAGCTGGCCGTCACCTCGTGCCCGAACAACCCCGCGCTCTCCTCGCCCGTCGCCGACCCATGCGCGCTCGCCGAACTACTCGACGCCGCGCCTCCCCCTCCCCCTCCTCCGCCCGACGCAGCCCAGTCGTCCTCCCCACCTCGCTCGAAAGCCCAGCGGTCCAGCTCCTGCACATCGAGTTTCGTCTTCTTCGCTCGGGCGATCTCGCGCGGCGTCGCAGCCGGTCCGGAGATGGTCGCGTCGCATTGCTTATTGAGGCGATGAAGGAGCGGTCGGAGGAGGGAGTAGTCGGTGTCGAAGGGGTAGAGGCGTGTGCAAGTCGAGAGGACGAATAACGCGCAAGGGACGTTGACGTTGTGTACGTATCCGCCGATGACACTGAACGGCATCCAGACGCGGCTCTCGACGCCCCATCGGAGGATGACGAGCGCCGACTCGACCGCCATTCGGGCGAACTCGCGCGTTTGCGGATCGGACAGATCGAGCTTGTCGGCTGCAAAGTCGCGGAAGATGTACATGAGGAGCCATTGGCGGGTGTGGTGGAACGGGACGATCGACTTGACTGCGCGAGAGGCGAGGCGAGGGGTCAGTCCTGTCGAGCTTGTGCGAGAGCAAGGAAAGCTGGCGCAGACGCACGGTCGGGCGAGTCTCCCCACGACGTGATCTCCTGCATGTGCGCCGAGTTGCGCTTGTTCCACTCGTCCACATCCCTGATCGCATCCTTAACGACCTCGAACACCTCCTCGACAGTCGGGTACAACAACCTCGCTGCGGGACAAAGTTTCCCATAAACCTTGAGGAGGATAAAGTTGCCCTCCATGTTGGTGCGGATGACGCTGTCGGTTGGCTGTTCGGCGTAGACTGATCCAGCGAGGACGTCGAGTCGGTGTCGCATGATGTCCATGCCGGTCGTGATGTACCCGGCTTGTCCACGGACGTAGGTATAATGCGAGACCCACAACCACCCGATGAATCCCACGCGCGAGACGTTGATCAACCTCCTCCCGACCGGTCCGCGCTTCTCCTCCTCGCTCAGTCGCTCAAAGTCGAGCACCGCAGAAGGCCAGAGGTACCTCCACCCTGCCATCCACGAGTGCGCGAGCAACTCGGGCAGGGAGTGGTACAAGCCGAGGAGGAAGAGGGCCTTGAGGGAGAGAGTCGACAGGCGCGGTTCGAGCATACTGTTCGGGTCTGGCGCGCCGTTGGCCGAGACGGGACTCGTCTTGGCTGTATTGCTGAACGTCGGGAAGAGGAAGTCCTCTGCGTTGGACGAGGACGGGGCGATGTCGGCTCCAGGCGGGATCGTGTGAACGTGCGGATTCGACTCTCCGAAGAAGGCGGTAGGGATGAAGCACAACCTCGCGAGACGCATCGCTTCGCGGTACGTGGCGTGGAAGGTATCGAAGCGTGAGAGCGCGCGCGCGCCGATCGAGACGACGACGCAGAGGAAGAAGGGTGAGCGGCGGCGGGTTTCGTCGAACGAGAGGTGCGGGACGTCCGAGGGCGAGTTGCTGAGTCCTTGAGGGGCGAAGGTGAGGTGGTAACTGTTACAACATGGAGAGAGAGCGGAAGGGCGGGGAATTAGGCATGAGGGTAAGGAGGTGGAGGGTCACGTCTTTTCTCAGCCGCAGTCCATCATCGTCAGGCCGGGCCTCGCACACGACACACTCGGGAAAGCGCGCAAACTCACGATTCGAAGCACATCTGCGCCTCCTCCTCGCTGACCAACCCGCGCGCGATAAAGTCCTTCTCCTCCGTCCCAGGCTCGGCAATCGTACCCTGCAGATCCCCCTTCCACCTCTTCCCGCGATGCAAGTCCCCATCACTCGCTTCATGCTTCAAACCGCCTCCGTACCCTCCTGTGCCGTTTGCAGGAAACGTCGGAAACGCCTGCTGCTGAGGAGCGCCATACATCCCCTGCTGCTGCGGCTGCTGACTCTGCGCAAGTTGCTGCCGCTGGACAGTCAACTGCAACGCATAAAGTTGCGCTTCGAGAGTCGCTATCCGCCTGTCGTGGTCCGTCACGATTTGCGGCGAGATGGAGGAGGAGGAGGGAGCGGAGGAGCCGTTGGAAGGGACGAGCGCGCGGGAGGAAGAGGTTTCTTGTTCGAGCGAGGCGAGGCGTTGTTCGAACTGGGAAAAGCGGCTACGAGCGATAATGTACCGGTCAGCACGGACTTGCGAAGCGAGGAAGCGAGGAAACGCACCTCTCCACCCAGGCTTCGGTCACGCCCGTTCCGCGCGGTCTCGGCGGTGCAGCAGGAGGCGCCTCGAAAACGCAGTCGACGCCTGCGGCACGACACCTCCTACACGGCGCCTTGTCGGGTCCTTCGCACTTCATCTGTTCCGTCCTCGCTCGTCAGTCAGGCTCTTCGCTCGAGGGTTGAGACTCCGGGGCGCACCTTCTGTTTCCTGCACAAGCTGCACGCCATCGCGCTCCTCGCCTTGGGCAACAAATGACCCTGCTGTCCCTGTGCTCCCGGGGTCGACGGACTCGCCTGCGCCTGAGGCTGCGGAAGTCCCGCATGCCCACTCGCCGGCGTCTGCGGCCCCACGCTCCCCGCCGCACTCCTCGCCAACGGCGCATTCGTCGTCAACCCCATCGCGGGCGTCGCGCCCCTCGACGACGTCGACCCTCCCCCTCCCGCTCCAAAGGCGGCTTCGCTCGCTGAGGCGGGTCTCTGAGGCGGGTGCGGCAGCTGGGGGGCGTAGGCTAGTCGGTGCTGAGGAGGTGCATGGGGTTGCTGCTGTTGTTGCTGTTGCTGGTGGAGGGGCGGGGCGTACTGGTTGAGCGGGGGGAGGGCATACGGCGAGTGAGCGTGCGAGTGAGGGTGCGAGTGGCCGTGGTGGATGGGCGGGATCATCTGTTGCTGTGGTTGCTGGGCGTAGTACCCCTGCTGAGCCAGTGCGTACCCGTCGCCCTGTCCGTGCCCTTGCTGCTGCTGAGCGGGCTGCTGTGACGAGTAGAGTGCGCCGACCGGGTCGAGCGGGTCGAGCGGGAACGACATGCGGGTGAGTGTGTGAGCGGTACAGTAGGCTGCCCACTCCAGTCGGCTGGATGGGAAGCAGTGTGCGTTTGAAGCGATGAAGCGAGCGAGCAAGCGTGTCTCCCGCTCCGCTTTGGTCAAGAGGAGAACGGGAGTCGGGTCTCCCGGCGTAGAGCATCTCTCCCTCGCTTACAGCACTCCTGTGTCTCTCTTGCAGCACAGCAAACAGCGTCGCAGCTCCATGCAGGGCAGACGCGATGCGAGGCGAGAGGGCAACAGGGACGAGGGGAGCGATCGACGAGCGGGATGGGCGACATCGACCCGGGCGCATTCCTCGCACCCGAGGGTACAGTAATCCAGTCCCCTCGGTACAGCGTGCATCGGAGTCGAGAGCAGTCTTCGTGAGGCTGCGCGTCGGCGACGGTGGGAGCCGAAGAGGCGAGAGAACAGGGAAGTCAACGCGGTGTGTGAGGTATAGGTGCATTGCGAGCGAGCGAGCGGGTACTCGCTGTTGGTGCCGTCGAGGCGGTGAGGGTGGTGATACACGCGAGTGAGGGAAGACCAAAGACAGAACATGGGCGAGGAAGCCGTGCGAGACGAAGAAGGCGGATGTCGCGGCGTCTAGTATGTCGGAACGGCGACCTCCTGCGTGAGTGGTGAAGGACAGGTCAGTACGGGATTGGGTGAAAGCAGCAGCCATAGCCTGTCCCCCAAATCAAGGGCAGACTGGACTTCAGTCTCGCTCATTCGCGGAAACTCACCAACGCCTCAACCTCCTTCTTAACACCCTCAAACTCCTCCCCAAACTCCCTCTCCAGCTCCTTCGCCTTCTCGCCATTGTCCTCCTTGCCAGCCTTGCGCTTGGCAGCCTTCTCGGCGACCATGACGCACGAGGTTGGGCGCTTGGTCGACGAGGCGAGACCGAGTGATTCTTTCGAGGTTACCCACTGCGTGCCGAAGAGCGTCAGCGAGTGAGCGGAGGGCGGTGACGGGTTCGAGGGTGAGGAGGAAGGAGGGGAGGAGAAGGTGTAGGGAGGAGAGGAGAGGGGAAGGGACGAACGATGTAAGGGCAGTTTGCCTCCTCGGCCAAAAGCGGGATGTGCGTGAGGATATCAAGCGGCGAGATGTCCGCCGCAAGGACGACGATGCTGCGCGCGTTCCCAAGCGAGTCAGTTTGGGGGAAGGAGAGAAAGGGATAGGATGGGAACGGGACGAACCCCTTCTCGCCCTTGCGGATGGACTTGACGACTTCTTTCACGCCACGCTTGAGGTGTCGGGACTTGGAGGCTGGCGTAGGAGAGTGAAGTCGAGAGCAGGGAGGCGGTGCGATGGGGACCAGGAAGAGGTCAGCCGCGCGACACTAAAGGCTCACGAACGCAGCGTCTAGAGCGTCTAGAGCGCCACACTCGTCCACAAAGCATCGTCGAGCGGGCACTCACCCTTCTTGACAAGCTTGAGGACGTGCTTCCCCGTCTTCTTGACCGCCAAAGGCTTCGCAATCTCCGCCAACTCTCCCACAGGCGCGTCCTTCTCCCCGTCCTCTCCCGCTGCAGCCTTCTCCTTCTTCTCCTTCTTCGACTTCTTCTGATGAGGGGAGGCGGACGAGTCGACGGCGGCTGAGGCGGAGGGGGTGTCGACCTCCATTGCGGACGCGTCCGAGGCGGCGGGCGCGGCGTTGGATTCGTCGAGAGTGCGCTTGGATGACTTGCCCATCTTTGGGGGTGGTAGTGCGGCGTGCAAGCGCGGGCGGTGATGAGGATGGGAGGGTGAGCTCGACTCGGCGGAGACGAGGAGCAGGTCGGCTCGACTCGCTCGTTGTGCCGCAGGAGTGGCCTTGAGTAGAGTGTTACACTGTCAGACAATTTACTGGCTACTAGCGAACAGACCAGGAGCGAGTGACCCACCCTCTCCTCCTCCCTACCTCGTCCTCTCCTCGACGCAGTTCCCTTCACGCATGCTCGGAGCGACACACGCTGCTGTCCGCTTTGGGCGTGGCTCTGCGTTGCTTTTCCTGGCTCGGAGCTCCACAGCCAAGCACGCTCGTGTTCTAGCGCCATTCCAATCCCGTCTCGACGACATCATCAAGGGGAGCCCGAGGTCGCATGCCGCTGCCTGGCTTAGCTTTTGACGACGTGCAGCTCCCTCTCACCTGCTCACTCACCGACACGCGCTGTACACCATGCCACGCCTCTCCAGCTGGGCAGCGCTCCCCCTCTTGCTCGCGACGGCCCCCTCGTCGCTAGCTGCCCCGCTCCTCGCCGCTCGCCAGTCAAACCCAAAGACCCTCGACAGCTGCTTGCAGAACGCAGGGCTCTCGCCTGTCACCACCTCGTCGACCAACTGGGACCGCGACTCGGGTACGTCCGCCTCCTCCCTCCTCGATGGAAGCGAACACCGAGGGCAACTTCTTCCCTGCTCTCGGAATCTCCGTGACACACATTGGGTCGCTGAGTACTAACGATCCCTACGCATGAACAGCCGCCTACAACCAACGCCTCGAGCCCACCCCAACCGCGATCCTCTACCCGCTCTCGCAAGACGAGATCTCCTCCGCCCTTTCCTGCGCCGCCCAATCCGGTTTCTCCGTCTCTGCCCGTGGAGGAGGTCACTCCTACGCTTCCTACAGTCTCGGCGGGACCGACGGGGCGCTCGTCATTGACCTCGGTAACCTGGTCGACATCTCGGTTGATTCGAACGGCGTCGCGGCGATTGGAGGCGGCAGCAGGTTGGGAGATATCTATCTGGCGCTCGACAAAGAGGGGTGGGCGGTTGCGGCGGGCGTGTGTAACGGGGTTGGGATCGGTGGACATGCTGGATTTGGAGGTGAGTCCGGAGTCGACCTTCTCGGGCGCCGCATCCAGGCGAGCTGACTTCTCGCTGCTCTCCTTGCGCAGGATTCGGCTACCCGAGTCGCATGTGGGGACTGCTGAGCGACCAGGTCGTCGGGTGAGTCGCGTGCCTTTCGAGAAGCGGACTTCGTTGACCGCTCAAAGTCGCGTTGCCTTCCGCTGCATCTCAATCGACGGCTGACCTTCGCTCCCACCCGCCAGCTACGACGTCGTCCTCGCCAATGGCACGGCCTTGACGAACCTCACCCGCGACCAGAACCCGGACCTCTTCTGGGCTCTGAACGGCGCCGCGCCCAACTACGGCATCGTGACCAAGTACTACGTTCAAGCGCACCACAAGCCCGCCACGGCCGTCGTCTTCTCGTACACCTACAACTCGCCTTCGACCGTCAATGCCGCGACGGCTTTCGAATCGTTCGCCTCGTTCGGCAACACTTCGGCGCCCGCGAACCTCGGTATCACGGCGACTATCGGTTCGGGCAGCATCGAGATCTCGGGCGTGTGGTACGGCCCTCGCGCAGAGTTTGACGGCGTCATCCAGCCTTTGCTCGACGAGCTGCTGCCTCCCGACTCGTCCGACGTCGAAGCGATGAGCTGGATCGACAGCGCCACGAAGCTGGCTGGAGTCGACGACCTCGCTACGAACGGCAAGATGCTCCAGTCGCGCGACTCGTTCTACGCCAAATCGATCATGACACCCTCGACTATCCCCGTTTCCGTCGACGTCCTCGAATCCTTCTTTGACTACCTCTGGCACTCGGGCAAGGGCGGCGACACCAACTGGTTCGTCGAAGTCAACACGTATGGAGGCGCAAACTCGGCTATAAACAACGTTTCCCTTGCCGACTCGTCGTTCGGTTTCCGCGACAAGCACCTCACGTTCCAGCTTTATGCGTCGTCGTCGACTTATGGCAACCCGTACCCCGACGATGGAGTCTCGTTCGTCCAGGGAATGTATGACACGGTTGTCGATGGCATGACTGCGAAGGGCTGGTCGAACAACTCGTCTTCGCCCGACGGCTACGCGGGATACGTCAATTACGGTGCGCTGCGTTCGCTTTGTGCCCTCACAGACTCGCCATGCTGACATGCTTGAGCTGTTCTTGCCGTTCCAGTCGACCCGCAGCTCACGTTCGACCAGGTCAAGAACCTCTACTGGGGGTCGCAGTACAACAAGCTCTCGGCTCTCAAGGCGCAGTACGACCCTCAGCAGCTGCTCAACCGTCCTCAAGGCATTCAGCCCAGCTCGAGCTAGTCGCAAGGCTGCCGTCTGCCGGCTGCCCCTCCTTCTCGCCTTCCTCCTCGTCCGCCTTCGTCTTTCTCTCCGTCGTACATATTCACATACCCTTAGCACTCCAGGCACTTGTTTTTTCGCCGGACAGACCCTACTTAAGCTTCTAACAGACACTCACTCGCATCATTGTAGCGCATCCTTTCCCCTCTTTCCTCCTCGCCATGTCCGGCCGCATCTCTTCCTCCATTCAGGCATCGCAAATTGCATCGTATCTATTCGCTCGTAACGCTTTCACGGCGTCTTGATGGCGAGAGAAGGGCTTCCATGGTCCTCCCCACTTCGCCCGACCCTTCTCTGCGTGTCTTCCCTTCCTTCACACCACGCTCACAGCTCCGTAAGGCTTGCGGTTGCTTGCTCTGTGCTATTTCAGACTGGTGCGACTTGCTATGGTTGTCGGCGCGCGCTCAGAGGGTCGCGTTACGGTGGACGGCGGACTCGGGTGATGAGGATGTCGAGGGAAGGAGGGACGAGCAGGGACGGCCGGGGACCGCCAGGACGGCAGCAGTAGCGTGTTGGGACGGCTCTACCGGCGCTGGCTACGGGACGTGGGACGAGACGAGTTGGGGAGTCTTCGGGACGAGCGATGAGGAGGAGAGGGTGGTCAAACACAGTTCGAACGGCGTTGAACGTCTGAACTGACAGTTCGTGTCGCTGCTGCAAGACACCATGCCTATCGAACTCCCCGGCTTGTTCTACCAGATCCCTCGCAACCCGGCCATCGCCGTGAGTTCCGCCCCCTTCTGCCTCCCGTCTTTCCTTTGACGGGCATTGCATGCTGACGACGTGATCCAACACTCACAGGTCGGCCTCCCTCTCGCCCTCGGCATGCTCAACGGCCGCATCACCAAGACGAGCGTCGAGACCTGGTTCGAGAACCGCCGCCAACCTCCCGGCCAACCTCCTCGCTGGGCCTTCCCCGTCGCCTGGACCTACCTCTACATCGGCATGGGCGCCGCGTCGCACCTCATTGTCAAGGCTTTCGACGCCGCCGTCCCCGGCTCGCCGCTCAAGCTTGTCGCCGACTCGGCGCTCAAGTTGTACTGGGCGCAGTTTGCGCTGAACCAGGCGTGGACTCCGGTGCGTGCGAGTTCAGCTTAAGAGCCTTCCGCAGACGCGCTGACGAGTCCTCGCATATCAAAGCTCTTCTTTGGCCTTCAGAAGCCCCTCCTTGCGCTGATCGACATTGGTGCCCTCACGCCGCTTGTCTACAAGCTCGCCAACGAGGCGTACAAGGTCGACACTCGCACGGCTTTCGCCTTCGTGCCCTACTGCCTGTGGTTGACGTATGCGTCCTATCTCAACGGTGCGTGCCGTTTTCTTCGGTCCGGCTTGCAGCATTCGAAGCGCGCTGACGAGTTCTCTTGCGCCCAGCCGGTTTCTGGTGGCTCAACGAGGGCAAGGCGCAGGTCGACAAGGCCAAGAAGAAGGACCTTTGAGCGCTTCGATAGCCCGCGCACGCACGCGAGCTTGTTCTTTCTCCACGCCGTACATCCCCGACTCGCAATGCCCTGTACAGATGCACGTGCCGCAGCTCCCTCGTACATGCGAAACGGCGAAGCGCGATTCACGGAGGCGCTGAGACGCAGGGAAGGCGCGGACGGAGTTTCACGAGCGGCCTTGGCCCGGCACCCAGCTCGGTTTGCTCGGTGGCCGAAGTCCGTCATCCATTGACGCTCTCCCGCCCGTCCCCCGAAACCTTCCCCCGGAGACAGGTGCGCGCGTCTTTCCTTTCCCATTTCCCCCTTCGACACGCTCGCGTGCGTCCTTTGATCGACGAGCGTGCCTCTCTCCGGGAACCGTTCTGCTTCTGCCGTTGCCCACCTCGACAAGCGCCATCTTGCCCACGGGCTTCATCAGAGAACGAAGACGCGCGGTTCGCGCCTGCTTGGCCTCTTCACCTCCTGCAACTCGTCCTCTGCGTCCCCTCGACTCGCGGCACGGCGTCTGCAAGCGGTGTATGCGTTTCTCCGCACATACGCTGGCACCCTGTGCGGCACTCGCTCGATCGGCCCTGCCTCGCGTCCCTTGGAGTCGACACCCGTAACTCCCACCTGAGCTTTTCACGGACGCCTGACGCCTTTCTTGCTTGCCTGAGCTCCTGTTGACCGCCTTCGACGCTGATCGGCTGATCCCCTGCATCAAGCAAGAGGAGGAGCGCCTCCCTCTCTCCCTCACCCTCCTCCGCCGGCCCCCGCCTCCCCTTTCACGCCCACACATTCCTTTGGGACCGCCTACGTACCGTCGACGCCCCGCCTGACCCGTTACGAGGACGTCAAGGAGGCGACCCGAGCGCTTTTCATTGTGCTAGCGCTGGTTCAGCTGTTTGGCTAGCGCGGCATCCTGAGACCCTCGTCCTCACGGACGCTCGTCCTCCCGGCTCCCCTCCGCCTTCGACTGCTCACTTGCCGGACACCAGCGGCGACCAGAGGCGTCCTGTCGCGCAGAAGCAGCAGCTTGCCGGCCAGCCAGACCCAGCAGGTACGTCAACAGGGCCGACCCGCTCTTCCTCGTACCTCGCCCAGCACAGCGATCACTCACGGGTTCTCTCCGGTGGCATGCTCGATTTACAGCCTCCAATCCCGCTGGGATAGAGCATCCTCGCCGACGTTCCTCGAGGAAAGCGCCGAAGCTGAAACGGGTGAGCCTCCCGCCATATCGCCTAAGACTTGCGCGCTCTCTCGTTCCGCCCCAACCTTGTGGACACCTTGCTGACGGTCTCGTTCGGTCGACAGCTTCGCCGATGTCGGACCAGCAGTATCGCTGGGAGCAGCGGCCTCAGTACGCTGGCACATACGACCGGTCAGGTCCTCGCCCGACGTCGTATCACGAGCAACAATACGCTGCGTACGACTTTGATCGTCACCCTTCATCGACCGCTTCCGCACTGCTGCCCGAGTACCGCCCGCAAGCCGGCCATCTCCCTCCTCCCGCTTACCCATCCTCGCACTCGTCGTCCAATCGGAGTCGGTCGTCTTCTGCCGAGCAGCAAGGCGTACCATCGCATGCGCCCGTGCATTCGACCTATGTCATACCCTCGCAGCATGCTGGTCACCATCACACGCACAGCCAGGAGACCATCTCCCCTTCCTCGATCTACCAGCACCAGGTGTCGGCGTCGCCCGTGCACTATTCACCTCCGACTCCGCTCGTCGACACCTTCCCGCCCGGCACGTTCTCGCGGCCCGCCTCGCGCTCCGACTATGTCCCTGCTCCCCTCCGTCGAGCGCCTTCGTTCCCCAACTCGCGCAACGGAGGCTCGTCTCTTCCCGCCGGCCTCGTCAGCAACGTCGACACCTGGACTGGAACAGATGCATCTGCCTCTGCATCGACGTCCTCCCTCGACTTGACTGGACCGCCCAACATCGAGCTCAGCCGCCCGCCAGCAAGCCGGAAGAGGAGCGCCACCGCCGCCGCCACCGCCGAGAAGCAGGCGCCTCGCCGAAGGGTACCAGCGTCCTGCACACCTTGTCGCAAGAAGAAGTTGCGGTGCAATCGCTCGATGCCGTGCTCGTCATGCGTTGAACGAGGCGAACCATCCGGATGCATTTGGGAAGGGTGCGTACGCCTCCACTCGCTCCAGGTCGGATTGCTCACCTCCTTCGTCGTACAGCGACGCCGTTCCCCTCTACACCGTTCGGCAGGAGAACGATGTCAAGGAGCTCAAGGCGCAGGTCGACCGCCTCCAGCACCTCCTCGACGCGCTAAGCCGTGCTCCGCCTCACGCTCCTCGACCCGAGCCTCCCCTCGCACCCCGGCCCGTCGTCCGACCAAAAGAAGCGCCATCCCCTCCCCGTCCTCGCTTCGACCTGAATGCACAGGATTTCTGCGGCGCCTTGTCCGGCTTGGCGCTGACAGGTCCTGTACCGTCGCACCAGTCAGTCGGCTGCGAGTCGTTCGCCCCCGGCGGCACGAGCGGCGCTGCCTTCATCTACGACGCGGGACGCTTCCTCAGCGCCAACGAGAAAAAGCGGCCCAGCCTTGCGACCGCGGCACTCACGCCGACCTCAGGCGTTCCTTCGCCACCTTTCTCCGGCGCGACCTCTCCCGAGCAGTCGACTGCCGCCCTCTCTCCGTCTCCCATCGCCGTCAATGCCGCCTTCCTCAATGTCCGTCCGACCATGTCGCAAGTGCTTGAGCTTCTGCCTTCCGACGCCGAACTCACCGCGACATACAAGTTTTACGCATCGTACATCCACTCGCTTTCCTCACCGATCAGCCTCGGCGCCTTCGAGCATCGCTGGCCAGCGTTCCGCGCTGCCCTTGCTCAGCCTAACGCCACCGCTCGCGAGAAAGACGTCGACCCTTTCTTCGTTGCGACGCTCCTTGGCACCTGCGCGACTGGTCTTGCGAGCATGACGATCGAGCAGGCCAAATCGCGGGGCTTTCCAGAGAGTCGTGCGCACATCGTCGAGCGATGGATTCACGCTGCGATGCTGTCGCTTGTCGCGGGCAAGGTGCGTTCTGCTCACTGCGGCGCCTCCGGTTTCGGAACTGATCGTTTCACTCCCAGTTCTTGGAGGCGCCGACCGTCGACGGTGTTCGTGCAGCCGTCATCATCGCGACAATCTACATTGTGAGGCTTCCTCGACAGCAGTTTCTTGTTACCCATCTTGACGGAGTTCCCTCCTGCAGGAACTGTTCATGACGACGGACGAGACTGTCTCCGCCGGCGTCTCGCTTCTCTCGCTCGCCGTCAACGCCGTCTTTGCACTTGGCCTCAATCGCGACCCCGCCAACAAGAGCGCCTCGCCGTTGTCGTTCTTCGAGTGCGAGGAGCGTCGCCGCTTGTTCTGGAGCGTCTTCTCGTTATGCGGCTCGGTCACGACGGTCAGTACAGCACCACCTGAGGCGGAGTCGTTTCGGAGCGCTGACGAAGTCCGCCTCGAATTCAGGGAATCTCGCGCAAGTGGCCGCAGTTCGACCTCCGTCAGATGGACTGCAAGTTTCCTCTCGACTGCTACGACTCGTGAGTCACCTCGTTGCACGTTCTTCGAGCCGAGCTGACCGGTTACGGTCCTTGCAGCGAACTCCTCATGGATGAGCGCGCAGCGAAAGCGCGAGTACGTGCTCGTCAAGGGAACGAGCAGCCGGAAGAGACGCCAATGACCGCTCCTTTGGTGCGTTCCCGTCTTCTTCACGCGCTTAGGAGCGAGCACTGATGCGAGACGACGTACAGCTACGAGCGCAGTACGCCCTCCTTGTCAAGAAGATCGTACGTGCCTTTCGTCCTCATCCTCTGAAGCACTGCTCACCCGTCTTGCAACAGACGGACAAGGCTTTCAGCGTCGAGCCGTGCTCTTACTCGGAGGTACTCGCTCTTGATGCCGAACTGCGCGCCTTCGAGGCGTCCTTCCCGCTCGTCTACCGCCTGCCTATCGACACGACAGGACGAGTCCGCTTCGCCAACCCGCCGAGTATGACCGAGGACCGCGCAGCGCTGCTGCATCTTTGCCTCGCTGCCGAGTTCGTGCGGCTGCACCGTCCCTTTCTCGGTGCGTTCGCGCGACTCCTCTCTTTCTGCTGCGCTCGCTGACTGGATCTCGTACTCAGTGCTTGCTGCGACGGACGAAGTCTACCAGCACTCTCGCGAGCAATGCGTCAAGTACGCCAAGCGCCTCCTCGCCATCAACTCGACGCCGGGCTGCAGACTCAACTGGGCAGGGTGCGTCTTGCCGACCTCGCCGTGCCTCCGCGACGCTGACCCCGTTCTCGGCACAGACACACGTTCAAGGTTCTTTCGGGTGCCGTCGCGCTTGCTGTCGAGCTTCTGCAGTCGCCAAGCGAGCCGGACGCGCCGATGATCAGGTCGGCCCTCAACGGCATTCTCGACCACGCCGAAGGTCTCACGGCTGCTTCTGTGCGTTTCACGCGCCTTGATTCCCTGCGGTATTCAGCGCTAACTCGCAGTCTTTGCAGGTTGTCTGCCGCAAGACGAGCAGCGTCGTCGGCTTCATCCTCGCCAAGGTCGACGAGGAAGCTGCCTCGTCCTCGCACCCTCGCACAGCCAAGCGCGCCAGGACGCTCTTCTACAACCCAGACGACGTCCGCAATCAGCGGCGCAGTCTCGCACAGACGCTCGGCGGCGCCCCATCAAACATCTCGTCGCGCTCGAACAGCCCCGAGCCGGGCGAACGCCGCCGCAAGCTCTGCCGCCCGCCGCTCATGCATGTCGCGTCCGACACGATCGTCCCGCAGGCGACGGCGACTTCGCAGGCTGTCGCTGGTCAGACGGCCGCCATCATGCGCCGCAACGGCCGCAGTCGCTCGGTCGATGAGGCGTTGCCGACCGTCGGCGCACTTGCAGAGACGACTGCCCAGCCCATCGAGTTCGACCAGCAGTCCATCACGTCGCCACTCCGCCCCGTCTTCGCCGGCTACCCTGTCGCACCTCCTGCACGGCAGATCGCCAAGTTCGGAGGGACGTTCTCGCGCGGGATGTCGAGGAACCCGTCTCCTGCCGTCAGTGCCGGCACGGGCACGAGCGGAGGCAGCGTCCCGGCGATGTCGTCGCCCGAGATGGGCATGACGCTCCAGATCCCGCTGGCCAACAACCCGCTCGCGACGTCGCCCTCGTTCGCCTCGATGGACCCGCTCTCGTCAGCCTCAACGACCGGCCATTTCGACTTTTCCGAGTTGACTCTGACGGGCAGCGCTGGACCGCCTACAGCGTCGATGATCGACGAGCGAGCGGGCGAGACGTTCTTCACCCTCCCGGCGACCGCACTCGGCATCGACGTCTCGCAACAGTCGGACTACTCGCCCACCGAGTCTGATATCGCTATCGGCGGCGAGAACGGGCTCAGGAGCGGCGGAGGCGGACGGTCGCGGTTCAACGAGCCTATGGAGGAGGACTTGGATGCGTTCGGCGCTCCCTAAAAGGCTTCACTTCTCGCTTCTTTTGCAGGTAGACACTTCTTCCGTCAGACTACTCTGTACCGCCTCGAGCATGCGCCCTTCCCCGTCGTCCGAAGTCGAGTCGTCGCAATGTTACTTCTGTTCCGCACGCTCGTCTCGCGTTTCCATCTTTATTCTCGAGAGGCTTCATTTTCATCGTTGCGGCGAAGGAAGCGCAGACCCGTACTGCTTCAAGCTCTTCCTCGGCCGAAACCCTCCCCTCCTCCCTCTCTTCCTCGCTTCCTCCTCCTCTCCCTTTCTTCCTCCATCCGCTTCGCTACTCGTCCCGCCCGCCTTCTCTCGATAACCCGCCCGATCCGAACGCCTCTACCATGCCGCTCTCCGCCTCTACGCGCGGGCTAAAGTTCATGAATCGCGCGCAACCCACTGCGCCCGTCGCTCCCGCCTCCTCGGCACCCGTTCCGAGCGCAGCGAAGAGCTCGAAGGCTGCAGAGACATCCAAGGCTGGTGTGTCGAGGCAGAACGGGGCGGGAAAAGCTGGGAATGTGAAGGAGGAGGCGCGGACTGATGAGGTGAAGAAGGGGGACGAGGAGGGCTGGGCTGGACGAAGGGTCGTAGGATCCAGCGGGTACGTTCAGAGACCTCCCTTACGACCGTTCAAGTGGCGCAGCTCACCCAGCTCCTGCGCCTAGCCGCCCAACGATCATCCAAGAATCCTCCCTCCTCTCCTTCCCCATGCTTTCGACGCTCTCCAGCAAGAGATCCACAACTACGACTACGTTCGCGAGTGCATCGGCTACTTACTCGTCGATGCCGCTCACTTCGTCGACTGTTTCGGGTCGGAGGAGCTACGGAGGCGCGAACGTCGAGATTGAGGTTCGTTCCACTCCCTTCGCTGTCGAGCCTTGCTCATGCGAACGATGTTGACGAGTATGCGCGTGCAGAAACTGAACGACCCCTCCTCACACCAACCCACCGACTCCCCCTCCACCTCGTCCTCGACCAAACCGCGCCGCTCAAAAGCGGACCGCGCATCCGCAATCGTCCCCGTCCGCCGCAGCGGTTCCTCCTCCGTCTTGTCCAGTTCGAAGGCAGGGAAGCGGGAAGCGGACTGCTGCGCTTGACGCCCAACAGGGAGAGGATGAGGGAGGGAAGAAGAGGCGGAAGACGGAGGATGAGGACGAGTTGCGCGCTGGTGGGCTGAGGTGGGATGACGATAGTGGGGCGACGGATGGGAAGAGCGGGAAGAAGCAGGGAGGGTTTGCGCGTCCTGCTGGATTTGAGGGAGTCAAGAAGGGCGACGCGGCGAAGGGGAAGGGACGCGCGAGGCAGGGGGACTTGATGGACGCCGAGGGGTCATTCAAGTGGGCGAAGAAGGGCGAGATGCGCGAGTGGGACGAGGGCAAGGGCGATTCGAGCGAAGGGGAAGACGAGGACCTCCTCGACATGAGCGGAGACGACACCGGCACGGACGAGGACGAGGAGGACGCGAGCGAGGTGGAGGAGATGCTGGTTCAGGCGTCGGCGTCGAAGCAGGACAAGCAGCGGCAGGGGAAGACGCGGCAGGAGCGGGACAAGCGGCGGCAGGAGGTTGAGCGGGCGGTCGAGCGGGAGGAGGCGCGGCGGCAGTTTGGCGGTGCGGGTGGGTCGAAGAAGGCCAATTCGAGGCGGTAGTAGCTATCGTTACTGCACTGCTACGATGTCAAGATTGAGCAAGCTGTTGTTGTTTTGTATTGCGGATTGAGCCAACTTGGACAGCGCGTGGCGAGCCTCGCCCTCTTCCGCTCTCACTCCGCTCTCCTCACGCTCACTCGCACCCTTACCCAACTACAAGCACAACATGAGCACTGGTACGCCCACGCCCACCCACTGCCCACTCCGAGCGAGCCGCGTGAGCTGACGACCCGCCTCACTCTCACAAACAGTCCAAGGAGGCAAGACCGGCGGCAAGGGTGGCAAGGGCGGAAAGGGTGGCAAGGCCGGCGGAGACAACAAGAACCAGTCGACTCGTTCGCAGAAGGCCGGCTTGCAGGTGAGCCCTGCCGCTCGAGATACACTCGTCGCTCGGAGATGGGGGAGCTCGTCTGTTTGGACGCGCATTGCTCGGCGGGCAGCGGTCGTAGGGCCGTGGGGACCTCGTCAGGCGATGCATGGGTGCCCTGGCTATCGACTGGGCTTTGAACGGGCGCGCTCAGGCGGGCGAGGCGGCCAGGGGGGCTTTGTTTGCTCGTCGAGGACGGGGTGGGTGTGACTGGGCCGACACCTCGTCTCGCGCTGCGGCGGGCTCGCTGGGACTTACGGGATCGACTGTGTTGGACAATACGAGCTGGAGGACCTGCCGAGGCGACCATCCGGACGACTTGCGCCTCATCCGCCCCATCACCTCTTCGACGCGTCGCGGGACCATTCGAACAAAAGTTGGCTGACCTCGCATCGCTCGTTCTCGCGCAGTTCCCCGTCGGTCGTATCCACCGTTACCTGAAGGCCCGCACGCAGAACAACATGCGTGTCGGTGCCAAGGCGGCCGTCTACGCGTCTGCCATCCTCGAGTACCTCACCGCCGAGGTCCTCGAGCTTGCCGGTTCGTTGCGTCACTCTCTACCTCACCTTCTCCGTGCTGACGACGCTCGCCCGCAGGTAACGCGTCGAAGGACTTGCGCGTCAAGCGTATCACCCCTCGTCACTTGCAACTCGCCATCCGTGGAGACGAAGAGCTCGACTCGCTCATCCGCGCAACCATTGCGGGCGGTGGTGTCTTGCCTCACATCCACAAGGTGCGCCACCCTGCTCTCAGCCCCCGCTACTTTCGCTGACTTGGGAATCCCGTTGTGCAGAACCTGATCAAGTCGCCTGCCGAGCTCCAGGGCGGACAGATGCCCATCGGCAAGCCCATGAACCCCATGGGTGCGCCGCAGGTCCACCAGGGCTGAACGCTCCTCCCTCCGCCACCCGCTCGACGCTTGATACCCCACTCATCCTTTCTCCGTTGTGTTTCCTTCGAATGTGTCCCCCGCGCCCCACCTGCCATAGCCTATTCTCCTACTCACACTCTTCGTCTTTCGATACGCCTCCCTCTTACGTTGATCAATCGCCTTTTGCTTTTCCTCTCTCCGTCGCGCCGTTTGATGAGAACGGGATTGAGAGAAGGAGCTCCTTTGTCTCCCGACTGAGCATTGCTGCTGCCACCTTCGCACGCTCGTCCTTGTTGCTCATGCAAGCCTTAGTCGAAGCGCCGTAAGCGCCGTGTGCAGAACGAGATCGATCCACCTCTTCCGCCGTCTTCCGAGCGACCCAGCGACGACGCTCTGGCCCTCCCCTCGCCTGCCTTCGTGCTCTCCGCCTTCTCTCAACACCGCTGACGACGCTTTAGAGCTCTTGCGACGACCAGCACTGGCCACGAAGCCCAGGGAGACGCAGGACGGACCTTCGCAGACGAGTTCCGAGGCGTCCCGCTCGCCTCTCCTCAACGACCCGCTCGCGTGCTTTACAGAGGGCCTTTGAACGACGTTTCGATGGAGTGGAAGGGGCGGGCGAGGCGTCGGAAGCGCAGGGCGGCGCACCCGAGCGAGGTCGACGAGGAGGGGGACTCTGGACGACGGTCCTTGCGCCGGCTCGCCCCGCTCGACAGTACCGGTGATCCTGTGGTTGCAGCTCTGATGCGCCCGGGACTTGCTTGACCGTTTGCGTCGCGCGGGAAATCAACGCCTCACGCGACCCACGCGCGACAAGTCTGTTCCGGCGTGTGCCGGCAGTGCTTGGCTCTCGAGCCTCGCGAACGACTCGACTTCTTCCGCCGCTCACCTTGCTGCTGCTGCTTATACTTGGACTGGGACTAGCTCGGACTGCAGTTCTGGAGGAGTGCACGAGACTGCGACCCGGCTACTCTCGCACGACTCGACTCGTTTGATCGCATCGCAACTTGATCTCACCGTCCGGCTACCTTGTCCTCGGTCAGTCCGCTCTTCCCTCTCCGCCAGCTCACTCGCTCGAACTGACACGCACACAAGCAGGCCATCATGACCTGCGTGCGCACAGCGCCCTCGTCGCGCGCAGAGGACCAACAACCCCGCCCTTATCCCCGTCCACGCCAACAGCGGAAACCCCTCTCCGCCGACCCTGCTTTGGACTCGATTGGTGCGGTCTACGTGGGATGGGGCAACGGAAAGAGGGATCCGGCACCGCTGTGTTGTCCTGTACAGGCAAAGGCGAGTTTGGTCAAGCGCTTTGGAGAGGCCGCGGTGGGTTGGTTGTCGGGTCAGTCTTCCCTCCTGCGCGTTTCTGGTGGGTTCACCGTGAGCTGACGAGTCTTGAGAACATGCAGTTGCGCCGCAAATACCCCAACCGAGACCCGTGCCCATACAGTCGACATCCTTCTCCTCCTCGACCTCGGCTTCGCAACGCCTCACGACTCTCCCGCTCGGTTCTCTCCCGCCTCTCCCTCCCCTTCGTCCACCTTTACCTAAAACGTCAGCCGCGACTCCCCTCCGCTCGTCGTCGTCCGCCTCGCCCGCTCCTCAACCTTCTTCCTCCTCCTCCTCACGCTCCTCCCTCGCCGGCTTCTCGACAAGTCCCCCAATATCATACACGACCTCCACTCCTCCCGAATACTCCTCCTCCTCCTCGCGCGACTCGCCGCCTTTACTATTCGAAGAAGCCTGCCAAACCGGATTCGACGATACCACCCTCGCTCTTCCACTCGTCGAGTCTCGTCCTGCGTCTCCAAAATTCGCGCCTACGACTATCCCAACTGCGCAACCACCCTTCTTCTCCCTTGCGCTCTCCACAGTCCTCGAAGATCTCTCCCCCTCTTCAGGGACAGCGGAGTTCGTGCACGTCAAGAGGGAGGAAGACGAGTTGAGTGAAGCGCTGTGGAGCGCAGGGGAAGATCCGTTGGGCAATTGCGCGGCGACGGATGTAATGAGCGAGGCGAGTTGGGCTTGGTGAGCTCGACGCGACGAGGCATTGGAGGAGCGGCCTCGATGTATCTACTTGGTTTCGGTTGGTTGGCTTCTCTCGGTCGCAGATTGGTTTCTTCAGGTGCGTTTGAGTAGCTTCACGAGGCGTATGTGGACAAGGTACTGATTTTCGCCTCTCGCCTACGCAGTTCGCTCCACCTTTTCCTCTTCGCTTCCGTCCTTCTTCCAACGCGACTCAACATCGCGCACTGAACTCCACGCTCCGCCCTTCGTACATCCTCCAGCAGCGTACACCTCCGATAGACGCCCCGCCGACGCGCGCACATATCCCTCCCTCCCCTAGATACCCCCTTCCTCCCGTCGCGTGGCTCGATCCAACAGATACTACATATACAGGGCAATTTGATACAAGGCAGTACTTAGAGACTCTTCGTCGAAGTCGAGGCGTGCGCTCGGGAGGGTCAGCTGTCGTTCCGTGCCTCGCTTCGGGAGAGGGGTTGCGTAAATTCGGGAAGCGAGCGAAGTCGTCTGCCGTTCGTTCGTTCGTTCGTCTCTCTTGTGCTTTCGTTCGCTTGGAAACGTCGAACATCGACGCTGGACAGCCGAAGATGGCTCTCTCGTTCCTCGCCTCGCCCGTACGTCCTCCCTTCTCCCGCTCGTCTCCCCACATCGCAAAGAACACCTCCTCTGACCTCTCCTCTCCTTCGGCAGCCTCCTCTCGTCCGTCCCGTCTGCAGCGCGACCGACCCAACCGCAATCTCCTACTTCGGCGGCGACCTCCTCGCCTGGGAGCTCAAGGACGACGACGGCCGCGAAGTCGTCCGCAACCGGTTCAAGGCTGGCTCGAAGCACACGGGAAATGGGAGGAATGGGACGGCAGTCCCGCCGCTTCACGTCCATCTCTACGAAACCGAGGTACTCGAATGCGTTGCGTCGACTTTTCCTCCTCCTCCTCCCCCTCCTCCCGCTGACGAACTCGCATGGACGCAGATTGAAGGCTCGATGAGCTATACTCTCGACGGTAAAGAAGGAGTCGCCAAGCCGGGCGACAAACTCGTCATCCCGCCCGGCGCAGTCCACACCTTCTGGTTGGACGCCGACGCGAAGGAAGATTTGGTCATGACCGCGAAGGCGATTCGCGGTGACAAACCTGGCTTCGATCACTGCTTGTATGTTGCCCGGCACTCCTCTTTGCGAAGGAGAAGGAGGTTGACATCCAGCTCTGACTGCTTTCCTCCCGCAGCGTCCGCAACTTCTGTACGTCCGCTCCATCTGCGTACCGACTCCCTCTCCGCTGACACTCCCATCGCCGAAACCAGTCGGCTACCTCTCTTCCTGCGTCGAAGCCGACACGGCTCCCTCACCCTTCCAAATCTTCCTCCTCCTCGACTCAGCAAACGTCACCCTCGCGGCGCCTCTCGGACTCGGCAAGCTTCTAAACTTGGTCTTCGGTGCGCTGGATCGTCTGTCTTGATTGATGGGAGACGTGGGCTGACGAGATGAGCATGCAGGACGGGTCGTGGGAGGGTGGTTGTTGGGGTACAAGACGAGCTACAAGGTTTTCGAGGACGACGGGAAGACACACTAGGCGTACTTTGAGGGCTCTCAAGCGTACGCGGGCTTCTTGGATCACGGCGAGCGTTCCCTCGCCACTTTCTGGGTACTTGCGAAGGTCGTCGTTTTCTTCCTCTTTCTCTCTCTCTCTCGTCGCGACTCGTGCACTTTCATAGCATCGTCTCAGACGTGTGCTCGAGACGAGCTCGCAAAGAAGGGAAGTGAGCGCCGAGAGCTCGAGAGCAAACGGATCGCAACGATGCAGTACCAAGCCAGGTCTATGATGCGAGCGAGCAAAGTGGATAGAAACGAACGAGAGGGGGTATCTGCCACGACGCTTAAGGGTATCACGCGATAAAAAAACGAGCCTCCGCTACCGCTTACTGATCATACAACCCCACATCGTCCTCGATCCCGCCCATCTCAACCTCATCCAACACCCCCGTCCCTCCCTCTCCCTGCGTCGCCACGCGCTCGTACACTCCGCGCGACCCGGAGTGCACTCCGAGGAACGCAAAGAGGTCGCTTGCGCCCGAGCCGATCGAGCTCGACACCTTGCGTTTCCAGCTTCTCGGGCCGCCGGTAGTGAGGGTGGACTGATGGCGCGCGGGAGTGGTGGAGACGGAGGGTACGGCGCCGAATCCGAATAGGCTTCGGGCCAAGCCGTCCTTCGCGCGTTCCAAGGCGAAGGCGACCGATCCGCCGTTACTCAGCGCGCGCTTGAGGTGGTCCTTGAACGCGAGAGGGAGGACCGAGACGAGTGTCACAGCGACGAGTTTGAGCACGACTTGGCGGGACCAGATCTTGTCGCCCAACGGAACGGACGGGTCTGAGGCGGCGAGCGCGACGAGGTTGCCGATTGAGACGGTGGCGAAGTTGAAGGGGAATGAGCCGATTAGGAGGGTCGTGAAGAAGGGTCCGAGGGGGAGGCGGAGGACGCCGGAGATGACCTGCGCGAGCAAACTCGTTAGTCTCCCTTCTCACGAAGGAGAGGAAGCGCGACGCACGTTCAGAACGCTGTAAGGCAACAAGGGGAAGAACCTCGCCAGCAGCAAGTGCGAGAACAAGTCGGAGCTCGACAAGGGCGCTACGGCTTGTTGCGCGACGCCGGGCGGAGGAGGCGCGAGGCCGGGGCGGGGGAGCTTGAGTGCTTTGCGAGTCATGTCGAGCGGTTTGGCAAAGTAATACTCGACCTGCGTAGGCAGCCTGTTAGTAAGCTCGAGAACGCCAAAGCGGGCAGGACGCTACGCACGAGAGGAGCGATAACGAGAGCGATCGCGTACGCGCCCGTACTCCCCGCCGCAGTCCACAAACAAGCCCACCACGTGCCGACCGTCGTCCCATACAGCGCTCCGAACAAGATGTTCGTCAACACGCTCCCTGGGATCGAGAAGCATTGTTTCCAGAGGAAGAGGAGGGTGAGGACTGTGAAGAGGTGCAATTCGGCGAGGAAGGACGAGGCACGGTATTTTGTCAGGGTTGCTGTGAGGGCGGGCAGGTCGGAGACTGAGTGAGGGAGGAAGAGACCGGGAAGGGTCGAGATGGTGAAGGCGATCACGGCGAAGGACGAGAGGAAAAGCGAGACGAGGATCGCGAGTTGCGGGATGAAGTCGCGGAGGGTTTTGGGCGTCGCAGCGAGGGGAGTCGCGGCGTAGCCAGTCGCAGGAGGATAGAGCGTCGCGCCCTCGCCAGTCTCGGCATCAGACAAGGCGTCAGGCGTCGGAGGCGGCTCGAACTGCTCAAAGATGGGCGGCGGGACCGCCTGCGCCGGAACGTTCGCCGCCGCAAACGGGTCCTTCCGCTCCTTGACCGGACTCGGCGGGACAAGACTCGTGAAGCTCTTTCCGCGCCTGAGGCTCATCCTCGTCATACCCTCGAGACTCTTGCTCCGGTTGCGCGTGTTGATGTCCGGCTTGGCGATGAGCGACTGCGCTTCGTCGTCTGGCTCGCCACCCGTACGCCAGGCCTCGCGCTCGTCTTCGTAGTAACCCACGTTGCTCCCCCTCCGACTGGGCGGCTCAACCCACACCCTCGGTCCTCCCTCCACCTCGTCATACTCGTCCTGCGGCGTCTGAGGGGGCGTATCAGACTGCGTCGAGCCAGACTCTTCCGTCCCTTCCGCCGACGAAGCATTCGCACCGCCCGCCTCATCCACACCCACCTCGGGATTGAACCTGATCCGCCTATCATGTTCCTGTCTCTGCCTCGCGAGCGGCGAGATCCCATACCCTTCCGCCTCGCGCCCCGTCTCGAGGAAGCTACTCATGCCCGGCAAGACCGGGCTTCCCACGAGTGTAGGCGAGAGATGCGGCAATTGAACCGGCACCGCGACGCCCTTTCCTGAATTTATCGACCGCGCGCGCATGCGGGTTGTGGAGTGAGAGGCGTGCGAGGGGTCGTAGTGGTGTGGACGGATTGAGAGCGCTGAGGGCCTTGAGAGGCTGGGGGAGGAGAGGGGCGTGGTGGAGCATGAGGCGAGCGGGTCGGACGGGGTCGCGAGGGGGGAGTAGTGAGAGCGAGACGACGAGGTTCGTGGCGGGGACATGCGGGAAGGGTTGGCGCTGGTCGACGAAGTGGAAGAAGGGGAGGGAGCGGTGCCCGGCGGAGCGGACGGAGTGGTCATTCGCGATGACCCTGGCGCGGGCGAGTACGACCTGCTCGGTCCCGCTCCGTGGGGAGACTGTGAAGCCATGCCGCGGCGGATCGCCCTGTCTGCGCTGGGTGGTTGAGCGGGCGAGAGGTGTTGATGAAGAGGCGGAAGCCGAGGGGTGAAGCGAGCGGCGGCGGGTGCGGCGTGCGGTGGTTCGCACGGTAGGCTGTAGCAGACAGTCTCCTGATCCAGTCAGGCTGAGCGAGTCCCCTGTGCAGCTTGTGCGAGTGTGAGAGCGAGCGAGGCGACGTCGAAGAGCTCGCTCTTGGCAGACCGTGCACTCGCACACGGCGGGTGTGATCCGGTCCTATTCCAGTAATTCTTTGAAGCTATACCGTACTATATTCACAGAGTTGCAGCCACCCGGAGCGAGGTGCGCGCTGTCCGACTCGCTCCCTCGCTTCGGTCAGCGTTGGCTCATCGCTTCCCGCAACACCATCCACCAGCCATGCCATCCGCGCCACCAGCAGAGCAGTCGGTGTGTCGGCACGACTCGGAAGACCTCACCAAGCTCACTCGCCTTTGTCCCGCAGCTCGAGCGACTCCCGACCCGCACACTCCTCGAGGGCCACCTCGGGCACCTCACGACACAGCAGCAAGCGGTACTCGACAAATTCAAGCAGCGGCTAGAAGAGAGGGGCTACTATAGACCGGCGCGGGACGGGAAGAAACCGTCACACGAGGAGAACACCCTCGTGTGCGCATCTCCGCTCTCTCTCGGCAAAGGGCGATCGTGCGGCACCTGACATTGTACGCCATTCAGACGCTTCCTGCGGGCCAGGAAGTTCGATGTCAATGGCGCGTATGAGCAGTTCACGGCGGCGGAAGACTGGAGGAAAGGGCAACGGGTAGACGAGGTGCGTTCGCTTGCGCCCTCTCTCCAGCGACCACGCTTGATAAGCTGACCTTATGTCGACGACAACAGCTATACGACACATTCCCGCTAGACGAGTTCGAGATGGCCCGAGAGCTTTATCCGCAGTGCGTCGTTCCCCCGTCCTCCTCGTCCTTGCTCTTTCGTCACTCACCCTCGACACGCACGACAGATGGACCGGCCGACGCGACAAACAAGGACTCCCACTCTACGTCTTCGAAGTCGGCGCCTTGACCCGCCAAAAGACCGATTCCTACGCCAAGGCCTCCTCGCGCCTCGAACCGCGCATGTTCGCCCTCTACGAACACATGCTGTCGTTCGTCCTGCCACTCGCATCCGACACGCCTCATCCGCATCCCGAGACGCCCATAAGCGGGAGTTCGACGATTGTCGACGTGTCGAATGTCTCGTTGAGGAGGTTTTGGAACTTGAGGGAACACATGCAGCGCGCGTCGGTGTTGGCGACGGCCAGATACCCCGAGACGCTGGGGTCGTACGTTCTCTTCTCTCCCTCGAGGCGGAGGAGATGCTGATTGCGCGAGCGTTTCTCTGGAGCAGGATCTACCTAGTCGGCGCACCCAACTTTTTCGGCGTCGTCTGGTCCTGGGTCAAACAATGGCGCGTCCCATCCCTTCCCTCGCCTCCCTCCCCTCCTTCTCTCACTAACCCTCCCGGCGCGATCGCTGCAACAGGTTCGACCCGAACACGGTCAGCAAAATCCACATCCTCTCTTCCTCTTCCCTCACCTCGACTCTCGCGCAACACATCTCCCTCTCGTCTATCCCTGTCAAGTACGGTGGACAACTCGAGTGGGCGTTTGGCGACAAGGGACCGAGGTTGGATGAGCAGACGCGCGCGGTTATGAGGTTGGAGGAGGGGGAGGAGTGTCCCCGCGGACCGGTTAGGTGGGAGGATGGGAGGGTGAGAGTTGTGGGTGGAGAGGGAAGGAGCGAGGAGGAGAGGAGGAGGTGGGCGGATCGGGCGGAGGAGGGGGAGAAGGGCGAGGCGATGGGGGTGAATGGGGTGGTGAACGGCGAGGCAGAAGGAAAAGGTGAGGAGAAGGAGGAGGAGGAGCGGGAAGGGCGCGAGGAGAAGCAAGAAGTCGCCTCGGCTACCTCGACCGCTCCGACCGCCTCGAACGGCACGACTTCCCCACCCTACTTCGACGCACCCTCCCCTTCCGCCCCCGCAGCCGCCTCGTCTACACCCGTCACCGCCAAAGTCGACGTCCCCACCGCTTCACAATCCGACGCCCTCCCTCCTCCTCTTACGAGTTCGACTCTTCCCCCTTCTTTATTCGCGCCCACACCCATCGAGAACGGCGCGCACAAGGAGGAGAAAGAGGCGCACGACATCCATGTTGCAGCGAGGGAGAACCCAGCTGCGCCGGTCAAGGAGCTGGCGAGCGTGTTGGAGGGGACGACGTTGTGAGACGCGCGACTTTGCGCGGGTGGGTTTGATACAGCGGGTAGAGAGCGATTGATAGACGAGGGGAGGGCGAGGATGTGATTTATCGACCCATCACTAGTGTCGGGCTTGCCTCGAGGAGCGAGAGAGAGGAAAACGGCCGTGAGGATGCGAGAGAATGTGCGGCTGCTCAAGTGTTTGCATACTCGCACAACAAGCAGTCTAGTCTACTCTACATCTGACGCGAACCTCCTTCCTTTTCCCGCCTCCGCTCTCAAGGCACCGCAAAACACTCCACGCCCGCTCCATCCGCAACCCACAAACTCGGTACGCCGCACCTCCCTCCCCTCCCTTCCCTCCCTCCCCTGCTCTCCTCACTGGTCGCTGTCCGTAGAAGCTCGATATACCGCTCGTCGCGCAGCCTGTACGGATTGAGAGTGGAGAAGGCGAGTGATTTGGGAGGGGAGGAGAAGGGTGAGCAGAGGGAGGGGGTGGAGGAAGCGAAGGAGGAGATTGTAGGGTGGGAGGAAGAGGAGGACGTGGCAGGAGAGGGAGGGGGAGGGAGGGCGAGGCCGGTTCGGAGGGAGAAGAGGCGGATGCGAGAGTCTTGGCCGGCTGCATTTACCGCAGAGGAGTTCGAGTCAATCTTCGACGATGTTCACCGCATCGAACATGACGTAGCAGCAGCGGACAACGCACCTATCGCCACCACCTCGTCCTTCCAGACGTCCATCCCCAGCTCGGTCGAGAACGAGTTGACGTGGCCTTTCACGTGCAGCATCGGGACCGTGCTGCGTCTGTCGCGCGCGAGAGTCGGCGGGCGGACGATGCGGAGGTCGTACAGGGCGAGGAAGCTGGCGATCACACGTACATCAAATGTCAGCCTTGCGATAGTAAGTGGCGGGCTAACAAATAGGCGCGAGATGCGCACGCACCCGTCCATGCCCGCAACGAGAAGCTGGTGCGGCTGCTCGCGGATGACCTTGACGTGCGTGACGGGCGAAGAGATCTTGATCGCGGTCTGTGCAAGGACATCAAGCGTTATCGTCAGTCTTCGCTTGACAGATAGCGTAGTTTACGATGCTGTTGAAGCCGAGCGCACCTGCTCTCTTGTCTTCGCTTCTGCCCCTCCGCCTCCTCTCGCGCTTCGCCAGTCAAACCCGATACATTCTCCCCTCCTCACTCCCGCCCAAACCATCCCGCCACCCTGATCCGGTATGTCGAGCGAGAAGACAGTCCCGCCGCCGCCCCGGCCGCCTGTTGTGTAGGTGTCGATGGGTGAAGAAGGGCGGGTAGAGGAGGAGGAATGGAGCGCGGAGAGGGGGGTGAGGAGGACGGAGCGGTCGCCGCCTACGAGTCGAGACAGTCAGGATTGTGTAGCTAGGAGGACGGGAGAGTCGACGCACCCAGAGCAACGAGATCGGATGAGATGGCGGAAGTCCAGAGGGACGTCTTACGAGGCGAGAGCGTGACGGATCTATGCGTGCGCAACCCGGCATTAGCTTGCGCCAACGACGGTGACCACTTTGCTAGCAATAGGTGGTGGCAGGACGCACGCTAAGGAGATCGAGTCTTGAGTTGTCGCAATGACCGCTTGCGCTGGCGGGCCGAGACAGGTCGCTCTGCGAGTTTGCGCACCGACGTCAATGTCTGTGTTCCTGCAAACTGAAAGCATGCAAGCGGAACCTTGGCGCGGACTCACACCATCCACTTGCCAGACGATTTCAGCGAAGTAATCTTGCTCGGCAGGAACCAGCCTGTCCGCCAACGTTCCTCGTCGTTCGGGAAGTACGCAAGCTCATCAGCCGAAGGTGCGAGATTGCCTGTGCTATACGTGCGGAGAGCGTGAGTTAGAGGACGGCTAGGAAAGTACAAGGACGAAACGCACGCGATTGTTCCGTTCGACGTCCCAACTCTTACCCGCGCCGGGTCGACGTCGTCGAACGCAAGATGAAGGATCGTGTCGTCCATCGGCAAACAGTCAGGGTACGTCGTGCGGGCGGGAGAAAGTCGAGAGAGGGAGTAGAGAAGGATGTCGCTGCGTGCACCGCCGCACCAATGCATCAGTCGCCGTCCCGCCTGAAGGGAATACTCTAACTCACTGCTGTAACCGCTGCCTCTGCCCAACGAGCTGCCAGTCGGTGAGATACAAGTCCCTCAGCCTGTCTGCTGGCGATCCGTCCTCGTCCCGCGCCCGCCCCTTCCCCTTGGCGTCCGTCCTGGCCACTCTAGCTCTCTTCCTCTTCCCTCCTACGCCCTCATCGCCCTGTCCTTCCACCCTGCCGTGTCGTGTGGTCGATGATGTCTGTCGAGGCGAAGCGGTTCGAGGAATGGGTGCAGCCGCGTTCTTCGGCTGTTTGTAGTAGCGTCGGGTCTGCTCGTTCCACACATAGCCTGGCAAGACCAGCGGCGGTTTGCTCGTCGCCATCAGCAGGCGCCAGTGAGCGGTCGCTGGTTGACCTTCGACAAGTCACTTCTCGCTGAACAACCGCTGCGCTACGGGCTCGAGACTGGCTGCTATGGACGCCGAAGAGGATCTACAGCCGCAATTTACCATCAAGAAGCGCGCAAAAAAGCCGCGCCCGTCTACCTCGTCCATCCGGTCCTTCTCATCAGCACAAGACGACGACACGCCCACACCTGCTGCGGAAAGTGGTGCAGGCCCGCAGGATGACACCCAGGAGGATGGGAACGTGGCGGTTGTGCGAGCGCGCGGCAAGAAGACGCCTGCGGGGCGAGTGAGGGATCGCGAGGCGGGGAAGAGCAAGGGGCGGATATCGTTCGGCGGCGACGAAGAGGTGCGTTCTGTTCACTCTGCGTCATAACTCGTAGAGGAAGGTCGCTGATTCTCCCGACCGACCGCAGGAGGGCGACGACGGCGACACTAGCTTCGTCAAGCGATCCTCTCCCGCCTCCACGCCTCGCCGCCTGCTTCGTCCTTCTGTCGGACTCCCCTCTCCTACGACAGCTCCCTCGGCTCCATCTCCAGCCACTCCATCCGCCGCTCCGTCTACGAGCCAGAGCGTCTACTCGAAGGAGTACCTCGAGGACTTGAAGCGGAGTCAACTGAGTACACCAAGGAATGGTGCGGCTCTCGCGGACGATGGCGCAGTAGGAGGATACGATGACTTGACGAAGAGCAAGTTTGGAGCGGATCAGCTTGATGGTGCGTGTCAAGTCCAGCATCATGGGGCCTCTATGGCTTGAGTGGCTCACGAGTGGGCTGATTTCCTGGTTTTTCCAACCGCACAGACACCACCGCTGCATCTTCCACATCGACGATCCCTACTACAGCCGCCATCTCGCTCGCCAAGCAACGTCGCGAAGAGATGCGCAAAGCCGGCGTCAATCCTGCTTCGCGAGGGGACGGCTTCGTCTCGCTCGACGTTGGATTTGCGAACAAGGGCGGGGAGAGCCGCTTGGTGCGGGAGGAGGATGAGCTAGGAGAGGGAGACGAAGGTGCGTTCAGTTCCTTCCCGGGTTGAGCTGCATCTTTCTGCGGAGCAAGCAGACTCATCGAGGGTTGGGACAACTCCGCGCAGACCTCGCCGCCTATACCGGCGCAGACATCCGCCTCCCGCTCGGCAAGCGCGCCAACACTGCAGCCGCAGCCCAAATGCGTGCCGAGATGGGCGAGATGATCGAGGATGTCGAGATGGACGTGCGAGACGACGATGAGGAGATGCGAGAGTGGGAGGAGGCGCAGATCCGGCGGGCTGGAGGAGCGAGAGAGGTGGAGAAGGCGGATAGGAAGGACGAGGGGCGGACAGGAGTGTACAGACCTGCGCCGAGTACGTCGGCCGCGAATTCGTCCTCTTATCACGATCGTACTAACGCTCTTTCCGCAGTCCCACAGACGTCGACTCTTCCCTCTCTCGCATCGACCACCTCCCGCCTCGCCGCCATGCTCTCAACCCTCACGACGTCCCATCAACTCGACTCGTCCTCCCTTGCGCACTTTGAAAAGGAGCGGCAAGACCTCGACACGCAGGAGAAGGAACTGCGAGAGGAGGTGCAGAAGGTCGAGAAGAAGAGCAGGTGGTTCGACGAGTTCAAGGAGGAGGTGGAGGACTGGGGCGCGTTCTTGGACGAAAAGGTGCGTTCGAACGGTTGCTTAACTTGTTGTCCGCCCTCGGGGCGGCGAAAGCTGATGGAAGCGTCGATCGCGTATACAGTTTCCGCAACTCGAGAAGATCGAGTCCGAATACCTCGCCATCCAGCGGGAACGGTTCGACATCGTTTCACGTCGACGATATGCGGACGACGCAGACGACGTCGCGCTCTTCACCGGCGCTAGCGTTCCTTCGGTCTTCCGCACCGCTAGCTCGGACGCAGCCGCGGCGCCGATCGAGACAGACGAGGAGGAGCAGGAGGAGCAGCCGCGCTCGCAGGCGCGCAACGCACGCCGAGCAGAGCGGGAAACACGGTCTGCGTCCGCTACTACCTCAGCCTACCCCGACCCTGTCGACTCTGCGGGCTACTTTTCCGATTCAGCTCTCTCACCCTCCCAATCTACCGACCTCTCCGCGGCCCTCTCGTCCCTTCACGAGTCCCTCACCTCCCTCTTCAGCGACGTCAAAGCGCCTTCGTTCCGCGATCCCTCGCTCGGCATCTTGCAGCGCTTTGAGGAATGGCGGGCGACGTGGAAGGACGAGTATGCGATGATGTTCGCTGGGCTCAGTCTGAGTCAGGTGTGGGAGTTCTGGGCGAGGGTGGAGATGGCGGGTTGGAATCCGTTCGAGGTGAGTGCCGTGGAGTATGAAGCTTCGGTCATCCCGCGGCCAAGTCAGGCGAGGAAGGCTGATGGCGGTTTCCGACGCTCTCGCAGATTCATGAGCTCCCTCGCACGTCGGCAGACCTGTCGGCATACTCGTGGCACAAAGCGCTCTCGTCCTACGGGCACTCTTCTGCCGCGCCGAACGAGGACGACCTCGATGAGGAAGAAGCGGACGAGTCGACCGAAGTCGTCAACGCAGTTGTCGCATCCGTCGTCATCCCTCGGCTATCTGCTCTCGCCAAGGCTGCCTACGACCCCTTCAGCAGTCGACAGACGGTCGCGGCACTCAAGCTGGTGGACGAGATCAGCTACTGTGTCGAGACAAACAGCCCGAAGTTCGAGGTGGGTGTCGGTTCCTGCTTCTCCTACAGCTCAGCGACTGACGTAGCCTGCGCGAACAGAACCTCGTCCACTCCTTCCTCTCGCGCCTCCGCCTCGCCGTTGCGCAATCGCAGTCTCTCATCCTCCCTTACCAAGCCTCCCTCTCACTCCCCTCGCTCGCCTACGACCCCACAACTTTCACCGCACGCCTCAATTTCCTCCACCGCCAGCTCAAGCTCATCCGCACCTGCTCGCGCTGGAGACGGTACATGCGCGCCTTGCGTGTTCCAGCTGTGCCCGAGACGTTTGAGACGGCGGGCGGAGAGACGGTGGAGGTGGAGACGGGCGCGGGAGCAACGTTTGATGAGCTTGTGCAGCGCGAGCTGGTGGCGAGGACGGTGCTGCCTGTCCTGGAGGCGGCTTGGGCGAGCGGCGGGGAAGAGGTTGCGAAGAAGGTGCGCTTTCACCCTTCGCGCGACCCGTCCACGGGCTACTAGCTCATTTCTTATCTTGACAGATCATCGACGCTCTGCCAAAGGACATCCCGCCCGCGTTGCGGAGAAGGCTCGAGGGTGCAGAAGTCGCGCAGCGATGAAGACGGGGAGTAGACATTCGCAACGCAGCACTCTCTCAGCCTCCTTCCCGCTCGTCTGCTTGACAATGAGAGGCGTACAGGTGTTACAGTGCAGAAAAAGGTAAGAGATACAGGACCAGGCGAACCAGAGCGAGATTCGGCAACAAGCAACACTTTCATCCAACACGATTTCCTGCCTCCCTCACAAATACCGACGAAGCCTCCAACTTCTCCAAGATGGGAGCAGTCACGCCCCAGCCTGCACGCCATCCCTGACGACCGCCAACTCCGGCACCGACCACCTTCTCTCCAACCCGTCCGCTTCCGCCTCTTCCTCCCTCTCCTCCTCAACCACCGCCCCACCCGCCGCGCGCGCGCCCAACCCCCTCAACTTCCTCCAAACGCGCTTCCAATACGACACAGCCAATTCGAGCGAGTCGAGGTCTCCGCCCCACGCTGAGGCTGCTGTGCCACCGTCCGATGGTGCGAGTAGGATGCGCTCTTCGTGAGAGAGGTGGGAGATTTCGAGTGCGGTCTGGGAAGGGAGGGCGCGGAGAGGCGAGCGAGAGAAAGGGGAGGAGTACGAGGAGGAACGGCGTATGAGAGTGCTCGTAGGACGGACGGAGAGATTCGTCGAGAGTGGCTGAAGTCGCATCAAGCCGGGGAGGTCGGAAGCCGAATGCGACTTCTTCTCGAGTCCGGTGGTGCTGTTGCGCTGGACTCGAAGAGAAGTGGCTGGCGGAGTGGCGGCGGTGTAGTGCGCCCATTCGTGCGGATGCTCTTGCTCCGTCTCTGTTTCTGCGCCGTCGTCTTCGTCTTCTATCCCGAATCCGGCAGAACGCAGCAAAGCCTCGCCGATCGTGTCGAGCGAGTCGAGTTTCGCTTCGCGTGCGAGGGTGGTGAGCGTGTGTCGGAGCGGGGACGACGAGCGCGAAGGTGTAGGCGTCGGGAGGGCAGAAGCGGGGGGTGTAGCGGTCGAGGCGAGCTGATCGAGGAAGGCTGGGTCGATCGAGAGGTAGTTGCGAACGGCGGAGCCTGCAGGCCAGCGACTCAGGATATCAGTCGCCTGCACTTTATTTTGCGGCAGATTGAGCCTGCGAAACGCCGAACGCACCAAAGAGAACACTTTGCTCGACCTTGCGCACGCGCTCCTCCTCCCTCCTTCGCTCGACGATTTCCCTCATCCTCCTCGCCCGCTCTTCTTCCTCGATGAGGACCCTCTCCAGAACACCGACCTGTCCAGGCCGTCCGCTGATGACCGACCCGTTGTTGCTGCGCTTCTGGCTGCCCGTAGCCGAATCGCGTGCGCCTGCTCGCCGGTGTCGTCTCTTCTGACCGTGGCTGAGACGGCTGCCGCTAGCTGGAGAAAGTGAGCGGAGTGCGGATGTGCCGGAAGGAGAGGAGAGGAGGATGGGCGAGATCTGCGAGGCGGAGGAAGGGGGAGGAGGGCGGCGGCTTCGAGTTGCGCTGGAGCGGGGCGGCGGGGCGAGACCTGCGCTCATCGCCAGTGTCGAGAGCGCCCACTCGTCATTCTCCTTCTCCTCGACGGCCATGCGCGCCTGGCGAGCCGCCGTGTCCTCCCCGTCCTCTCCCTCAGACCCAGACGTGAACCCTGCGCTCGCCGCATCGTCCTCGTCTTCCGCGTCTCCCTCGATGGCGTCCCAGGTGTCGTCTCCACCGAGTGACAGTCCCAGTCCCTCACTGCGTCGCTCCCTGCGCCGCCCTCTCGCGCTCGCGTGACGTCGAGCTGCCCCACTCGGCAAGGTCGAGAGCGCCTCCTCCGTCAGCGGCCAGCTCGTCGCGCTCCTCCCAGACGCCGACGTGCCGTTCGAGAGAGCATCGAAAGCGACAGACGAGGCAGAGCGCGCGTCCGAGGCGTCCGAGGCCGAGTCGAAGTCGATGACGGCGGAAGCGTAGACGGACGGGAGGAGGGACGACTGGACGAGCGACCCCGCTGCAAAGACGCCGTTGCCGTCGTGAGAAGGTAGCACAGAGCCCTGCTGGAGGTACGCCGGGCTCCCCAGCGACGACGAGTCCTCGCCCGCTCCTCGAGCCCCACCGCCGACTGATGAACTCGCCGATGTCGACGAGAGGAAGCTCTGCGTGCGCTGTGTCCGCGCGGGAGGGGTAGGGAGGACCGCCCAGCTCGAATGCGCGAGCGAGTCCTTCGCGCTGGTCGACGAGGACGCCGTCGTCGTCGAGGCATCGCCAAAGAGGAGCACAGGGGCTTCGTCGGCGCTGGCGAGGTCAGAGAGGTGTTCGGTCGACTGCGACGGGCTCAGGTGGTCGGTGTGTGTCGCGGGGCGCTGTCTGCGCTGCTGGAACGCCGCCATCGCGAGCGACGATGAGCGATAGGAGGGAGAGAGGTGATAGCGCCATTCCTCGCGAAGGGCCCGCCACACGAACTTGGAATCGAACGCATTGCAAGGCGCGCTGCTAGCCCGTGAGAACGTCCTTGACACGCGCAACGAGTCCCTCGAAGCCGTCCTCCATCAGCGCGTCCTGCAACAGCTGCTCAAACTCCTCAGGCGGCAAGGCGGTGAGGGCGAGAGAAGCAGTCTTGTACGCGGGCGATGCTGGCGCTGCATGAGGAGCTTGCGTTGGCGTCGACAGGTTGGGCAGAATCGTAGCGAGCGTGGCGGGAAGGCGCGACGTCGAAGCAGAAGTCGAGGCAGTCGGGTCGCGAGGTGCTGGTCGGGCGGGCGTGACGGGACCTGCTTGACGTGCTCCAGGTGGAACATTGTTCGAGCGAGCAATTGATGCTAAATCTGCGCGGTCAGGTGGGCGAAAACTCGGGACTTGCGAAGGAAGAGGTCGTGTCGGAGTTGCGGGAACAGGCGTAACCTGCGTTGACCTGCCCGCCTTCTTCTTCTTCTGCTGGGGCTTCGGCGCTTGAGCAGTAGTCGCAGTCCGTGTCGCGCCATTAGCTGGCTGATGCGCCGGGGAAGCGCCGGCCACAGCACCATTCGAGCTGCTCTCGACCGCAGGTTTCGCAGGCACGATCGTCTTGACCGCCTCGATGAATCGTACCCTCTCCTCCGTCGAAGTAAACTTGACCTGCAACCTTTTGAACTGGATCCCTGCGCTTCTCTGCGCCGAAGAAGAAGAGGCTTCTTGCGAGGGCGGTAAAAGCGAGATGTACCGCAAGCCCATGACCGCGTCTCGGTAGACCGCTTTGAGAGGCAGCTGGTCTGCAGGTGTCACAGCGCGGATAGAAGGCGAAGAGAACGAAGTCAGATCGAGCGAGTCGAGCGTCAAGGGTTGTTGGCCTCGGCCGCCGGATTGGGTGAACGAGCGCGCGTCGCGGTAGAGCGGGTCGAAGGTCACGCTAAGGATCATCCGTACGGGGTAGTAGGTCCCGCCGCTCGAAGAGGACGAGCCGGAAGGAGCCTGCGCGAAAGTCGTTTCGAGGCGAAGAGCGAGTTGAGGCTGCGAGCTGGTTCGGCGGCGTGTCAGCGCATCCGGTAGCGCTCGTCCAGGCAGACGTGGACTCACTAGTGGTCCCACTCGATATGCTCATCGCTCGCCTGGCCCGCAACTTCTCCAATCCGTCGCTTCTTCGCCGGCGGACCACCCTCGGCGAGAGAACGAGAGCGCGAGTACTTCTCGAGCAGCCAGCGCTGGGTGGTCGTGGTGGTCGTCGTTTGCGTCCCTTCAGACATGTCTAGCGAAGTCAAGCGGCGGAACGAGCGAGGAAAGGTGAACGGCAGGAGACGAACCGTCAACGTCGAATGTTTCGCGTCGTCCTCTCGCGCTCTCACCGCTGAGCAGCTCGTCCAGACCTTCACTGAGTTGTGCGAGTGTGCACCCGGGCTCCTGGACTCGCGCCATCCTCTCCGCCTTCGTCCTCTCCCCTCCCTCAACCTCATCTCCCTCGACGACTGATCCGACAAGAGCGTCATGTTCAAGGAGGAGTTGGCCACGTTGAAGCGACTTGGGGTCAGACATGTGCGTATGCGGCCGAATTGAGCTCTCCAGATGGGTTTACGAGCTGACACGCCTCTCTACCACCCCCACCTGTCCTCCTCGCTCGCCTCCCGCGCTTGCTGAACTGGAACTACGACTGCTGCGATACTTTGACGATGTCTGTCGACCTGCCATGTCATCGCCGCAGGTCCTGACCCAAGCGCTCAACTTCGCCATGGTCCTTTCGACAGCTTTGATGATGTGGAAGGGCCTGTCGGTGGTCTGCAACACGGAGTCTCCCGTCGTCGTGGTCCTGAGGCGCGTCTCCCTCCCTCCCTCGCCCTCATTCCCACAAGCTGACCGAGTTCGAGTCCCGCAGCGAAAGCATGGAACCGGCCATCCAGCGCGGCGACCTCCTCTTCCTTACCATGCCCCGCACCGCACCGCTCAAGCACGGCGACATCACCGTCTACAAGGTCCCTGGCTCGCCCATCCCGATCGTTCACCGCGTGATTGAGACGCACGACGAGTTCGTCCCGCTTCCGCTGCTCGGCTTGCGCTCCTAAAGGAGCGTCGGGCTGATACCAGTGTGCGACCGGACGAACAGGAAGAACTCGACGGAACAGTGGATCTTGACGAAGGGCGACAACAACCGCGTGGACGACGTCGGGCTTTACAACGGGATGAAGTACTTGCGGCGGAGCCACATCGTTGGCAAAGTCCAAGCGTGCGTTTCTCGCCAAACTCTCCTGTCCTTTTTCGCGAGCTGAAGATGTGTGCACCTGCAGCTACGTGCCATACGTTGGCTACGGGACGATTTTGATGGTACGTCCGCCGCGCTTCGCTTTCGGTCCTCGTCAAACAGAGCTGAGGAAGACTGATCGACACGCCCTTCACCACACAGAACGACTACCCGAAGCTCAAGTACGCGCTGCTGGCAGGTCCGTCGATTCTGTCACCTCTCTCGTTTCTCCAGCTGACCAGGCCTTCGTCAAGCAGTGTTGGGCGGAGGAATCCTGCTGCAAAGGGGATAGACGCATCGCTTTCTGGAACGCATCGTGTACATCTCACGTGCCGTGCGCGGCAAGAGTGTCGAGAGACTGCTCATAATACGCCTTCTTGCAAGTCAAAACGCCATCTAGGCCGCAATCTCGTCCAGCACCTTCTTCAGCAACAGGTCATCGCCGTTCTCCCACCTGCCCGTCAACTTTCCCTGCCACCTACCCTTCCCTCCGCCCTTGATCCGCTCCTTGCCAAAGACCTCAACAACCTTCTTCCCCGCCTGCATCACCAAGTCGTCCGACCCGACAATCAAGACTGATCCTCCAGCACTCGCAGCGTTCGGCGAACCGGCTGTCGCGCCCGAAGCGAGGACAAAGAGGTGCTTGTTCGCGTCCGCCGGAAGCGCCTCGATGCGCGGCTTGAGCTCGAGCGAGATGGACGAGAGAAACTCGAGCGAGTTCGTCGCGTCTTCCTCCCTGAACGAGAGCGCCTTGAGCGTCTGGCCCTCCGCCTTCGTCGCCTGCTCCCACAAGTCCTTCGCAACCCAACTCGCTAACTCGCCCGCCAACCGCTTCTGGTTCCGCCTGCCGTCACTCACGCCGTTGACGAGTCCTTCGACTTTGGTAGGCAGGTCGGGGATGGCGCAACCGGCGGAGAGTGCGGCTTCGCGCGCTGCAGTGTGCATGGAGGAGAGGTAGGCGAGGAGACGAGGGGCGCCGACGGCAAAGTATACGCGCGCATTCGTGCCGCGGATGGAAGTCGTGTTGGGAGAGATGTAGAGCGTGCGGAGGTAGGCGAGTGAGGGGTAGTGCGTGCCGCAACAGCTGAAGGAGCGGATGTCAATCGCAAGTTCAGCAAGGGCACAGAATGCGAACGCACGGGTTCTCGTCGAGCTCGTCGATGATGACCGTCCGCTGTACAGGCGGTCGCTCGCCAGACTCGTCCGCTCGGTAGTCTTCCGGAACTTTTTCGCCGAGCCGGATGCCCGTCTCTAACGTTGCCAGCTCGAATCTGACGCTGATTGGCCGCGCTTCGCCAATCAGGTCGTTGCAGCGCTTCTGGACGTAGGTGATTTCGTCGGCTGTCGGAGCACGAGGTAGCTCGACGTAGCAGAGCTCGGGGAACTTCTGGAGGGACCAGGAAAGCGTGTCGAGCTTGAGGTCCTGCTCGAAGACGGCAGACAGGAGCTGTGCACAAGACTCATCAGCGGGAGTCTCATGGACGCGTATGAAGACGGACGCACGTGCTGCCCAGTGTGCTGATCCATCAAGTCTCGTCGACGTTCCATGTCTACCTCGACGCGGACCTTCGTGCCGACCTCGATCGGCTTTGAGACATAGTGCACGGCGTCAAGGTTGCGCCTGAGCACTTGTCGAACGATAATCGGCTCGCCCGCCTGACCGTCCTGGCCTACAACCAGAGGGACGAGTCGTCCGCTGTCCGAATTCTGGCCGCCGCCTTCAGGGAAGAGAACCGTGTCGAGCAGCTCCACCTCCCACTCTTCCGCAGGCGCTTCTGCTGTCTTCCCCGCGTCCGCTGCACCCTTCTTGCCCTTTGCCTTCGCAACCTGATGAACCGGCGCAACTTTATCGCAACGAGTAACGGTCGTCTCGAGAGTGGAGAGCAGAGGATCGCGCTGGCACGCAAGAATGCCAACGTAGCGGCGCTCAGGCAGATCGAACGTGAGCTTGGCGTAGGTGGATGGCGTTGCGGACGATGAGGAAGCGTGCGGGGTGGATGTGGCGTGGACAAGGGAGGAGAGCGGCTGGGCGGTGCTGGCCGTTGCCATTGTGAACGAGCAGAGTCTATTGAGCGGTAGCAAGCGACGAAAGCCAGAGAGCGAGCGAACGAGCATCCGCAAGAGGCGAAGGGTGCCGTCGGACGAGGAGATGGTCCGGAAACCTCGCACAAATCGGACAGCTAGAGCGTGAGAGACTTTGTTACAACACTCGTGAATACACGCGGACTACGCCTTCGCACCGAGCTTGCGCTGGGCCTGCCGCAACTGCGTCTTCAGCGACGAGACTTCGCTCTGGACGGTGCTCAGCTCCTGCGGGAGTGCGAAGGCGTCAGTGACAGACGGCAGACTGCTCGTGGCGGGCGAAGCGCACCTCGAGAAGCTGCGCCCGCGTCCGCTGTTCCCGCTTCTGTGCATCGGCCAACTCCTCCTCAAGGTCGGAGATCTGGTCTCGCAGCTCCTGCAGCTCGCCATCGCCTGCCGTCGACGCAGCGGGTACTGAGGGTGTAGGCGCAGGCCGAGCGGCGGCGGCGTCGACCTTCTCTTGCAAAGCCGCCTTGTCCGCCTCGAGCGTCCGGATCTGCATCTCGAGTTTCCGCTTCTCCGCCCGCGTCGTCTCGAGCGATTCGGTCAGGCTGTGAAGTGAAAGGTCAGCAGGGTAAGAGCCAAATGCCGAAGACTGCACGCACTCATTCAGTCGCTCAAGCATCGAGACCTCCTGCTTCGCCGAGACCTCGATCCGCTCTTCAAGCTCCTTGACCTGCGACCGGCATCGGAGTCCGTCGGCGCAGTCACAAGAGCACTGTATCGCGACGGCACGTACCTTCGCCTCAAGGCTTCCCTGCGCATCGGCGCTCTTCTTCCTGCTCTCCTCCGCAGATCCCTTCTCCTCCTCGAGCGACGCTAGACGCTGCGTGAGCTGCTGGTGCTCAGTCGATAGCGTCCGCACCCGTTCGACGAGGCTGTCGACTGAGAAGTCGGCCGGAGAGAAAGAGGCAGGACCGGTTGCGCCCTTCTTGAAGAGCGAGCCCAGCTGCTTGCGTCCTGGCAGGGTTGCCGCTGCTGACCGAGGTGCAGACTCGTCGAGGGGTGGCATCGACTGCCAGAGGTCTTGCAGTCGCGAAGACGCCTTGTCGTGCTCGCCGAGTTGCCCTTCGAGCGCCGCGATGCGCGACTGTGCGGCAGCCAACTCTTCTCGTCCCCGCAACTCCGCTGCCTTCGCCTCTTCGAGCTGAGACTCGAGCGTCGAGAGCGAGGCAATACGGCTCTCGTGCTCCTGCGATTGCGAGCGCAGGAGGTCGAGTTCCGTCTCGAGCGAGTCGCGCTCGGCTTGAACGGAGGCGACATCGGCTTCGAGGTTCTGGCATCGCTCATGCGCCTGATCGAGTTCCGCTTCGAGGTCGGATCGGCCAGTGTCGTGCTCGTCGCGGAGCGAGTTGAGCTCGTTGACGTGCGAAGTGAGCTTGTCGAAGTGCGAGTCGAGGGTGGAGGAGAGGTAGGCGGGCAGGTCATCGCGCTCAGTCGTGTCGTCGAAAGCGGGCGATTCGCGAAGAGCGACGCCAAGCGTTGGTCGCATACGATGCCGGCGGAGGACGTCGCCGATGGACTGCACGACAGCCTGCCGCTCCGACTCGAGCTGACGAACCCTCGCTTCCGCCGCTGCATCGCTAGCCGGCTGCGCCTCAGCCGAAGCAGTCGATGCCGCTCCCGCCTCAGCAACCTTCAGCTTCTCCTCCCACTCGCGCCTTTCAGCCGCAGTTTCCTCCTCAGTCCGCTGCAGCTCCTCCTCCAGCTCCTTGACGCGCTCCTCCACCTCCTCCAGCTTGTGCTGCGCCTCAGCAAGCTCCATTCCGACGTCCCGCAATTTGCGCGACGAGTCCTGCGCCTCCTGCTTCACCGCTTCGAGGTCGCGTTGGGCGTCGCCCGACGAGCCTTGGAACGCCGCGAGCTGGCTACGGTGCTCCTCAGCTTCGCGCCGAGCGTCCTCCGTCTCGGACCGCGCATGCTCGTGGTCTGCTCGCGCCTGATCGACCTCCTCCCTGAAGCGCTCGACCTCCTCCTCGAGCGATCGTATCCGTTCCTGTGCGCCTGCCTGCTCCTGGCTTGCGCGCGACCTGACGTTCTCCAAGTCTCCCTTCACCGCTCGGATCTCCTCCTCAGCCTGCTGCTTCGTCGCATCGAGCGCACGTTCAAGGTCCGCAACCTGCCCCTCCAACTCCTTAACCTTGCTCGTCTGCTCCGCCAAGTCATGCTGGAGCTGCACCGCGTTTGCGCCGAAAGTCCCGCTCTGGCCAGGCTGAGGACTAGCGTAGGGCGAGCCGTTTGCGCGAGGGAGGGGGACGACGGCTTCGCGATTGCCGGCGAAGAAGTGGGCGCCGTCGAAGCGCGGGAGGGTCGCTGAGCCTGGCGGAGAGTGGGTGTCGCGGTGTGCTGACGACGGTACTGGTAAAGACGGTTGGAACACGGATGTCTGCTGGATCTCCTCCTCCTTCCGTCGCAAGGCAATCGCGAGCACGCCTGCCGTATGCCGCAACAACCGACCCTGCAACTCTGCATCCCTTGCCGTCTGCTTCCGCAAATCCGACTCGAGCGCATCGAGCTTGGCCTGTGCGGTCGCCAGTTGCGCTTCGGCTTGCTCGCGAGTTACGCGTGGTCGAGCGGGAGAGCCGGGGTTCGAGGGAGGGAGGGTACTGGCGGGGGCGGAGAGGCGGACAAGCTTGGCGGCTGAATCTCGAAGACGGGTCTCGAGGGCGACAGAGCGGTTGAGGGAGGTAAGGCGGGTCGCGAGGAGGGCATGCTCCTGCGAGAGGGTTTTGTGTAAGCTGGCAGGAGTCGTCAAGGCGAGATCAGGACGCACCTTCTTCAGCTCCTGCATCTCTTCCCAACTCAGAATGTCGTAGTCTTTCGCTTCGACGACAGCTGCTCCGCTCAGTAGCTCGATCATAAGCGAGTCCTTCTGCATCGCCGAAGTTGACGCAGACAACGCTGCTTCGGGCGAGAAAGGCCGGCCATTCGCGCCAGTGCCCCTCGGAGGCAACGCAGTACCGAACGAAGAGTGGCTTGACGAGCGAGTGTGGCCGCGATCAGGCGAAGTGGGCGGAGGAGGCGACCTGGCCTGTCCGAACGGCAGCCTTTCCGGCTCAAAGTCCTCCGGCGCTGGTTGTAGCGTCATGCTCGACGAGTTGCCCGTCTGTCCTGACCCACTTGCCGTCGTCGAGACCGTGTCAGGCCTCGTGAGTTTGCCGGACCCGCTTCGCGTCAACCCGCCGCCGAGACCGCCAAACCAGCCTTTCTTCGGCTCGCCATGCGCGTCCGTTCCCAGTGGGTATTCGCTGGTCGGTGTAGCGGGCGGAGAGGAGCGGTCGTGGGTGGTCGAGATTGGCGAGGATAGGGCGTCGGAAGCGAGAGAACCGGACGTCGACGAGCCGGTCAGGCTTGTGCCGCCAAAGATGCGTCTCTGTGGGCCACGAAAGGTCATTGTCAGCGCTGCCCAGTGAGCTGCGGACGAGCAGACTCACCATCTTCGGGACAGCCTCCTCGAGAGCTCCCGTTTGGCGATTTCGAGGTGTGGCGGGCGAGTGGGAGGGTTGCGGGTCACAAGCAGAGCGTGTCTCCAGTCACAGTAACCCGTCTAGCGTCTCAAGCAAGCAAGCAGCCGTCAGAGGTGAGTTGTGCTCTCCCAAGTCGCGACTCTTTCATCAACCGCAACATCTGGTCCCGCTTTCTCGCTCTGGCTGGCTCGCTTGGCATCGGGACAGGCTCATACACGGCTCTTGAGGACAGTGCTACACTCGGACGGGCTTGAACGGTTGCGGGAGGTGCTGTCTCCGCCTAATCGCCTCGACGCGTACGTCCGCGTGTTCATCTCCCCGACGAAGCGCTGTGCAGGCTCGCTGACCTCGTCAATGCACGCAAAACAGTCCACGATGGCGTCCAACGGCGACGACCGCCCCTCCATCCGCGACGCCAACCTCGCTCTCGCCTCGCTCCTCACGGCTCTCAAGCAGTCTGGCAACTCGCCCGCCTCGGCATCGCACAATGCAGCTCAGTCATCACCAGCGGCTCAGCAGCACTGTCAGCATGTCGTCCAGTCATCGCCGGCTTACACGCCTGCCGCCTCTTCCGTCGCAAATGCCCTACCGACACCTTCGGCTCAGACAGCCGCTGACTTGAGCGAGCTCGGGACGTACGAGTTGTTGCTCCAGCTTGGAGCACACCTTGGCGTCATGGGAACGCCACAGGACGCGTCCGCGAGCCAGGCGGGACAAGCGAGCGCACCTCAGGCGGGTCCATCGAGGGTGCCGGGTGTCGGAATGGTGGGCGGCAAGGCGCCCAAGAATAGGAGCATGCACGAAGCCAGCACGTCAGCCTTGGCGGGACCTTCGACGGACCCACACCTCGGCATGGTCTACCACCCTCAGCCCACTCGATCCGGTCGTGTCCCGCAAGCACCCTCGAACAACTCGACTACCGACCCTTCAACCGTTCTCTTCAACGACTTCTTCGACTTCCCCTCGGACGACGAGGAAGAAGACCCCGACTTTGACCCGAACGACCCGATGGTCGATTTCTGGGGCGACTTGCTGTCGAAGGAGCGGGCGGATGGGGACGTGACGGAGAACGAGGGCGATTGGGCGGGCGGAAATACGCAGGGGATCACGGGCGACGAGTTTGCGAGGGAGATCGCGCTGCTTACGAGTACGCTCGACGATCCGCTGCCGACCGTCGATGGGCTTGACGTGAGCGGGAGGGGCAGGGCGACTTCGTCCGCTACCCCGCCAACGTTGCGCTCTTCTCCTCGTCGTCGAGCGACAGGCATTCCCGTCACCCAGTCGGCGCCGCGACAGACGTCGCCTCGCAGGCGCAGGCGCGGTCTTTCACCCGTTCCGGAAGACCCGGACGCTCACGCCACGACCTCCGGCTTCCAGTACGATCCTCCACTCTCCCTTCACCAGCAGCTTGCCCTTCACCCGCTCCTCAACTACCAGCAAAACGTCGACCCCAATCTTCAGCTCCCGCTGCCGCCTGCCTCGACCGCATCGACAGCGACGACGTCGATCGCCGACGAACCCGAAGAACCCGCGCCGAAGAAGAAGCGTACTCGCAAGCGCAAGTACACGCCTGAAGAAGCTGCCGCGCGGCGGAAGGAGCAGGAGAAGGAGCGGCAGGCCAAGCGGCGCAAGACGGAGAAGCAGCGCAAGCAGGAGCGCGAGCAGCAGTTTGAGCAGCTCGAGGTTGAGAACAAGGAATTGAAGGAGAAGTGTGCGGCGCTAGAAGAGCGGGTTCGCGATCTGGAGTGGCGGTTGAGGGAGAAGAGGAGGATGGCTGGAGGAGTTGGGGCGGAGGCGGCGGACGAGGGCGGCGAGGAGGAAGAGTCGGATGGTGGGGAGTACCAGGTGCAGAGCTCGGACGAGTCGAGCTCGGAGGAGGACTCGGAGGGCGAGGGACAGGACGCGGCGGCGTACATCGGTGCGGTCGCCGCCGAACTCGACCAGCTCCAGCAGGTCACGTCGCCGCCTCAGCCGAGTCCTGCGCCGTACCAGCCGCCTGCACCCGCCCCGCTCAACCTCAACCTCGCCAACATCGGCCAGGATGCCCTCTCCCAACTTCTCTCGATCGTCCACACGGCCGCGAAACAGCAAGGGATCGCTCTCGCCAACTCGCCCGCGTCCTAGGTCTCGTCAACGCGTCATTCTGTACTCTTTTCAGCTTGTTGTTGCCCTCTCTTTGCTGTAGACTTGATGCGAATCGATCCGACCTTCGCAACAGCGACGTGCGGAGGAGGTCGGGGGACGGTGGCGAGCGATGGCGCTGCCTCGTTTCTTCGCTCCAGCGGCTGCCATCCTGTTCTCTTGCTGTTTTGACAGGCGTGGCACGTCGTAGCGAGCGTCCGGCGACGGGGACAAGTGAAAGTTGCAACCCTTTATTTGCTGCGGAATTCGAGAATTCTTTCGCCCGCTTCGTTGCTCGGGCTGTCGAGTGTTCGTCGAGGCGAGTACGAACAAGCCGAAAGCAGCAAGCTGGCAAGAGACGAGAGTTGTCGGATCGATTCGTGTCGCGCTGTCCCGACGAAGCGAAGTTCGGGACGACTTGGACGAGCCGCTCCTCTCTGTCCTCTTGCTTCCTTTCTCCCAGACACACTTGCTACCACACACTACAATGTCGATGAACACACTCGCACGGCGGACGCTCCTCAGCGCCGTCCACCACCCGTCCCCACTCTCATCAACCAACCTCTTCGTCTACACCCGCTCCTTTGCGACATCCTCCCTCCTCCGCTCGCCTACCCAGACGCCAGTCGTACTCGCAGAACAGCCTCCAACACGATCCTTCCAGCCCCATCACCGCGGTGCGTCTCCCGTGCCACTTTCTCACCGTCGGCTTTCCCACGAAACTGACTGGCCGCTCGTCACCCCCATTTCTCCCATGTCCCTGTCCTCTTCCCTTCGACGTTGCTTCGACGCTGGACGCACTCTACAGATGCCGGCATCGTTCCTACCCCCGAACCTTCGACGCCTGCGCCCAAGGACGAATGGAAGCACAGCCGTCCACACGAGGATTGGGTCCTCTCGCATCCCGTTTACCAGCGTGCCGACCTCGAGAAGGTCCAGGTCGTCCATTTTGAGCCCAAGACGCTCGGCGACCGGCTCGCGTACATGATGGTGCGCTTCGCAAGGCGCGGATTCGACCTGGTCAGCGGGTACAAGGTGCGTATGCGTCCCTGCGTCCGGAGCGCGTTCAATTCGAGGAATGAGCAGTGCTCACACCTCTCCGTTACAGCACGCTGATCCCGCCGCCGCCCGTGAAGCCGCCAAGAAGGCCGGCAAGGAGAACCTGGTAAGCGCGAGTTCCTCATGGCGGCTCCTTCAAATATACAGTCGCTGACCCAGTACGGTACAGTCTGTCGAGGAGCTGCAGAAGGAGGGTTTCTTGATGTCGGAGAAGCAGTGGATGAGCCGTATTCTCTTCGTGCGTTCTGGTTCTTTCGCTCCCCCTCTCTCTTCGCTAGTACTGACATGTGTCATCTCCTACAGCTCGAGTCCATCGCCGGCGTACCAGGCTTCACCGCCGGCATCCTTCGCCATCTTCGCTCCCTCCGCCTGATGCGACGCGACGGCGGCTGGATTAACTCGTTGCTCGAGGAGGCCGAGAACGAGCGCATGCACCTTTTGACATTCCTCAAAGCGAGTCCAACTCAGACCTGCTGTAGAGACTTCGCTGACCTCTCCGCCGCCCCCAGATTCGCCAGCCATCGATGTTTTTCCGCGGCCTCGTGCTCGGCGCCCAGGGCGTCTTCTTCAACATGTTCTTCTTCAGCTATCTGATCTGTGCGCTCAACCTCGCGCTGATCTGGCGCACGGAGGAGATCCAGCAGCTGACCTCGTTTCGCCGACAGCTCCCAAGGCTTGCCACCGCTTCGTCGGGTACCTGTACGTCCTTCCGCTCTTCTCGCGCTCAACATGCGCATACTCGAGACTGACACTCGGCTGTAACCTTTGTACAGCGAAGAGGAAGGCGAGTCTCACCGCGACTTGGTTTCTCCAGCTCTCAAGCTGACCATCGCCTCCCCTTCGCAGCCGTGAAGACCTACACGCATATCATCGAGGCGATCCAGCGCGGCGAGATCCCCGAGTGGGCCGAGGGAGGCAAGAGGAAGGTGCCGCAGGTGGCGAAGGACTTTTGGCGCCTGAGCGATGATGCGACGAGTGCGTCGTTCCCTCTTCTGGTTCGAACTTTCGCGAGACTGACTCTCGTCTCCCAAAGTGCTCGACCTCGTCCGCGCCGTCCGCGCCGACGAAGCAGGACACCGGTACGCCCTTTCCTCCTCATCTTCTGCCTCAGTCAACCTTCCTAACCCTCTCCTCCCTACCAGCTTCGTCAACCACACCCTCGCGAACCTGCGCAAAGACGACATCAACCCAGTCTCGATGGTCCACCAGTCACCGACGATGCAGGGCCAACTTCCTGGCTTCACGCGCGACGAGAGTCTTGCGTGGGCTAGGAAGGTGCAGGAGGAGCTGACGGGGAAGAAGGTCGAGGAGGGGGAGAAGAAGGAGGACTAGAGGAGAGGTAGAGACGCGCGGTCGTGAAGAGGAGGGTTTGGGTCTGTCGCATCTTCGCATCTCGATTGTTCTGTTTCGGCTTTTGTTCTTCGCTCGTTCTTGTTCGTTCGCATATTCTCTGTCCTGCCGCATCCATAGATTCCCTTCTTGTAGCATCTTCTGTTCTTCATGTCAATCTCCGCTCCTATCGAAACATCCTCTGGCGCTCGTTGCCTTGTTCCGCTTGTCCTGCTGCCGCAAAGCCCAAGCAGAAATCGTGCAGGTGTGCGAACGGGCAGCAGAATATCGTGCAGCATCGCTGATGAGCGCGAGTGAGCACTCAACCGTACAAGTTTGTAATTGCAAAATGCAGGCTGTCTCTCAAGCAAAGCCCGGTTAGCTCAGTCGGTAGAGCACCAGACTCTTAATCTGGTGGTCGTGGGTTCGAGCCCCACATTGGGCGACTTCCTTTTTTGCTGCTTCTCGCTTTCGCTGCTGGCCGCCCGCACTACGTAGACGAGGACGGCGAGCTCTAGTTTTTCGCACGAGCTGGACGGAGCGCGCACATGGAACGGAGCGATGATTTGCGAAAAGGTATCGTTCTTTACAGGCTCGACCGAAAGTGTACGGGGTGCAGAGAGCCCTCTAGAGCACGCCAGCCTCCTTGAGCTTGGCGACGACCTCGTCAACCGACTCGACCTTGGCGCCGCCCTGTCGTGGAGGAGGAGCCTTGACGTCGACGGTCTCGAGACGAGGGGTGAAGTCGGCCTTGACGTCTTCGGGCTTGAGCTTCTTCATGGGCTTCTTCTTGGCCTGTACAACTGGGAGTGTCAGGTCTGGCCAGGAACCTGCAGCAAGCGCGGCGCACGAGGCGCGGCAGTCGCAAGTCTCTCAACCGAACGCACCTTCATGATGTTGGGCAAGCTGGCGTAGCGAGGCTGGTTCAGGCGCAAGTCGGTCGTGACGATCGCCGGGAGCTGCATCTTGAGCGTCTCGAGACCTCCATCAATCTCGCGCGAGACGGTGACCTGCTTCCCAGCCGCGTCGAGGTCGACCTTGCTCGCAAAGTTGGCCTGCGGCCATCCAAGCATGCCCGCGAGCATTCCACCGACCTGGCTCGAGTCATCGTCGATAGCCTGCTTGCCCATGATGACGAGGTCGGGCGACTCGGTGCCGACGAGCTCCTTGAGCGCCTTGGCGACCGCGAGAGGCTCGACGACCTGGTCCTCGGCCGTCTCGACGTGAATCGCGTCGTCGGCGCCCATCGCGAGCGCGGTACGCAAGACCTCGGACGCCTTGGCAGGACCGATGCTCACGACCGTGATCTTCTCGATGGCGTCCTTTGCCTTCTCGCGCAACCGGACGGCCTCCTCGACGGCTGCGCACCAACTTCCGTTAGCATTGAACTCCGCCACGCTCAGCGTAACGGAACATACCAATCTCGTCAAACGGGTTCTGCACGAACGCAAAGTCGGCAACCCGGGATCAGCTTGCGTCTCCACCTCCAAGAAGCAGCGCACGCACCATCGAGTGCTTGACACCCTTCGTCTCAACGCCCTTCGGCCCTACGCGGATTTTGACCGCATCTGTTGAAGCGAGGGATGGACGGGGTTAGCGGGAGAGGTCGGGAGGAGCAAGGGGACGCAACGGCGGGCTGCCGCGCGCGAGAGCCGAAGAAGAAGGTGGACGCACAGTCGACGGTGCGCTTGACGGGCACGAGGAGCTTGAGCCAGGAAGGAGGAGTGGGGCGCATAGTGAGGGAGGTGAGGGGGGAGAAGTCGAGCGGCGGGCTGCAGGGAAGTCGGGCTGTCAGCCCTCTGCGCAGTTCTTATCCTGAAACACCACCTTGCAGTCCCTCGAAAACCACACAGCGGCGCTTCGATGAGACGGAGCGGGATGCGGATGAGAGGACGAGAACGCCGTGCAGCCGCCGCCAGGGCCCGCGCGGCGGCGAGAACAACAGACCGCACCTTTTTGAGAGTCAAGCGAAGGCTAGCGAGTGCACTCGAGCTGTGAGCGTCGTGCGATGAAGAGGTAAGAGCGCGAGGAGAAGACCGGCTGGCCGGCGACAAGTCGCAGACCTCGCTCATCATTCTGCAGGACGTTGAGTGTACTGAGATTACTTTCGTATCCTCTCGAGACAGAGGCGGACAGAGCCGGCGCGCAAAAGAGAGGAGAGGGCAGGCCAAACCCCGCGGACGAACAACCTTTACACGGCTCTTCTCAGCGAAACATACCACAAGTACCTACTAAACGACACGAACAACTCCCTAAACCACCTCTTCTGGCTCTGGTGCGCATCGAAGGAGCGCCGCGTCTGGAGGTATTGCCGAGGCGTATTGACGAAGAGGGCGGTTGACGGGCTGAGGACGGTCCGGATGGTGTGGAAGGGCAAGAGAACGAGGGAGGTGTACTTGGCGAACAGGGGAGTCGACTCGACCATGTAGACGGGCGGGAAGGCAGGGTCAGAGCGGGCCACGGATCTGCGAGGCGAGATGGAGGTCAGTTGGCCCGCTGTAGCAATGATTGAGCGACGTACTGAAGAGCGGCTGAGGTAGCGCGATGATTGGCATGCCCAGAGACGCCATAGTCGTCGAATGTTAGGACCTAGGTGGAGACGAAGGTCAGCCTTGCGCTACAGGGCAACGGACGGAGCCGCACCGTGTCTACGCTCCATCGCTCTATGTACCCCCTGACCGCCGCTTCTACTGCTTCGGTACTCCACCGCACCGTCGGATCGTCCGGCAGCGTCCTTCGACAAGCCAGCTCAGCTCGCAGGGAGAGATGAGATGCGAAAGCGGACTCACGGGTCATCCAAAGCGACGCAGCGTTCTTCCGGTATGCCCAGCGTCCGACACGACGCTTTGAGCTCCTTTCCTCGCGTCTGGCCCAGGCCTTCGTGGTTTCCTGCGCGTGGGGGAAGGCGAGTGAGCAGTCAAGTTCGGGGTCGCCGCAGCCGGAACACGCGACGTACCAACCGAGAGGCATAGCAAGCTCCCCAGTCGTCCTTCGCCAGTCTCCAGCAAACTCAAGATGCTCGGCGCAAAGAAGAAAGACTCGTCATCGGCTGTTGAAGTAGGGAAAGAGCGAGCGAGAGCACAAAGGTGAGCCTGCATCCCTCAACACCCGAGCGAAACGAGCACGAGCTCCGCCTCACGATGCGATATGACCCAAAGCACCGACTTGGCGTCCCTCAAGCCTGCCGGAACGAAGTGCGGAGCGAGGGAGTCCTTCGAGGCGATGAGGAGGAGGGAGAGGAGGAGAAGGAGCGGAAGCAGGCGGCGGACGAGCAGGCGCGCCCATCGTCGTGGTCTGAGCATCCGTGTATGCTACACATGCCGATCTGGTCAGTTGACGAGGAGCAGGAGGACGAGCAGGAATCCAGGTTCGCCTGACAGAGAGCACACACCCTTGGCGTTGAGACGACCGTAGACGCCAATACCGGCGATGCTGTAGCAGTCTTTCCCTGTGCAGAGCAGCCACGGACCAGCCGGAGCGAGATGTCAGAGGATGACCTCGTCGCTGTCCGAGAGCAACCCTCTCCTGCTCGTCCAACAACGCTCTCCCAGCCTGTGGAGGTTCCGGAAGGCTCCTGCTAGACTCAAAATACTCGCTGCCCATCAGATCCTGCGCCATGCTCGACCTCCTGTCCGAATCGCTCAAGGGACGGTGTCTGTTCGCGATCCCAAAGAAGGGTGCGTCGCAGCCTCGCCTACTCGCTCTGGACGCGCACTGACAAGCGGATCTGGTGCAGGACGGCTGTACGAGAAGTGCCTGCAGCTCCTGTCAGGTGCGTCCGCCCTTCTTTGCCTTCATTGCGAGCCGACAACCAGAGCTGACTCTCTCCGAACGTTCGCTCAGGCGCCGACATCCAGTTCACTCGCTCGCACCGCCTCGATGTCTGCCTCGTCCGCAACCACAACATGGCACTGTGCGTGCCCGTCCATCGCCGCTTTGAACGGAGTCCCGGTTGCTCACCTTCTCCCGCTCGCAGCGTCTTCCTCCCTGCGGCCGACATCCCGCGCTTCGTCGGCGAGGGTAACGTCCACTTCGGCATCACGGGCCAAGACATGGTTGCGGAAGCAGACGTGAACGGACTCGTCTCGGAGACGCTCCAGCTCGAGTTCGGAAAGTGCAAGTTGCAGGTCCAGGTGCCCGAGCGAGGCGACATCAAGACGGTCGAGGATCTCGTCGGCAAGAAGGTCGTCACCAGCTTCGAGGTCCTTGCGGGACGGTACTTTGGCGAGCTGGATGCCAAGAGCGGGAAGGAGGGCGTCAAGACCAAGATCGAGTACATTGGCGGCAGTGTCGAGGCGGCATGCGCGTTGGGCCTTGCGGACGGCATCGGTGCGTGGAACCTTATGAAGTTGTCTTTCTGCGGCAATTGTTGGCTGACCAGGCATCCGCGAACTCCTACTGTGTACAGTCGACCTTGTCGGTGCGCTCCTTCCTCTCAGTAGCCTTCAGTCCTAGTCAGCTGACTCACTGCCATTGCAGAGTCGGGCGAGACGATGCGCGCAGCAGGCCTTCACGCAATCGAGACGATCCTGACTTCGCAAGCCGTCCTCATCCGCTCCAACAAGCCTGCGGACGAACACGACGCCCTGATCGAGCGCATCACCTCTCGCATCGCCGGTGTCGTCGCAGCAGGCAAATACGTCTTGTGCAACTACAACATCCCGAGGAAGGTCGTGCAGGAGGCGACGAGGGTCACGCCTGGTCGGAGGGCGGCGACGGTTTCTCCCTTGGATGACCCCGACTGGGTCGCGGTGAGCAGTATGGTGTTGAAGGCGCAGGTGGCGGACGTCATGGACAAGCTGCAGGTGCGCGCGCGACCTTTTCTCCCTTCTCCTGTCTCCGGCCGCGATGCTCACTGCGCCCTCTCGCATTCGCAGGCCATCGGCGCATCCGATATCCTCGTCATCGGTCTCAACAACTGCCGCGTCTAGTCTCCCCTACGTGGTGCCCTGCTTAATCATTCCCCTACATAGACTTCCGAAAAGACACGCGAGCAAACCCATCCTGCATTATACGACTCGCCGGAACTCCTCGCGCACACTCTGAGAGGACTGGAGAGAGACTGGATGGACTGCGTTACAGGTGAGGGAGGGGTACTGAGGGCGATGCGTAGAAGGTACAGCGGGACACGAGGGAAGGCGAGAGACAGTATGTGCGGGTATCGGGTTAAGCGTCCGAGCGGTGTCGAGCCAGCGACGAGAACTTCAGACTGCGGCGCGAACACCGTCAGCTCCGGAAAGGAAGAAGCGCAGGGGAAGCGGACCCACTCTGGAAGACGCTCTCGCTGTATTCCTTCCGGTTCTTCGCTGCCTCCGAACGGAGGATCTCGCCGATCTGCGCGCACGGATGTCAGCGTCGTATCAGAGGAGGGAGAATGCGAAGCGGACACACTTCGGGGTCAGGCTGCAAACCGAGTTTCTCGGCGCGCTCGAATCGCTCAAGTCGGCTGTCGACGGTTTCCTCGTCAGTCTCGCTCGCACATGGAAGGGAAGAGGACGCACCTGATCCTGCTGCACGGTCCGAACTCCTCGTCCGCATCGAACACACGCAAGATAATCTCGATGTCGTCCATCTCGTCGCGGTGGACTGTCACCCATAACTCCTGTCAGCTTCGCTCTTCCTCGTCGACCGAAACGGTGTGAGAACGCACTAGCAGGGCCCATCTTCCTCACCGCCTCCCTATACAACCTCGGATACAACCCCTCCAACCCACTCCTCTTCCTCTCAAGCTTGACCTTCTTCGTCGCGGGCTCTTTCGCTCCCTTCCCACCCGCTGCAGCGCTCTTCTTCGAACTGCTGAAACCGAGTTTGGTTGACGAGGCGGATTTGGAGGTTGTGGAGCGGGATTTGGGTGGCATGGTGGGCGAGTGACGGCTAGGTTGCGGGTACCGAGTGGTAGGATGCGACGGAGAGCTGTGCTGAGTTAGGAGGCGAGAGTCAGCATCCCTTCCTTCCCGCCCCAGCCGTCCCAGTACCTTCGGGCGATGAGGTCAAGAGATGGCGGGGCGGGTCCTCAAGCACCACACAGCGCGTGGGCAGCTCGCGCACCCGCCTGCAAGTGTGCAACGCACCTTTTGATGTTCAGTCCGAGAGATAGCGAACTTTGGAGCTGTGAGAGCGGTGTGAAGCAGCGAGAGCGAGGATGGTCGACCCTGGTCAGGCTGGATCGAGGGCAAGTTGACATCTCGCAGGGCACGTAAGAGCCGAGCTAGTAGTGCTTGAACCGCCCTCCCTGAATGGCATGCAAGTCGCGAAGGAGCCAGGCGACGACTGCGCATTTTTGACATCTCTCGCTCAACAAGCCTCGATCGCAAATGAGCGGGAGAGGAATGACAATGCGGGCGCAGGGAAGGAGTGTCTGTTGCAGTCTGTATTGTGTGTGAGGTGAGGTAAGAGTGGATGCACGAGCGAGACGAGGAGTACGACAACGGGACAAGAGGGGGCGGAACGAGAGTACAGAGCGAAAGGCGAAGGAGGAGCGAGAGGCTGCGCAGGAAGGGTATACGCCGGGCTGAGGCTGACGCGGTGACGGCTAGTTGACGATGATCGAGCTGATGAGTTCGCCGAGAGGCGCGAGTTCCTTCTTGTCGACGAGCTTGAACTGCGCGCGAGAAGCTGTAATGTGAGCATCGCCGAGCGATGCACGGTGTGGAGGGACCGCACCTCGTCGAGGAACAGAATGAAGTGGTGGAAGGAGGTGTTGAGGTGGGCTGCGGACGACAAGACGGCGCTGGAGTCAGCGCTCCCGCTCGCCAGTCGAGGCAAGCCATGGTGACAGGTCTCGTCCTCCGCAACGCACCTTCGATACTCAGCGCACACATCTGCGCAAAGTGGTGGTTGTACAAGTGCGCATAGACACGGAACAGTCGTCGGACGATCGACTTGACGGTCGCCTGGAAGGTCTTGGGGAAGGGAACGCCTGTCATGGGCGAGGACGAGCGTCAGCGCGTGGTCCGTGCGAGGAGAGGAGAGGCAGACGGACCTGGCTTGCTGGGGAAGATGGCTTCGTCGTCGAGCATCCCCTGGACCCAGTTCATCAGATGCTCGACATAGTCTGTGCCAGCCCGCCGTGACTCCATGTAGATCAGCGCCATCGTCTCGGGACATAGCAGCGACCAAAAAGCGCAAGCGAACGCACCAGGCGCAGACATCTTCGTCGGCCGCTTGTACTTGACGCCGTCCTGCCAATGGTACTCGAAGCGCGGGCCGGCGCACATGACGGGGCATTCTTGCTGCGTGCAGAACTCGGTGACGCAGCCGTACTGTTGCGGGAGGGGCGTTAGTTGATAGACTGGGGAGAGGGGCAGGAGAGGGACGAACGAGCATGTTCAGTTGGTTGAAGAAGTCGACGGCTGTGCGAGGTCACCACGACACATCAAGCTAGTTATCAGCAAGGATTCTACACTCGCGTAAATTGGCGCGACAGCGCACTGTTGACAGCAAGCCATTCGTTGAGGTCCTCGCCTTCGGGGAGAACGACCGCCATCCGCAGATTCCCCGAGCCGAGCCTGTTCCGCGCTCGTCAGCTTCGTCCACCCGGCCACATGTCCCGAGTCAAACGCACGTAGCCTCCGCATACCTGCAACAGCAAGACAACCCGGTCAGTCGCCCTGCATTCCTGACCCGCTCAAGACACCGGACGCACTTCTTCAGCTGATACGCGCGCGTACTGTTATCCGCCTGCGTCCTCCGGGGTTTAAACGTGCGTCCTCCTCGTGCCCTGCGATGGCGGCGATGAGGGGAGGGTGTGAGCGCGTCGAGAGGAGAGGCGGAGAGAGGGGACGAACAATCCGCCGACGGTGCCGAAGAAACTCATGGCCGGTCAGTAGCGAATGTGGCAGCGGTCTGAACTTAGCAGAACAGCCCAGCGAGCGAGTAAGCGAGAGTGAGCGTGGCTTGAAGGACGGAGAGAGCGGTCGCTCAACTTGGCGGCGACCACCACGCCGTCACCGCTCCGAGGGATGTCTGACACCACGCTGAGACTGCGTCGAGCTTTCAATGCGCCAGGAGACGACGACTCAGCCGACTCGAGCCGTCCTCTCGAGATCCTCGACCACTCTGGTTCGTTCACCCCACTCGAGACTGATGAGGCGTTTGTAGCGCTCACACGGCTTGCGGGAACGTGTGCAGAACAGACGCAGGCGGTTGACGAGTTGGTGGAGCAGGCTAGGCGGTCAGCGAGGCGATTTAGGACTGCTGCAGCTGGGCTGACCGCCATCGTCCTGTCGTGCGCTCCTCTCCTCCTCTCGCGGTCAAATTGAGGCTGACAATCTCTCCCTCTTCACGCAGATTGCTCGCGGTTGTTCGACTACCAGCCGAAGCTGTCCCCGCCTTCCTCTCCCGCCTCGCCTTCCTCAGCCTCCTCATCTCCCTCTTCCGCCAAATTTACGTGCTCCGCTCGTCCGCCTCCCTCTCCTTGCCTCCCGACGCACTGCCCGTACTTCCAACAGTCCTCGTCGCCCTCCTCGCATACCGCGCAGACTCTCTTGCAGACGAGAAGCGTCTACTCTGGACACTTGCGCCTGTTGGAGCACAAATTATTGCGCTGCTGCTCGATTGGGAGGCGCGGCGGGTCGTGGTGGGTGCTGAGGGGCTTAGAGGGTTGATGTACGATGCGCCGGAAGCGTAGGGCGCGGTACGGTCGTCTGTAATCCCTGTTGAACCTCTTTCTCGCCTTGACCGCATTCTCGAAACGCTCTCGCCTGCTTCCGGGTCCGCTTTTGCATGATTTCCGCAATACAGAGAGCGCTTCCAAGTGCGCTCCGCAAGCCTCACAGCTCAACGGAAGCGGTCCTCTCCCTCGACTTCCAGCCTGGTTGACAATCTTGCAAGCTTGCCACTTCTCCACACCACCCGCTCGCCGCTGATGCAGTTTGAAGACGCCGACGAAGCGACAGAGCTCGCAGCAGGCCACCTGCCACCCGCCACAGTCGACTTCACGACCCCGCGCGAGCGGGAGGGCGCGTTCGTGGACGAGTCGATGCCGGAGGACGAGGAGGACGAGGAGGACTTTGACGAGGAGGAGGAGGACTGGATCGAGAGGGATGACTTACAGGGTGGACTGTATGCTGTCATGGACCAGGACTGGGCGGATGCGGCCGGTGGTGCGTTCATCTGTCGCTCATTCACCTCGAGGAGGGGAGGGCGACTGATTCGGCTTGCACGGCGCAGACTTTACGAAGCGGTACAACAGGATGAAGCAGCAGGTGCTCGTCTCGCACGGCGCAGCAGCGCAGGACAAGGGGGGCTCGTCTACCTCGTCTGCATCCGCTCGAGCAGGAGGAGTTCTCCCCGCCGTCAACCGTCCCCGCCGTGCTCCTCAGGCTGCTGCGTCGACTTCGACGACGGCAAAGGCAGGTGAGAAGGAGGCGGTCCACCTGAACAAGGTGACGGACCAGCTCGCACACTACTCCCGCTTCGCCTCTCGCATCCAACTCGACCCGCTTTACATGACCTCCGGCACTGCGACTCGCAAGGGAGGATCCGAGAAGATTCTCGTCAAGGACAAGAGCGACCGCGCGACCAACGAGCAGGTTCTCGACCCTCGAACGCGCCTCATCCTCTTCAAGATGCTCGGACGCGGGCTGATAGAGCGCATTGACGGCTGCGTCTCGACTGGCAAAGAAGCGAACGTCTACCACGCCGTCTCGCCTGAAGGCAAGCACATCGCGCTCAAGATCTACAAGACCTCCATCCTCGTCTTCAAGGACCGCGACCGCTACGTGAGCGGCGAGTTCCGGTTCAAGTCGGGTTATGCGAGGAGCAACCCGCGCAAGATGGTGCGATTGTGGGCGGAGAAGGAGCTGCGGAATCTGCGGCGCATGAAGGGCGCGGGCTTGCGGGTGCCAGAGGCGATCGAGGTCCGGGAGAACGTCCTCGTGATGGACTTTATCGGCGAAGACGAGTGGCAGTGTGTCCAGTTCCCTCTTCCTCGCGTCCTCTCGTCCTGACGCCCTGCTCGCAGAGCATCGCCGCGACTGAAAGACGCCCAAATCCCGCCCGAGCAGCAGCGCTCGCTCTACGTCGAGATCCTCGTTCTCCTGCGCGCCATTTTCCACCGCTGCCGCCTCGTCCACGCCGACTTTTCCGAATACAACATCCTCTACCACCAGGGCCACTTGTGGGTCATCGACGTCTCGCAGTCGATCGAGCATGAGCACCCCTCTGCGTTCGATTTCCTTCGCGCCGATATCCAGAACGCCGAGGACTTCTTCGCCAAGCGCGGTGTCGATACACTCGGCTTGACGCGGACGTTCACCTTTGTCACGCGGGACTCGTGGGTTAGTGGGCGGGAAGAGACGGACGAGGACGCAGCGGAGGCGATCGAGCGGTTACTTGCGCAAGCCGAGGCGGAGGCGAACGAGCCTGCACAGGCAGACAGCGCGGGAGCGTCTGCGCAGCAGCAAGAAGCGGCGAAGCCTTCAGCGTCGGACGAGGCGGTCTTCGCCAAGTCTTACATCCCTCGAACGCTCGACGATGTGTACGATGCGGAGCGGGACGTTCAGCGCGTCTTGCGTGGCGAAGGCAAGGACCTCATCTACGCCGACATTACCGGTGTTGCGTCGATCCACGGTAAGGGGAACAAGGAGGAGGACGCAGCGGGCGGACTGGACGGTGTCGAGGAGGAAGGGCAGGATGAAGATTCGGACGACGACTCTGGCGACGAGGACGATAGCGACGAGGAGGACGAGGACGGCGAGAAGCAGCAGCGGCCGAAGGGCAAGAAGTTCGAGGACAAGGACGAGAAGAAGGTGCGCTCATCTCGTTTCGTCTCCTCTGAGCTCGACTCACACTTTCGCTACTCCCGCAGAAACGACGGCAGGAGGTCAAGGAGCAGAACCGCGAGAAGCGCGCGACGAAGATGAAGAAGAAAGACAAGGCAAGGAAAGTAAAGAAGACGTCGGGGAAGCGGTAGAACGGTGGCTCGGGCTGAAGCTGGGTGGCTCTACTCCTGTTGTGTATCTCTACCTGCATCGTCGCTCTCGCATCTAGACTTTGAGGAATGCGCATGCGATTGAGCGAAGTGCTACAACAGACAAGGAACGCAGCTCATGCCAACAGGAAACCCTTGACCGTGATGATGGGCGTCAAGACCTGCACCGGGATGGTCGTCTCGGCTTCGTCCTCGCTCGACTCTTCGTCCTCTGTAACGTCGCCTGCGATCGCGCCGAGGATGTTGGCGGCTGCCGCGCCAGACGTCGTCCAGGAGCCGGGTCGGAAGGCGAGGCCGGGTTCACGACTTGTCGAGCTTGCGGAGGACGGCGTGCGAGTCGCGCTCGCTGGCCGGGACGCAGGGCGAGACGCAGCGACCCGCTCGCCAGCCAACTCTGCCGCCTTCTTGCGCCGCAGGTCTTCTCCGGCCTGCGCGATGCGTGTGGCCGACGAGTTGTCGAATGGGATGTCGAAGAGGTCGAGGATGTACCGCCGCACCGTCAGTCGGTAGTGGTACCCTCCGAGCATCTGCAGGGCGCGGTACACCATCGCCGGCGACGAGAAGGCGGAGGAATGACGAGCTTTGAGCTTCGCCAGCGTCTTCGAAGCTTTCGTCGCGAGGATGTGGTTTGAGAGGTTGGCGAGGCTGGCGAGGATCTCGCGTTCGACGTGCGAGGAGGATGTGGCGAGGGAGAGGGAAGCGGGCAGTCGCGGCTCTGGTGCCGTCCATAGAGGAGTCTGCGGGCCGAAGCGTTAGCGCGGGCGTCAGTATCCGGTTGAAGCAGTGCACGTACATAGAGATAATCGCCAAGATACATCGGCACGCAGATGCCGGTCGGGCCGCAAAGCGGAGTCGAGACGCTCTCCCAGCCGAGCTCGTCGAGCATCTCGGCGCCCTCTTCCGTCGACGATATGAGGGCGATGGCGTAGGTGGCAGTACTGCGAGAGCGTTGCGGGTTAAGGGCAGCCGAACGTGGCAGACGAGGAGCGACTCACCCTCGGAGCGAGTAGACAGGAGAGAAGGCGGCGATCTGAACGATGTCGGCGAGGACGTCGAAGTCGTCGAGCAGCATCAGGCCAGAAGTGGATGAGCCGATGTGGCCCTGCAAACGCGGAGACGTCAGTGAGTGACGGCGGATGATAGGGTGCGAAAACGCACGACCGCCCAGAGCACGCTTTTGAGCGTCTCGATGAATTCTTGATCGAGGTCGGACTCGGCGTGCAACGAGATGATCGCCGCGAAGTCGTCAAAGTGTCCGCTGTCCCGCAGGATGTCGCAGCCTTCGTCCGTCTTGACGAGCTCGCCGTAGAAATGCGGCGGCGGAGTGCCGTCGAAGGGCGAGCTGCGAGCGTGGCATTGGTCAGGGCTGACTCCCGTTAGCGTGAGGAGTGATGCGCACCCAGCAGAGTGTACGCCGCCCTCGGTCTTGAGCGCGATAGCGAGCGCTAGCTCTACCTCGACCGTGTACAGGAGGTTCCGTTCCTGCACGAGCTTCCGGTATCAGCGAACGTCAAGTGAGGGAAAGAAGCAAGGGAGGAAACGCACTTGAAACCAGTCGTGCAGCTCTCGCTCGATGAAGTCGATCTCGTGAAGGTAGCGCACGCCAGCCGACGTTGACAAGAACCTGGCTCAACCGATCAGCAAGTGTTCAACCGGTGTAGGGGAAGCATGACGCACTTGATCAGCAGAGGCACGCCGACCTCGCCGAGCAAGTCTAGCGCTGGCCGCATCCCGACAACCATTTCGAGCGTCTCCTCGTTCTCGCAGGCCTTCTCCAGCACCTTGACCGCCTGGTGAACGACCTCTGACGCCGAGTCGTACAGCTGCTGGACAAGGAGGCTGACCTGCCACTCTTCGGCTGCTGGTCGTCGAGAAGTGCCGGGGGCGTTCGAGACTGGCGAGGCGATGTCGAGGAGCGTGCCGAGGTGATCCGTCGCGAACAGGCGGATGTTCTGCGCGCGTTGAGGTAAGATAGGCGACGGGAGAAACAGAAAGGAGACGGAAATGCACCTTGTAGCTCGAGGTCAGCGCCTTCGAGAGAAAGACGCGAGCATGACCATCGCTGCGGGACGGTCTCGTCAGCGCGGTCCGAGCAGCACACTCGCAGCCACCGAACGCACCACGAGTAGTCCATGTTGTCGACGATCAGCTTGACGAGGTCCTCGCGGTTGCGCAGCTCCGCGACGCGGTAGAATGCCGTGAACATGCGCGACTGGTCGAGCAGCCTGCGCGGTCGCCAGTGAGCAGCCGTCTTCAGGTGTGCAGGTGAATGAAGCTCACTTGATGCCCTCGCTGCTGCGGCTCAGCACCCCGAGCATCTCGAAGTAGCCGCTTGCGAGGGTCGTTTCGATGCGATCCCGCGAGAAGACCGTCTCCACGCCGCCGGTGCTGCCCATCTGAGCACGCCATGATCACACAACCAGTCAGCTCCAGGCGGGTCACGACCTTGACTGTCGGGAGGCGTGCTCACCGGGTCGAGCTGGAACAACGCCTCGGCGATCTGGCGGATTAGCCTGTCCTCGGCGAGGTACGCGGTACCTTCTGGACTGGCGAGGAGCGTCGAGATCAGGGCGCAGCCGAGCGTTGTCCACTTGTTCGTAAGCTGCGGAGAACACGAGTAAGCAGAGGTGCCGACGGAAAAGAGACGAAGAGGATTCGACGCACCGCATGCTTCGGCAGGTCGCTGTACCGCAACGCAAACGGCCGGAAGAAGTCGACGACCCTCCTCATCCACTTGCTTGCCCTGACAACCTCCTCAAGCCTCTTCGGGTTCCGCAGCGGGCCTTCCACGATCTCGAGCAACCGATCAAACTGCCACTTCGTCTCGTCTTTCGTCGAGAGGACTTCGGTCTCGAGGAGGAGATTGCGGAAGGTGAGGTCGTCCATCTGTAGCGCGTTGCGGAGCTTCGACGACTCGACTTGGTGTCGTTGCTGGAGATTCCGCCGAGACGATTCGGCCTTCGAATCAGATCTGGTTGAGCGAGCGTAAGCGAAAGGATAGTCAAGAAACGCGTTGTATCACACCTCGTTCGCCCGTTCACTGCATCCATCCCGCCGGCCTGCGCGCACATCCCGACCCGCCTGTCCCGGTCGAACGAATTGACAGTCAACAACGCCGAGCTCGACGCCATCCGTCCGTCACTCGCATCGAACGAGCTTGTCAAGGCAAAGAGCTTGGGCAGAGCCTGCGAAGCGAGTATTGTCAGCCTCCCCTCCAAGAGCGGGTGCGAGAAAGTGTGCGCACCTGTACTCGCACGGCGTGATTAGGGGGCAAGACGCGGTTGGCAAGGTCAAGGACTTCGCTGATGAGGAGCGAGACCTTGTTGGCGGTGACGGGGTCCTTCGGGTCAGCGGCGAGGGAGGCGAGGCCCTGCGAGCAAGACCCCGTTCCGTCAGCACAACCTCGCGAATACATTCCACCCTCACACTGGGACGAAGACAGCATGACCGTGACTCACGTCGATCAAGCCTGCTTCGGTGAAGACCAGCAACAGGATTGCGAGGTACTGGTCGAGCAGGTTCGTTTTTCGCTTGCCGGGCGGTGGTCGGACTTGCGGTGGTGTCGATGCGGCTCCGCCTATAAGCGCAGGCGCGTCAGCAGGCGGACACGCGGGCAAAAGAGGCAGGGTGAACGCACGTCGAGAGCTTGACGAGGGATTCTTGACGTTGAAGACGCTGAAGAGCATGTCGAGCAGCGTTTCCTGCAAGATGCGGCAGCAATTAAGTCAGCATTCCTAGCGCTCCAAGTCAGAAGCTGACGCGACTGCCGCGCAACGCACTCGAATGGCTTGAGAAGGGTTCGAGAGCGAATCCACGAGCGAGACGAGCGCTTGTCGGCCATGGATGTTGAGATAGAACAACCCTGCGAGCCTGATTGTCAGCAAGTCGCTCAAGGAGGCAGGAATATGGGTACACACCGCTCCAGCTCTTGAGGAAGGTCGCAACGATCCCAGCGCTCGCTTTGACGCGCTCTTCCACCGCTGACGACTTGCCCGTCACCTCAGTGAAGCCGGCGAGGATGATCTGTGTGAACGACACACACAATTATCAGGATTTTGTGCTCTCGGATGAGCCTTGATCGAAAGTTGCTGTACGCACCTCGACATCCACACCCGGTCTCAACCACCTCCGATCGCTCGGGTGGTCCACAGCCGCTAGGAAGCCAAGCGAGAGGTACGAGGCGAGGTCGTGCGGTCCGTCCGAGAGGCACTGGAGGACAACGCGAAGGCCGTCGCATGAGACGAGGAGGGGGAGATTGGTGATCACTGTTTGGCGCGGGATCAGCCGACGTGCGAAGGAAGGGGAGGAAGGAGAGTATGAACCGAGTTCGCCGAGCGTCTCGAGGGCCGCAAGCCGCAGCTTCTCCTCGACCGACTCCGCAACAGCCACGACAGCCCGCATGACCGCAATCGGGACGACCTGTTCCCGTTCTTCTTGCGGTTCAATATCGACGCCGAGTTCGGTTGGTGGGTGGTGAGAGAGGGGGATGTACGAATTTGGCGAGGTGTGCAGGAGGGTGGTGCGGATTAGGCGGAGGGCGTGTTCTTTCTCCAGTTCGTGCGCCGAATCGCGAGCGAGTGAGCTGTGCACGGCAAGATCCACAGAGTCCAGTTAGCATACAGCAGTAGCAAGGTAGCTAATGTCTACTGGCAACGAGAGTTGGCGCACCGGATGAGGAAGAGCGGGAGATGGTGCGAGTTGAGCAGGAGGATGTCGCTTGCGTCGACGATCAGATGTCGCAGCAATCGGTACGTCGCAGCTCGTACGTCTTTGCCCGCCGAGTCCGACAGACATGACATGACGCTGCAGACAGTCTCTCGTTAGCTCTTGCCTGCGACGGGCAGGGATCGGGAGACGCACCTTCGCAACGTCTCCTCCTCCAGCCGCAGCTCGTACTTGAGCTGGTCGTGCCGCTCGACCAGGTCGACCAGCTCGTCCATCGCCCGCGCCCGTTCCATGACTTTCGCATCGCCCAGGGGCCCTAGTCGGTCGAGAAGCGAGATGACGGTGTCGAGGACGTTTTGCAAGGTGTCGCCGTCTGCTCGTACGATGGTTGTCAGTGGGAAAGGCTCGACGGCTGATGGAAAGGGAGCACACCTGGACCAGGCGAACCGGCATGACTGTTCCTCCCGTCGTAGCTGACGAAGCTCGTTGGGGTGTTTGCCTCGACAGACGACGACAGCGCGAAGCCATTCGCTACCGCTGACAAGGGAGGCGGAGCAGGCGAGAGAGGCGCAGGGAGAGATGCGGCTGTTCGCGAGCGAGGAAAGAGGGTCAGTCTCCCGTTTCACGAACTCCTTGATCCGCGCAACGCACCAATCTCCGTCTCAAGGTCTCGTATCCGCTGTTCGAGCCTGGGAATCGCTCTCCTGCTCTCCTCCAACTCGCGCAAGACCGCTTCGAGGTCGAGGTGCGAGAACGGTGCGTCTGGACCCGCAAGCAAGGCCGTCGCGTTCTCTGCGCCGAGCACCGCATCCTGCGCCTCTTTGAGCTCGTTTCGGAGTGCTGCGAGCTGTGTACGGCCGAGGTGGATTTGTTGTCAACTCCGAAGGATGTGGGGTGGACATGAGGAGAACGCACCTGTGCAAAGCGGTCGCTCGACGGTGCAGCAGAGAGAATGTACTGGCTCGAGCCAGCAGGCGAGCCCATTCGGGCCCAGTTGCGGTAGCAGCGTAGCGAGGAGGAGGAGGAGAGCCCTTGTATTGCGAGGGTAACCTGTTTGTAATCGCTTGATTAGGCGGGGACACGAATACAGGCGAATACAAAATGGGCTAATGGCGATTTTGTATTCGCTCGACTTGGCCTGCTCGCCTTGTGCTGCTCGTTTCCCTTCGTCTCACCTCGGCCCTTTGCTCTCGCCCAACTCAGAAATGGTCAGTATTGCTCCACGTCAACTACACTCCTATGCCGGCCCATCGCCAGCCCCTCCCAACGCCGTACCGCGCATCGACATCCAGCTCGACAAAGTCTTCGCACCCGAGCGGCAGCACTTCGCGGCGCTTGGGGAGGGTTGCGGGAGATCGCATATGGCATTTGAGGGTGTACTGGGCACTTCGCGAGGCACCTCGGCGCTGGAGGAGCGGAGAAGCGGTTGAGGCGGGCCGGGTCGAGCTGGGATGAGATGGGTTCGCAGCGGAGTCGGAGCTGGGCAGGTTGCGCTGCGCATGGACGACTCCGCCTGTCCAGTACGGGTCGTCGCGCTCCCCGAATGTCCCTAGACCGGCCCGCGCCGACATCGCCCAACCTGCACCGTGCTCGACTCCGCCTTCCCGACCCGCATAGACAGCAACGTCGCTGTACGGTTTGCTGACCTTTCCTGCGTCTTCGACAACAGGCAAAGTACGCTTCCCAGCACCTCATCAAGGACCGCAAGGCCGTCGGCATCTCGAAGGGCTCGTACCTCCGTGTTCACTACAAGAACACCCGGTGCGTCCACACTCCTTCTACAGTTCATCTGCACTGTCAGATAGTTGTACTGACGTGTTCGTTGACCCACAGTGAGACCGCCGCTGCCCTCACCGGCCTCTCGCTCGCCAAGGCCGTCAAGTTCCTCGAGGACGTCCAGACGCACACCCAGTGTGTCCCCTTCCGCCGCCACAACGGCTCGGTTGGCCGTACCGCCCAGGCCAAGGTCCACGGCGTCGTCCAGGGTCGCTGGCCCGTCAAGTCGGCCAAGTTCCTCCTTGCCCTCGTCAAGAACGCCCAGGCCAACGCCGAGGTCAACGGCCTCGACAAGGACGAGCTCTTCGTCAAGAACATCGTCGTCCAGCAGGCCCCCAAGATGCGGTGCGTAGCGTAGTCCAGCTTCGGTGAGGAGGACGTTCCGCTGACCTTCTCCTCCTCCTCCCTACTTCCGCCTTTCGATGCCGCTCTTTACTACAGCCGTCGTACCTACCGCGCTCACGGTCGCATTAATCCGTATCAGAGCAGCCCTACTCACCTCGAGGTTATCCTCGCGCCCTTCGGCGTGAGTACCTCTCCTCCTCGTTCCGCCGGCCAACACGGCTTGCTGACGGCTTTCCTGCCCGCTTCTACAGGCTGAGGTCCCTGCCGCTGAGGAGGAGCAGCAGGCAGTTGAGGCCATCGAGGCCTGTGCGTTGATTCGAGCGTCTTGGCCGTTGAGGACGATCCGCTGACCTTCTTCCCCTTCGCCCCGCAGAAATCGCCTTTGCCCGGCGATGACGGTCCCTTTGCAGGTTGGAGGAGCTGGTAGAGGCCGAGACGCCCTCTGTTTTCGCCTGCGCGAACGAGGTGTCGGACTCTGGCAGTTTTGATTACCCTGCAAGGAACGGAGGTGGACCCTCCCACGCCAGTCCCGCGACGCTCTTACCAAGCGTTGGGCGGGAAGAGAGATGCGTTCTTTTTGGTAGGGGACGGCCTTGTTGGCGTTGGCGTCGTCGCGAGTCGTGGTCTGCGGTCCGTCCCTTTCTTTCTCTGTCAACCGTCTTGCGATGGGACTCTCTGCGTCTCCTCGCCCCACGACGCTCAATACACACACTTCAGTAGCGCTGAGCCTGACGCTCTACGCCTCGCCTTGCGCGCCGTGACGATCCTACGACGCTCCTGGACGACGTCTGCCTCGAGACTCGATTTGAACCTGCTTCCTCTCGGTTTCTCGCTCGACTCGCCTTCGACTCACTCTCTCGTATGCTCTATCCGACATGCCGGGTCTTCTCTCGCTATCACTCTCCGAGGGCTCGCGGCGGAGTGCGCAAGGAGGTTGGAGACGTAGGCCAGTTGTGCATTGCGATTTGAGGTGTTCCATCGACGAGACGAGCAAACATGTCGACGTACGAGAGTCTGGTTTGTGTGAGCGATTGAGGCGGCGTCTGCAGCGTCGTGCGAGCAAAGTTGTAATGGCCGCAAGGCCGACCGCAGACTTGGGCAGTCTTGAGCTTGGTGACGGGAGTCTACAAGCTGGCTGCAGACAAGCTGGCGTGCTAGGCGTGTTTAACGATGGAGACCGCGGAATAGAAAGCGTGGTCGAGTGAGGTCGTCGAGGGAAACGGAGCAGCATTGGCTGGGGGGCTCGTTGTGAAGGGTCCCCCCATACGCACGAACAGCAGGTTGTCAACCTGCCTGAGCTGTCAATGCGCATGGAAAGCGAGATGTAAGCTGAACGAAGCGGGTCGCAAACCGCCCCGCCGAGATGCAGCGAAAAGCTCTTCAAGCGCACGGCCCAAGTCATCGAGGGAAGCGAGCGAACCAACATCCCTCTTTCACATGAAGTCTTCGTCTGGATCAAACTGTCGACAGAGGAATGTCAGCGGTCAGCGCTTCAAGACGTCTCCACATCGAGGGAAAGCAAGCCCGAACGCACATCGCCCTCCTTCCGACTCGCCTCCCACTGGTCCTCCTCCCACTGGTCATCCGCCTTGCCGCTCTGCCCGGTGAACAGCTTCTCGTAGCTCCGCGCCTCCGCATCTGCTTTCCGCTGCTGCGCCAGCAAGAGGTCCGCGTTCTTCTGCTTATTGGCCACTTCCCGCTTGGCCCGCTGCTGCGCCGACTCGTAGGCGATCTTCTCCGCCTCGTGGTCGACTTGCCGCTCCACCTTGGTTTTGCTGCGGGAATGAAGGCGGTCAGCGATCTGCTCAGACTGCAGGCAGAGCTCGAGGCGACGCACTTCAGTCGGTTTACAATGGCGTTGACGCGCTCTTCTATCCGAAAGCGCTTGACTCTGCGAGCATTATGGAAAGAGACGGCGCCGGTCGCAAAGTCGCCTCGCTTGAGGATGTTGCTTGCCGGCGTGTAGATGATGGTGACGGCCTGTTTGTTGCCCTGCAAGCCTGTCCAGGTTAGAATCTTTTCGTGCAGAGGTAGTGCTCGACATCAGGAGGCCATTCGAACGAACTGACCTGGATCGACCCCGCCTTGACGAGCTGACCCGCGTCCACCAACAGCTTTTCAGGGATCTTCTCCCAATCCATCCCTTCAGGCATGCGAATGTAAATGTGCGGGCTGCTCAGCTTGTCCTGCGGGCGGGACAGACCGTGAGCGGCGTTCTTTGCGAGCTCACGGCTGGAGAGGACGCACGACATGGACCCAGACGTCCTGCTCCTGGTAGTACTTGAGCAGTACCTCGTTCTCGAACTGTGTGGCACGGGGTGGAGGTCAGCTACGCTATCCTGGCGGGAGAAAGCCTGGAGACGCACCTTGTCCTTTCCGGCGTAGATTGTTACCGGCTTGTCGTCCCCGAGGGCGTTCGAGGAGTAGAAGAGAACCATCTTGGCGGGGAGGTAAGAAGTAGTAGAGACCGCAGAGGGAGACGCAAGCGGGATGGGAGGATGAGGATCTGTCGAGGAGAACGAAGGGACCGCAGAGCGCTGCGAGGGTGAGCGAGGGTCCTCTCTCCCTGGTCAGACTCCTTAAGTTGCTACTCACCTAAGTCTGGCCCGTCTCGAGGTGCGTTACGGCTGGTTGAGGAGGAAGACTCTTTCGAGGAGATGAAGTTGGTGGGCGGTGAGGACGGTTGCAGAGGGCGGACTGGCGTGACTGAACGTTAGCAAAGCGATTTGGAGTCCCGCGAGCCACAGACTGTTCAGCGGAGCGAGCTGAAGTGAGCGGATGGAGACCCAGAAGCGAACGCTCTCCTCGACGACAACAGCGGTGGATCATAACTTCGTAAGGTCGCATGTACGGGAGGGCTACAGCTGCAGAGAGGGGTTGTGCGGGTGAAATGAACGAGGCAAAACGACAAGAGTGTGGACATCGGAAGGAAAGAAGAGGGTCTATACAGAACGGCGGCGACATCAAAGCGGGCTCAATCCAGGTCGATGACCTTGACGTGACCTTGGCCCTCGCGGACCTTGCCCTCAAACTCCTCGAGGAACTGCAAGGCGCCCTCGGCGCGGGCAACGACTCCCTCGACTTCTTTCCGCTCGGCGGCGGACTTGTCGAGCGCAGCGCGGAAACGCTCGCGCAGGTCCCAGCCGGCGAGGCGGAGGACCTTGCGAACCTCGCGTGCGATGCGATCGGAGTGGGCAGAGGCGAAAGTGACGGGCGGTGAGGAGGCCGAGGACGAGCCGGAGAGGAGAGCGGGAGGAGGCGAAAGCGAGAGCTGGAGCTTGCGGCCGATGTTGCGAGGAATGGCGCGCGGGAGATCGACGATGACATAGACGACGAGGCCAACAGCTGTGTGCGAGATGAGTCAACGGAGCGGAACAAGCTTGTGTAGGAAAAATCGCACGCACTGAGGACGCCGATGACGGGCCCGGCCCACTTTCTCGCCTGCTTCGAGCCGAGCATCTCGATGATGCGAGTCAGGCTGCCCATCGTGCCCTTGATGCCGATGATCCTCGAGCCGACCATGCCGATGCTGCCGAGTCCTAGCCCGACGAGCGTGCCCTTCTCGACAACATCGTCCTCGATCAACTTGTGCTCCTTCCTTCCCCTCAGCGCGTCGCCGTGCGACGTCATGCGCTCAAAGTCGAACATGTCAAAGAACGAGACGTCAAAGTCGGTGACGGACCAGTTGACGCCGAGTCCAGCCGACCCGAGTCCGAGTCCGGTTGACACGCCGCGTGCTGCGAGCCTGCCGACACCGCGACGACGTTTGGCGAACATGACTTCGGGGCGGAAGACGCGGCCGTTCTTCGCTTGCTCCTGCTGGACCGCCTCGCCAGCCGTCTCACCATCCTCGGGCAGGTACTTGTCGCCGAGGTCGTTCATGACCGTCTTGACGCCGTCAACCGTCTCGAACCTCGCGTCGTCCTCGGCCGCGCGAACCTCAGCCTCGAGCGCACGGACGAGCGTCTTCTTGACGTCGTTCGCCCACTCCCAGATGCCCCACACGCCCGGATAAGGCGGCAGGTCTGTCGGGCCATCAAGAGAGTCGGTTCCCTCAAAGACCTGTCGCGAGTCGGCGTCGATGGTCGACTCGGCGGGAGGGACGACCTTGCCTTCTGCGATGTAGTTGAGCGCGCGCTCGAGGCGAGACCACGCGGCGGACTTGACGGACTCGACGACTGTCTCCTCGACGCGGTCGACGCCTTCCTCGACCTCGTCGCGCTGGGCTGAGAGGCGCTCGTGGATCGGGCGGATGCGCTCGAGCTCGCGCAAGGCGGCGGAGAGCTCGTCGTTGGCGGCTACGACGTTGGCAGAGGCGAGAGTTGAGAGGTCGGCGAGGAGGTTGAGGAGGTAGTGCTTGGCGGGCGCGAGCTTCGACTTGGACCGCTTCAGGAGGACGAACGAGCGGAGCGACTGCTCGAGGTGGTCGAACGCGCTGGGTTCTTCAACCGAGACCTCGGCGGGACCCTCGACGTATTCTGCCGCATCGACAAAGTGGACGAGCTCGGCGCGGTTCTCCCACGTCGCGGGCGAGAGCTGCTTGATCTGCTCACCGACGACGCGCATGCACCTCGCCTTGTCGCGAATGCCGCCCCACTTGTTGACCACGATGAAGACGTAGGCCTTCTCGCGGCTGGCGTTCCAGAGGAACTCCTTCGCTGAGAGGGTGAAGTGGTTCTCGGCAGAGACGACAAAGACGATGACGTCGATCTCGGACTGGCGGGCGAAGAGGGCAGTAGTCGAAAGGGTGTCGCGGTTCAAGCCGGGTGCGTCGATGAGCGAGATGTCGACGAGGCCGTTCTTGATAAACGAAGGGTTCGGCTCGTTCTCCGACACCGGCGCGCGTCCGTCGTGCACGTACGCCTTGACGATCTGGTACTCGTCGCCCGTGTCCTGCACGTCGTACACCTGCTCGAGCGAGAAGACATCGAATGTCTCCGGGTTCGAGCGATCGTACTTCTCGACGTCCCGGATCGCATGCAGCTCCTCCTTGCCCTCGTTCAGACTCGCATCGAGAACCTCGCAGAATACGGTCGTACACGGCTGCTGGTCCCACGGCATGACCTCGCGGCGGAGAAGCGCGTTGACGAAGGTCGACTTGCCGGTGTTGAGGTCTCCCGTGACGAGCACGCGGGAAGACGAGTCGAGGACACGAGTGCGGAGAGAAGAGATGTGGCTAAGGGAGGTCGTGAGGCGGCGGGACAGAAGTTGCGAGAGGGTCGAAAGCGAAAGCGAGGGGATCAAGGCGGGCAGCTGGGCGGTCGACGTGCTCGGGTGACCCATCTTGAGGTCGAGAGAGAGGATGGAGAGCGGATGCACGGGCGTCGAATCCTTTGAAGCGGCGGGTGCAGGCGGACTGTCGACGAGCGAGTAGGCCCTCTGAGGCGAAGGGCGAGCTGGAGACTCCGGCTCTTCGCCCGCAACAGCCTCCTCGGGGAACATGGATGCACTGCGACGCAATGGCGCCTGACGAGCTCCCTTGATGGCGGAACGAGCATTGGGCGTGGAAGGCGAACTGGCGGCGCGATGAGGGGGAGTTGACGCATCAGCGACGGTCGACACGCCAAGCTGGTGCGGGTAGTGGACGGTCCCTGTAGGGTGAACAAAGTGTCAGTCGTGTCCATAGACTCGGCGAGCCATTCGCAGAGTTGCACTAAGTCGGCCAATGTTTCCGATCCTGAGGAGACGGAGGACGTACACTTGTTCTGGTTGAACGTCGCGAGACTCTTGACGAGCACTGACGCCTCGTCCAGCGACCGTACGAGCCTGTTCACCGAGAAAAAGAGCCCATCAGCGCCAGCGCCCCTTCACTCCTGTCCACCTGACGCCAGATCCAGCGAGAAGAGGAGAGTGAACGCACAACTCGCGCTTGTTGCCGTAAGCACGCTGTTCATCCTCATGCTTCCTCTGCAACTCCTCCTCCGTCCCTTGCCACGCCTTGCCGAACAGCACCTGAGCCGAGGCGGTCGACGAGTTGAGCAACGACGAGCGCCGGCTCATCGGCTTCGGCGACTGGAGCGGCGAGGCCACGAAGGGGAACTCTTGTGGTTCCTCCGAGGCATGGCGGAGCGGCACACTGGCGGACTGCATCGTTGTGGTCGAGCGGGTCTGGCGGGTCGATGCGGAGAGGAGACGGTCGCGAGATCGGGCGACAACGACGGCCGGGCTGGCCAGGGACGGTGTGGATATGCTCAGTAGCTGGCTGTGTGTAGCTGTGGCGGAGTCTCAGCAAGCCAGGCGAGAGCAGCGGTGGTGGCGGGAGAGAAGCGAAGAGGCAAGCCGTTTGTATTGAGTCGCTTACAATTGAATACAAAGTCGACTAATCCTCATTCAACTCTCTCGTTTCGAGGTGGAAAGCGCGTGTCGTGTGAACAGAAGCAGGAAAGAAAGCTACGACTACAGCCGGGAGGACGGGGCGGACGACAAGGGGCGGCTACGCCAAGGAGGTACCGAGGGGAATCAAGCCCGCCGAGTTTCGCTGCGATGCCAAAAGAAAGTCAGCCTGCGAAGCGAGAGACGCGGGAAGAGTGCGATGTGACGCACAGACTGGCAAACTCGAGGATGAACTCCTTGCGCACGCGCTCCCACAGGACCGGGTCGAAGAAGCTGCGTTTCGACAAGGTCGTCAGCATTCGGCACGCAGCGAAGGGCAGGATTTGGACGCACATGTACGTGCCGCGCTCGTACGTGGCAGTCTTCTGAATCGGCTCGGTGCCGGCCTCCTTCGTCAGCCACAGCCGCAGCTCCTTGTGGTATCGCCAGTTGTGCTTGTACCTGCGCACGCACATTCTCATCAGTGCCTGGATTCTTCGTCTCGAGCGAACGCAGACGTACAGCTCGTGCGCGGCCATCTCCTGCATCACGTCCCTTGGCTGGCTGTAGAAGATGAAGAAGAGCGTCTCGTCGCTAAAGTTGCCGATCTTGGTATTCGCCGGCGGAGGCTGGACGTTGTAGCACGACGGCATGCGGAAGTCGGGCTCGATGTTGAGCAGTTGCGCAGTCTTCGCATCGGTCCAAGGCGTGATGAACGTTGACGAGAGGTTTCTGGAGGCGGGGAAGGGTCAGCTCGCAGGTCACAACTCGAAGAGGATGCCCGACGCACTCTGTCGAGCTCAGATCTAGGCCGAGGTTCGTCAAGTCCGTCCCCAGCGCCAGCATGCTCAAATCGGGATCGCTCGTCTTGATCGTATGCAGCAAGCCGAGCAAGCCGTACCGGTCCGCTGGGGAGAACAACACCTGCTGCGCGGGCGTTTGGGGCACCTCGCCCGTCGTCACACCCGCTGTTGGAGGGGGCAGCGACGCGCCAGCACCGAGCGGATTCGAGGCGAAGAGCGCGGCGGCTTGTGCGGCGTGTGCGGCGGCGATCGGAGGACCGCCTGCAGAGGGAGATCGGAAACCTTGTGGTGCGTCGAGCGTTGTAGGCGCGGTCGAGCTAGGTGGCAGAGGGGATGAGGCGGAACTCGCGAGTGTGGGTGTGCCGTTTGGCAGGAGGCCGGCGGGAAAGTTGGGCGTTTGTTGGGGACTCGCCGACCATGTCTGCTGTTGTTGCGCCGCCTGTAGAAGGTCTGTCAGCCGTCACGACGACCCAAGGCGGCGAAAAAGCGAATGCACCTGCTTGTCACTCCGCGCGCCGTTCATGCTTCCCAGCAAGTTCGCCCGATGTTGCTGCTGCGCTTGCAGTGCCGCCAGCGCGCTCGCCTGTTCCTGCCCTCCAGGACTCGCCGTTGCCCTCCCTGCCGCTGCCGCTGCTGCCGCCGCAAGCGAAAGCCCGTTGACGCCTGTCGCCAAACCCGCGATGTCGCCTCCCGGCGCCTGGCCCACCGCCTGCTGACCCGCGCTGCCGAATGCGCCTCCTGCCAGCGCCGGAAAGTCGTCTGCCGAGAACTCGCGCCGTTGACCCGCTGCTCCCCCTCCTAGCGCTGCAGATCCGAGAGTCCCGTTCAGTCCGCCTGCTGCACCTTGTTGTGCAGCGCCGACCGCTCCCGCCGCTCCTGCGCCTGGTGCCGACTGGCCCGCCTGAGAAGCGTAGCTCGAGAGGAGGTTGGCGGCGGACGAAGCGGTGGACGAGGTGGGCGCAGACCCCAGGGCGGGGAAGTCGGACGGGTCGAGCGAGGCTTCGCTGCTGCCGTGTGGTATCGCTGCAGCTGTTTTCGAGATGCGATCAAGACAGTCAACAGGTCAGCCAGTGCGCATCTTGGCTGCGTGCGGCCTCATCAAGCTGAGCGGGGTGGAGAGAGGTGAGGGGGCCTCGTCGCGCGCTTGACGGGCAGGGAGACGGGACAATGGCTTCTTACGCACCTGGTGAGGGTGACAATGTTGCTGCTGCGCTGCCAAAGGGCGAGTACGGTTGTCTCGCGAGCGCTGTGGGCGACGAGGGGGTACCGGACGCTTGTCGCTGGGGGAAGCGGCCTGGCGGAGGGCCCTGGCCCAAGCTGTAGGGAGACTGCTGTGTCCTGTTCATCGTAGCCAGCAACAGAGCGCGAGAGGCCGCGCGAAGCACGATGTCAACCGTGGCGCAGAGGATCCCTCTCAGCCAGCAACCACTCGCTCTCACCAGCTCGAACGGCTTGTAAGGCTTCGTGAACGCTGTCAGAATGCGCTCGAAGGACCGACCGACGAGCGCTGCTTGCCCCGAGGTTCGCTTGGTCCTGCTGAGTGATCCTCTCGCTCCTCGCTCTTCCACTCGACACAGACACGTCCCTTGCAAATACTGGGGCGAGCGAGACAACAGAGGGCTGCTACAGAGCAACAAGTATGTCGGCGGATGATAGGATAACGAGAACCGCGCGCTGGAGTCGAAGATCCGCTCCCCCTCAGTCCTCCGGCTCCTCCTTGACACGCGGAGGCGCCCACGTTCCTCCTCCAAAACTACTCGAGCCTTGTCCGTGACTGTCCAAGGGCAGCTGACCCGTCCAATGCACCGCTCCGTCGTCGACGTCCTCGAGATGCGCCGTCGCAGCTGGTCGGAAAGCAGTCGCAGTCGGCGTAGGCGTCGAATCGGCTGCGTAGACGTACGTCGCGCGCGGCTGAGGAGGGACGATAGCCTGCTCGAGCGTCGTGAAGTTCTGCGCTGCCGGCTGTGCAAAACTCGAGGCGTAGTAGGGCAGAGTCGCGCTCGAAGGTCCTGCGAGGGCGCCTGCTCCTGTGTAACCGGGCGCGTACTGCTGATAGTGCGAGCTGCTCGACTGTTGAGGCTGGTACGGCTGCAGGGACGCAGGAGTCGAGCGCGCGGGCTCGTAGGGGTGCGTTCCAACGGGCGGATAGGTCTGGTGGCGGATGTGCCCGGCCGGCCAAGGCAGGTGCTGAGACGGGCCTTGTGACGGCGGGAAGTAGCCCTGGTGAGTCGATGCGATAGGTGAAGCGGTAGGCTGGGCGAACGGAGCAGTCTCCAGCGACGAGAAGTAAGAGGGCGTGTCGAACTGGACGTCTGCGTACGGCGTTGAGTGGCGAGGTTCGTAGTAGGGCGTGTTGGGGTAGGAGTAGCTGTAGGGATTGCCAGGACCGAGCGGGAACGAGGGGATGGGGACTCGTCCCGCGCGCGGCCTGAAGAGCGAAGGGAGGAGCGTCTGGTAGTCGAAAGCAGGGTCGTCCGACGACGAGACAGGCTCCGAAGAGCTGCGATACGCGTTCTCCTGCGTCAAGCGGTCGATCTGACCTTGCAGGCGACGAATCTCTTCGCGAGCGTCGGCGAGTTGTTCCTCTACCGTCGGATTGTTGGCGCTGTGGGCGTCGGTGGCGTCAGCGAGCGTCGGCGAGAAAACTAACAAGCCTGCTCACCTGAACGCGGTTGGGGCAGCGTCGATGTAGACGCAAGGCTGTCCTCGACAAGGAGACGACACGAACGATGTCAGCTTGCCCTCGTGTTCCGGGGCGTCCAAACCCAGCTCACCGTGTTCCTGAGCCTACAATTCGTGCAAACCGTCTCCCTCGAGCACTTCTGCTTGCGCTGGCGGCACTGTATCGGCGCGCGATGTGGTTGGGAAGGTCAGCGAGTGCGCCGGACCGGGGTGGACGAGCAGCAAAGGGTACGCACTCCCTCGCACGAGGCGTGCGTGCGCTTCTTGCGTCGAGAAAAGTCGCGGGAGGAGGAGGAGCCGGGCGGACCCGGGGGCTTTGAGGGGCCAGGAGGAGGAGGCGGAGGAGGAGGAGGAGGGACATCGCTCGAGGTGTTCGACGCCGCGGCGGCTCCGGCTGGGTGCGGGACGTCCATGGCAGTCGTCGAGCGTCGAAGCGAGCAGTCTGAATGAGTAGCAGCAGGAAGAGAGTGTTCGCGAGCGAGTCCGACGAGGGTCATCAGCTGGAGCTCGTCGCGGGCGGTGGCGGCCTCCCTGCGTTCCGGACCGGCGCAGATGCGAGAAAAGTCCGATTACAAGAGCGAAGAGGGAGAGACTACAGTACAGCGCGCCTGCAGGGGGACGCCGCCGGCGAGAGAGACGGACGCAACCTCCTCCCTCAGGTCAGGCTCGGCTCCTCCGCGATGCCGCGCTTGATGGTCAACAGCAAGCTCGTCTTCCAGTTGTCGAGTCGTGTCAAGCTGGGTCGGCGAGACGAGTCAGCTCGAGCCCGGTGCGAGAGAGGAAAGCTGTGAGCGCACCGGTCGAACTCTGCCACATGCGCCGTGAATCCCTCTGCGTCTCCTGCATCGAACGCTTCTGTGATACCGTTCAGAAACTGGCACTCGCGAGTCGTGGCGAAGGAAGGGTCGGCGCTCGTGTAGTTGTCGATTGCTCGCTTCGTCGAGACGACGTCCTGTTTCGACGGCGAGTCAGCCGGCGAAGCCTCCTGAGGAAAAGGGGAACGCACCCCGGTAGCCAGCCAGCACATGCCCGCCTTCAAGTAGTGCTCCTTGACGCCGTACCGCGTCAAAGCCGAGCCAAGCGACTGCTGCGCGACCTTTTCGAAGTGTTCGATCGCTCGAGGGTACTGTCCCAGCGTCGCAGCAATCTCGGCAGCTTCCTTGTAGCACGCGTTTGCAGACCTGCAGGGAGACCAGTCAGCGCAGCGAGACAGGACGACGAGGGAAGCGAAACTCACGCAGTCGCGTCTTCGTTCGAGTAGATGTTCCCGGCCGCCTCGTACGCCTCGAGCGCACCGGCCATGTCTCCTCCTTCCTGCTGCAGGATTGCCGCGATCTCCTTGTGCCGATCCGCAGCCTGCCTGAACCGTCCCTTCTCCTTGTACAGCTGAATTGTCCGCTGGAGCGCCGCGACGGCCACTGCGGAGCATGAGACAGGTCAGCACGCAGAGCTCTTGCTCCAGAGTGCAGAGAAACGCACGCTCGGGGTGGCTCTTCTTGTACGACTTGCTCGCGGTCCAAAAGTCGTTGGCGGCGTCGTCCTTCTCGTCATTCTTGAGCGCCATCTCGGCCGCCTTGCAGAAGCAGTCTCCCGCCTCCTTGTGCATGTTGTCCATCTTGTACGCGTTGCCGGCCGACTGGTACAGGTCGTGCGCCTCCTCGAACTTGGCGGTCGACGAGCTGAAGAAGGAGAAGCCGGACGACGAGGACGCCTTCTTGTCGGCCCTGGGTGGACGAACAAATCATAGCGCGGCCAGTCAAAGCAGCAGAGCGTGTTCACAAGCCGCAGAGAAGCCGAAGTCGGGGGGAGAGGGGAACGAGTGATGACGATGAGCAAACGGTCAGCGGCGCTCGCTGGACACGGCGGATGAGTTTGTACGCACTTCTGCCTTAACTGATCACCCTGTGAAGACATTCTGCAGCGTTTGAGCGAGTGAGGGCGTGTTGTTGCGGTGCAAGAAGTGGGGGCGGTTGGTTGGCGAGCACCAGGTCACCTCGACACGCTTAGACGGGCTACTGAGACGTGCTACCATGCTATTGAGCTATTAGAAGCTGCCCAGTCAGCCGGCACACCCGCACACACTGTTGCGGCGCCGTTCTCTCGCCCTCTCCTCTCGCAACTCGCTCAGGCCTCTCTCGCAATGACACCGGCCTGGACGCGCGTGCTCCTGCTTCTGATGCTTCCACGACGCTCTCTCGCGCCATGTCGGGCGGTCGAGCTGCGTTCTTGAAGCTGCCGACGGGCGCACCTCCCTCTCGAAGCCGCACACCCTCCCCCGTTCGCCCCGACCGACGCGGCCGCCTGCGCAAAGGGACTCGATTGGGGGTGCGTACAGTCTTTGCGCTACCACGGGTCCCGTACTGACGTCGTCCGTCGCCACAGGACGCCTACGAGACCGATCCGTTCTCGCCCATCCGCCCTTTCGAATCTTTCACCTCGTCCTTTGCCGTTCAAGAGTACATCACCGCTCTCGTCCGCCGCGACAGTCACGACGTCGACTCTATCATCACGATTCCCACCGGTTTCGACGACGGCGAGGACACTCCAATTGAGCTGGTCGACGAGGACGTGTGGGTGATGGAGCACCTGCGCCGCATCACGCTCGACCAGCACATCTGGATTGCGGCACCCACGGGCGTCTGCACGCGCTCGACATGTCCATCGATGACAGCAGGTCCAGACTGGCTTTACGTGTGCGCCGCACACTATGCTCCGCCTGATCCGCCATGCTGCGCCATCGACTACATCACGCATGCGAGCGACGGCGCGCAGGCGTTGCTGTGCTCGTCAAAGTACTTCCCGAGCAGGATGAGCGTGAGCGAGGGGAGTCGGAGGCTGCTGGATGCGGTCGCGAGGCGGTTGTACAGGAGTGTCGCCCACGCGTTCTTGTGAGTTTCACTCCTCCTCTGTCACGCTTCAATCCTGCACGGAGCAAGGAGCTGACTTCAGGCGCGTGACCACCTTCACAGCCACCACCGGCCGCTCTTCGTCCAGCTCGAAGCGGAGACCTCGCTCGTCAGGCGTTTCACCGAGCTGAGCCGGCGTTTCAAGCTTATGGACGAGGCAAGCATGGTCATACCGGAGTTTGGCGAGCTGGAGGAGGAGGAGATAGACTTGGAGGACGAGGGAAATGTGGCGCATGGGGAGGCGAGCGAGATCCGGCTGGTGGGCGATGGGGAGTAGTCGGCTCTTCTTGCAATCGCCGTCCAGCAAGTCCTGCTCGACGCCAAGAGAGATCCAATGCACTTCTATTGCGCAGTCATCCGTCTATCCGATCAAGCCCGTCGGCAGGTCCGCCTCCTGCTTCGCAAATTCCGAGCTGGCCTTCCTGAACGCCTCCAACGCCTTCTTCGCCCCACCGTTCGCAATACTCTCCCTCGCCATCTCGACACCTTCCTTCTCGCTCTTCGCCTTGCCCGCAACGACCAACAGCGCCGCTGCGTTGAGAATGACAAAATTCTCGATCGGGTCGGTATGAGGAAGCTGGTTATCGAGCAGCTTGAGGAGGGTCAGGGAGTTTTCGAGAGGTGTGCCGCCTGCGACGGAGGAGAGAGGAGTGGGGTTGATGCCGAAGGCGGAGGGATGCAGCGTTCGTTCGGTGATGGTGCCGTTGTGCAGGTCCCAGAGCTGCGGACGCTGAGGTCAGTGATACGAGCGTGGACTCGGCGAAAGAGAGCAAACGCACGTGGGTATCACCCGCAGGACTGATCTCGTCCAGTCCCTCCGCACCGCACACTACCCAAGCCCGCTCAACACCCGTGATCTTCAGCGCCTCAGCAAAGATCGGCCCGAGGTACGGCGAGTGCACGCCAACGATGACCGCCTTCGGTTTCGCCGGGTTGATGAGCGGTCCGAGTGCGTTGAAGACGGTTGGGAAGCCGATTTGTTTCCGGAAGGGCGCGACGCGGACCATTGAGGGGTGGTAGATCGGCGCGAAGAGGAAGAGGAAGGGAGAGCGGGCGGCGACTTGGTTCATGGCGGAAGGAGGGAGGGTCGTGACGGGGCAACCGAGGGAGAGGAGGATGTCGGCGGAGCCAGATGACGAGGTCGCGGCCTTGTTGCCGTGCTGCACGCAAGGGAAACGGTATCAGCACAGCTGCTACAGGCAACGAATGCTTAAAGAACGCTTGCAATGCGCACCTTGTACACCCGCAGTCCTGCGCCAGCCGCAACAATCGCCGCCGTCGTGCTCACGTTAAACGTGTTGTGCCCGTCGCCTCCCGTTCCGACAATGTCGCAGATGGGTCCGTCGCCGTAGTCTCCGACATCGACAGGCAAGGCATGCTGCTGCATGACCTTTGCGCATTCGGCGACGATAGCCGGCTCGCCATCCTTGCCCGTCAGTCGCAGCGCCGAGAGGAACGCTCCAATCTGCGAGGGATGTGCGCCGTAGGGTTCTGCGAGGTGGTTGAAGGCGCATCGTGTATCGTCGAGAGTGAAGGTCGAGGGGTGGAGGACGAGCTTCTTGAGCAGGACGGCGAAAGATTCGGGGGTGTACGATTCTGGTGACGAGTAAGAGTGTGGTGCGGCATGTCCAGAGTCCCTGCGAGTGCACAGTGAAGCGGTGTGAGCGAACAAGGGGAGTCAATCCGGAACGGGGAGAAGTCGGTGGGAACGGCAGAGCGGAACGCACCCAATCATCTGCGTCACAGTCGAGTCTGTCTGAGCCGTTCCAGCCTTTGCCGGGTTCATCCTAGCAGAGTTGTAGCGAAGTTGATGAACGCGGAGGAGAAGGAGATGGTTGTCCGCAACGACGAAGCCCTTCTCCCGCTTGGACGGCGAGACGCACTTACTTTGCTGCTTCAGACTGCTAAGGAGTGTTACTACACCAGCCAAGTCGCCCATCTCGCCTTTCTGCCTCTTCTGGACGTCACCCCCGCACTCGACGACATGGCCAACCCAGCGCGCAACAAGCGCCTCTTGCGAGAGTTCCAGGACATCCAAAAGGACGTGAGTGGACCTTCAATGTGCTGGAACTCTGAAAACCGCTGACCTTCGGCGTCTACAGACAACCGGCTTGAAGATCGAGCAGGTCGGAGACTCGCTGGATCATTTTGTCGGGTCGTTCCCGGGTCCATCGGGTGCGTTGGCACATGGGGAAAATGTTACGAGATGGAGGGAAGCCGCTGACACGCTCGACAACGCAGGATCACCGTATGAAGGCGGACGATTCGAAGTGGACATCCGTTCGTCCCGTCTTCTTCTTCCTATGCCTCCACAAAGTGCAGAATTGACTGACCTGTTTCCTCTGAACAGAGCCTCCGCCTCGGTACCCGTTTGAGCCGCTCAAGATGAAGTTCCGAACTAAAGTTAGTCCGCTTGTCGCTTCCTGGCTGTCCCGCTGCCATCGCTGATGCTTGCTTCACGCTAACAGGTCTATCACCCTAGTTCGTCGCGCTCGCTGTCCCTGACGTCGGGCAGGACCGCTGACCCACAGCGCTCGCAGACATATCCTCCGCAACTGGCTATATCTGTCTCGACATCCTCAAGACCTCCTGGTCACCGTGCGTCTCCTTCTACACTCTCTTCTAACTGTTGAACACTGACCTTAGCCGTCGCTGCAGAGTCTTCACCCTCCGAACATGCCTCGTTTCCCTGCAGTCCCTTCTCTCGACTCCCGAACCTAATGACCCGCAAGACGCAGAAGTCGTGCGTCATTGCTGTCATCTTGATCGTAGCCGCGCTCTGACCATCAGGTCACGCAGGCAAAGCACTACCTGACAGACCGGCGAGGTTTCGAATCAACGGCGCGGTACTGGACCGAGGTTCGTTTCTCACATCGATTGTCCTGCTTCCTGTGCTTACCCGTCACTATCGTACAGGTCTATGCAACCCCCGAACCCTCCTCGACGACTCACACGCCTCAACCATCAAGACCAACAAGCGCGAACTCGCAACCTGCAGAAGCGCCAGAGAAACGGGAAGCGCGGCTGGCTGGCTTGAACTGGGAAGACGTATCAGCGTGCGTCGCGCCTTCCTCATCGTATTACGTCGTTGCACAGGTCCGCGAGCCGGGTACTGATGGCTCCGGGGATTCGCGCGCACAGATTCTCCGAGATGGGTTTCCCGGCAGAGCAGGTCATCGACGTCCTCAAGCGGCTGAACTACCGTGACGGCAACAAGGATAAGGTGGGAGAAGATGCGGTGATCCAGCGGCTGGTAGGCTGAGCGGGCAGACTCGCAATCGCAGCACTCGCATATGGACTGGCGCGCAGTGAGGGGAGCGACGTGTCCAACAGGGTGCATTGCCGCCGGCGACAGAGACAAATGAGCGAAGGGAGAGCGAGAACGACCGAGGAAGGGGAAGAAAGAGGGTATACGGGCTCGTGCAGGGCGGAAGAGGCGTGACCAAGACAAGGCGGAAGGAGACAGTTCAGGCGTACCTGGCGAGGTAGTCGCCAAGCTTCATCGCGCCGTTCCTCAGCGCGTTCTGTACGTCGCTCAAGTCCTCGATGCCGGCCGCGTCCATGATCTGCCTGACGGCGTCGCGCGCAGACGACTCGAGGTTGCCAAGACCGTTGGCCGACAGGATCGACTCTTCCATCTCTTCCGTCTCGTCCTCGTCGCGGCCGAAGTATTGGCTGCGGAGAGAGTCGGTCAGCCGCACGTAGAAACTGAAGAAGCGAAGCCAGACTCGCTTGCTCGAGATGGCGGTCGCGCCCGAAAAGCCTTGCAAGCGCTGCTGCGCCTCCCTCGAGGCGTTCGCGTCGTACGAGCCGGTCTGGTGGTACATGTCGGACGAAATGCCCTTTTGGTTGCCGAAGGTTTTCCGCGCGTAGTCGGACTCTTCTGCTCGTGCACAGCGAGGTCAGCGAGTGTAGCCTGTGTCGATCCCTCGCAGCGCAACGCACCAGGCTCGACGTATCCGCTCGCAGCCCTCTCGGCGGCCTTCTTCCGTGCAGCCGCCTCCCTCGCCGCCGCCTCTCCACTCATGCCCGCAACCTGTCCGAACCCAAGCTTCCTAACGCCCATCCCAAGCCTCTCCATCTCCCCACTGTCCTTCTTCGCCTGCAACGCCGCCGCCTGAGCCTGCAACTTCGAGTTTGCCCCGTTTGCGCCGACCTTGCTCGCTGCAGCCGCAGAGGCAGCCGAAGCAGCGGCGGCCGCAGCAGCCTGCTCTTCCTCCTCCTTGCGACGGTCGTAGCCCAGTCGCTTGATGCGCTCTTCCTCCTCGCGTGCCTTGCGCTCGGCTTCCTCGAAGTTGATCGAGCCACCCTTCTTAACGCCCAACTTGCCTGCTCCGAGCTTTCCTCGTGCGGAGGAGGCGCCGACGGTAGCGGACGAAGAAGAGAGGGTCGAAGTCGAGGCGGAGGACGAAGTCGTGCGCGTTGCGCCGAGCGTCTTGGGCCGGTTGAGCGAAGCGGACGAGGTGGTGCGGAGGGACGAGGATGTGACGGTGCGAGGAGCGGAGGTCGCGGGAGGCGTGGAGAGGAGAGTACCGCCTGGCGTGGAGGGGCGCGAGCCGCCGAGACCGACAAGAGGAGGGGTCATCGCAGGAGCGGGTGAGAGAGGCTTCTTCGCTGCCGAGGGAGGCGCATCCCACGTGTCGAAGAAGTCGCCGTCACCAGCCGCCTTCGCCGCAGGTGCGGCAGCAGTATCGGCAGCACCCTCGACGACCACACGGTCCTTGCCGTACATCCGCTCGTCCTCAGCCATCTTCTTCGCGAGTTCCTCCTTGTACAGCTGCGCGCCGCGCGACAGGTACTTCTCCTTCGTGTCGGTCGAGCTGGGGTTGTACGAGCCCGGATGCCGCGAGAGGAAGTCGAGGAAAGCTGCGTTTCCGCCGCACTTCATGGCGCGCAGCTGAGGCCAGTGCCAGATGTCAAGGTTGGTCGACCTGCCGGCGCGGGGGTTCCATCGTCAGCGTCTCGTTGAGCTTGTGTAGTCCACGCGAACGCACCGGACGAAGGTGACGTGAACACCGGCGTTCCTGTGGATGCTACTGCAGTCGAGGCAGATGTAGACGCCAAACGTGACCGAGGCCTGCGAAGGCGAGTGATGAGTGTCAGCGTCTTTGCGCTCGACAGTTCCAGCTGTCTCTAAGCAACCGGGGTGACCAGCGAGACTAGTGCGAACGCGAGAGTCGGGTCAAGGGAAGTGGGAAAACTCGCAAGTCGCGCAGTCCGCGCCCACCAAGCAGCATGTGCCCCATCCGGAGCTTGTATCCGCAGTATCTCTGTATGTCCAGTACAGCCAGGGGAGCGCGAGGAGGCGTCTACTCACCCAGGTAGGGTTCTTGGCCCTGCAGTCGACACACATCTGCGGGACCGGTCAGGAGAGCGTCAGCGTACGCCGCGAGACAAGTACTGCTTCCAACACCGTCCAGCCAGCCCATCACTGCGCGTGCGAGCGAGCGAGAGGTGGCGCGTCGAGACGTGGGTGGCAGCGGGCGGCGGACGCACCTTGTTGGCCTTCTGGCTGCGCAGGACGGCAAAGATGGCATCGCGCTGCTGAGACGTCGCACTCATCGTTCCAAGCACAGCAAACAGCGGACAGCGGCGAGAGCGAGGACGTGAGAGGTGTGAGCGAACCTGTCGACCACGAACCACTCGCCTGCCACGGGCTCATACCGCTGCTGCTGCGCTTGCTGGACTACAGACTGCCGCTCAGGCTTCTCACACGCAGGTAAGTCCAACAGCCGCGCTTCCTCGTTGCGTCGTCGCCGTGTTCTCGACCCACTCGCCTCCTCGACGCCGACGACCTCTTGCACGCTTGCACGGCTGCTAGTGGGGCTGGCGAAGCGTGCCAGAGCGTGTACTGACACTCACAAATACAGCCGACCCGCTTGATCACGCTTCTCGCTCACTTTGTGAGTCCCGCCGTACCCTTTCACTCCCTTGCCCCCACCTTCGACCTCGCGCGTTCTCCCAGAAGTCTCCGACTCGATGACACGCTGACCACTTCGTTGCAGACGCATAAGGAGTCACGATGGACTGGCTCGCCGACCGCGTCGAGACGCTCGCCAAGCAGGCGCAGGACTTGACCATCTACGACGTCAAGGCCGCCGTCCGCAAGGCGCAGGCCTACGCTTTCAACTACACCGAGGCGGAGGCGAGGGTCCGAGAGGCGACCAGCGACGAGCCGTGGGGTGCGAGTTCGACGTTGATGCAGGAGATTGCCCAGGAGTGAGTCGAGGCCGAATGCTTTGCTCTCGACGTTCCTCATCCCTCATCAACTTGATTGCTCATGCGTTTACCTTCGTCATCACAGCACGTTCAACTTGTGCGTCAAGTTTTGGCTTGTGCCGCTTACTCTTCCGTCACTGACTTCCATCCTTCCTTGCCAGCCAAACCTTCAACGAGGTCATGCCGACCGTCTACTCGCGCTTCACCGAGAAGGAAGCTCGCGAATGGCGCCAGATCTACAAAGCTCTAGTGCTCCTCGAGTGCGTTCGCTCCACCTCCAGCCTCGCGGATGGAGGCTGACGATGTCCGTTGCCTTACCTCCGCTGCAGGTACCTCATCAAGAACGGCTCTGAGCGCGTCGTTGACGACGCGAGGTCGCACTTGAGTCTCATTCGCGTCTTGCGCAACTTCCACTACATCGACGAGAACGGCAAGGACCAGGGCATCAACAGTTAGTCTCGCCGCCTTCCTCGAGCCCCGCCGTATCGACTGACTTGTGTTGTTCGTCCGCAGTCCGCAACCGCGCCAAGGAGATTGGCGAGCTTCTCTCCGACCTGGACAAGGTTCGCACCGAGCGTCGCAAGGCCAAGCAGAACCGCAACAAGTACACCGGCGTCAGCAACTCGGGCATGGGCGGGCCAAGCTTCACTAGCTCGTCTGGCAGCCGGTACGGTGGCTTCGGCAGCGACTCTTTTTACGGCGGCTCGTCAGGCGGCGGGGGAGGGGGAGGAGACTGGTCTTCGGGAGGAGGCGGAGGAGGAGGAAGCGGCGGGTTCTCTGACAGCCGGGGTCAGGAGTTTGAGGAGTACGACGCCGGTGACGACGAGGACCTCGACACTCGGCGTCGCGCGACGTCGCCTTCTGCGGCTGCTGGTGCCGCCGCTTCGGCTCGCGCTGCCCGCACTTCCTCCAAGGCCGCCGCCCCTCCGCCTCCTCCCCCTCAGAAGCAGCCCGAGGTCAACCTCTTCGACTTCGACGACGATGAGGACCAAAAGCAGCCTACCCCGCCACCCAAGTTCTTCGCGACCGTTCCTGCGGTCGCTCCCGCTGCAGCTGCAGACGACGACTTTGACGATTTCCAGTCCGCTTCGGCGCCCGCACCCGCGCCTCCTGCCGCTTCATCAGCGTCCCCCTTCCCCGTCGCCGCTCCTTCCGCACCCAAGTCGCACCAAAACGTCTTTGCCCTCCTGAACCCTCAGGCGCCCTCTCGTCCCGCTCCGCAAGGCGCACCCGCCGCCTCTCCTTCCCCCGCTCTCGCCTCAGCGACTTCCGGCTCGATGCCGTTCTCGCAGCCTCTCCAGGCTCGCCCGCCAATGCAGCCAGCCATGTCCTCCTCGTCGTCGTTCTCGGCTCTCGCGCCGATGGCTTCCAAACCCACGACTCCCGCCGCCGCGCCCTCTTCAGCGTCCAGCGGCATGGCGGCAAAGAAGCCTGCAGGTGCAGCCGACTTTTCCGACATCTTCGACATGCTCGGCTCGTCGTCGTCCACTTCGGGCGGCGCCAACAAGGCTGCGAGCGGTCAGAGCTTGGCGGCAATTGCGGCGCAGAAGAGGCAGGACCAGTTGTTTGGGTCTGGAGCGGCTGCGAAGTCGAGCGGCTCGGGCGGAGCGGGAGACGGCTGGGACTCGCTTTTGTAGACTTGCGAGCCGTAGAGCGCTACTTCTTCCCACTTCTAGCATGCTGTTATGTTTCACTCTGTGCAAGCCGCCGTTCTCTCCACTCGAATGCTGCATGCGCGAGTTGCACACTCTACGGCACCTTGACCAGCGCCTCCTCCTCGAGCCATTCCATCCACTTCTTGAGGAAGTCGGAACCCTTCGAGACAGTCTCTGAATCGCCTACAACGACAAGGTGCCGTCGCGGGCGAGTCATACTAACGTTCAATCGTCGAAGTTCGCGGAGGAAGCCCACCTCGCCCTGCGAAAGGAAGCTAGGTCAGCAAGCACGCACAGCAGAAGATTCGTGAAGCTTACCTCGGCATTTGAACGGACGAGACTGACGATGACGACGTCTGCGGACGAGCCGGCGTCAATAGGGACGCAGTCGAGGACGAGAAGAAAGGGAGCGTACCGTTCTCGCGACCCTGGTTGCTGTCGACTGAACCAATCTCGATCTCAGGGTACTGAGGATGGATGAGGGAGGCGAGGAGGAGGACTTGGCTGTTGTAGGGCGAGATGATGGAGATCGAGGTGGGCGGGACATCGGCGTTGACGAGCGTCTGGACGTATTTGTGCACAACGCTGCAGACAAGAGCTGCGTGAGCAAGCAATCACGAGGAGGACCTGGCGCTGGACGTACTCTGCCTCGTTCTCGTTGCTCTTTGACTCGGATCCGAAACTGCCGTCTTCCGCTGCCCGCTCGTACATGGCTTGACCAGCGGCTACAGGTGAGGCAAGCGAGTCAGTCCATGTCAATTCTCGAGCGTGAAGCCAGACGCACTGTCGAAGAAGACGACGGGCTCGTCAAGGTCTTCGTCCGCCTCGACGCCTTCCAGGTCGCTCAGCTTGCGGTCCTTGACCGAGTCATCGGGTACGAGCTCGCCGTCGTACAGCATCCCACTCGGGAAGCTGTTGATCTTCTCATTGAAGCGGTACTGGACCTTGAGCATGCGGCGGATTGAGGGTCCGTGAAGGGCGAGAAGGCGAGAGAAAAGCGTGACCTCGAGGTCGGGCGATAGCGTCAGCTTGCCGGGCTGGCTGGGATGGGCTGCATCTTCCTTCGAGGCTGTCTTGCTGGACTTGCCGCCGAGGGACTTGGTGAGCCGGTCGGACGACTTGAGCGTTGGCGGGAGTTGCAGGTGATCGCCAGCCTGCGTGGATGGTTGTAATGATCAGCATACGCGAGCTCCGAGTGACGCTGTGGCTTACCAAGATCAGCTTCTTGCCCTTGAGAATGGGGATCCAGCACGCAGGCTCAGTCGCCTGCGCCGCTGTACGCTCACAGCGAGGTCAGCGCTACCGCCACGATAAGTTGCGCACACAGGCTCTACCTTCGTCGATAATGACAACGTCAAACTCGAAGCGATCAAGCGAACGCCCTCCAGCGCTGCGAGTCGATCACAAGTCAGCTAGGAAGGCTTGCGCAGGTTCGGCAGCGGAACGCACCCATGAGTCGTCGCCAACACGACTTTGGCCTTCGACACGACCTCCGAGACGATGCCTCCTTGCCGCTTCCTGAACTCCTTCCGCAACTCCCGCACTTCCTCCCACATCTTCTTTCGCTCCGACCCTCTGATACGGTTCTTCCCCGAGCCGTTTCTCAGCGTGTTCTCCAGCTCTTCAATCTCCTTCTTGATGTCTTCGACGAGGGCACTCGAGTCGGTCGAGGAAGACTGCGCATCGAGAGTATGTCGTGTGAGACCGGAAAGGACACGAGCGGGGTGGCCCACGCGAGTGAGCGGGATCGGCTGGGAGAAGTTGGGGTGAGGAACGGAGAGGCGAGCGAGGATGTTGTCGACGGGGAGGTTGGATGCGCCGCAGACGAGCACGCGCTTGTCCGCCCTGACGCATTGCCGGATGATCTCAACGAGCGTCTCCGTCTTGCCTGGCAGCAAGAGTCAGCGAGTGTCGACGGAAGAAACTTAGTGGCAACGCACCTGTGCCGGGCGGGCCCCAGATGAGGGCGACCTCGTTACTCGAAAGGGCGAAGTCGATGGCCTTTTTCTGCGACGCGTTCAAGTTCTCGTTGATGAAGTCGAGTGGCTCGTCCGGCGAGCGTTGAGACACAGTCGGCTTCTGCTGACCGAGCAGAACGGAAAGGAGAGGCGAAAGCGGTTCTGCTGCTTCGAGTTTGCGAAGGGCTCGGTTCAGGAAGAAGCACTGGCGGACGAAGGTTGTCGGATTGGCGACCTTGATGCTGCGGTGAGGATGTCGTTAGGGCAGGAGAAGATTGAAGCAGGGTCTCACATACATCTGTATCCGCTCAGGCAGCACGAAATCGTCCGATGGCTCATCGACGGCTAGAACGATCTTGTTGGCCGTGGTGCGGTAGACAACGGCGTCCAGACCTTCATCATCCTTCTGCTTGCCCTTCTCCTCCTTCGACGAACCTTTCGCGGCCTTGCGAGCCCCTCCCCCGCTCGCTCCTTGCGGGCGTAAGCGAGCGAGGTCGCCAGGACGGAAGTCATGAGGCGGGAAGTCCGGCGAGGAATGGTACGCAGCCGGCCTCGTCAGCTCGACGAGCAGTCGTCCGCCAAGTCCAATCGATGTCTGGCCTGACAAGTTGCCGAGCGCGAGACCAGATCGCTCGAGAAGCGAGACCGGGGCATTGGTGAAGAGGAGAGACGACTCCTTCTCTTCGGCCGCTTGCTCTGCCTTGGTGAGCTCAATCAGGCGCTTCAAGAACTCTTCAGGCGGTGCGGCGGCCATTGGAGCGGGATGTGGCAGCGCACAGGTGAGGAGAAGGAGCGAGAGAGGCGGTGTGGACTGTCTGCCTTCTGGCTACCCCTCTTGACCGTCTGGCAGGATGTTGGACATCGGAAGGGAGTCTTACACACGCTCACAGCGTACACGAGTCTCCTCAGCTGTCCCCGTGGGTTGACGACGCTCCCTGATCCTCATCAGTTGCGGCGAAAGAGGGGGGGAGATGTCGACGAGTACTGCTTCTCGCGAATGTATGGACGCGTAGAGCCGTTGAGTAAGCCTCTGAGTACGAGCGAAGCCAGCCCACTAGGCATCAGGGATCCGTCCTAGTCGCATAGACTCGTCTACAGCTCCTTCCCTCGCTTGTCCCCTCCTCCTTCCCGCCTTCCTCGCCCAGGACCCGTATACGCGACCAGTAGCTCCCTCAGTACCCACGTCTGTATCACCAGGAAGACGATTCCTGCCAGCCAGACCTCCCGGTAGACTGGTTCGCCGAGCATCTCGAGCCGGTACGCTTGCGAGAGCCAGATTGCCTGTCGCGCGAGGATCAGTATGGGTGAGAGCGCTCACACAAAAGAACGCGGCGTACCTGTCCTGCGACCCAGAGCGCCGCTGCTAGAATCGTCCGCGGGAGAGAAAGCGAAAGGCGAGGGAGCGCTGGCGGCAGGAGCCAAAGGAACCAGAGGAAGTACTGCGGAACGCGTCTATGTATCAGCATGCGTGCAGTCAAGCTATGACGGCTTACGCACCTGCGAGGTGCAGACTTTGTTGAATGCGACAAAGGCGAACGTCTGGACCAGCAAGGCATACGGCAGGTCTTGCGCACCAAAGAGGAAGCCGAGACCGAGGGAGAGGATGAGTTGAGGCAGGAAGGCGGCAAGCGGGTGGCGTGCGAGGAGTTGCAGCGGCGAAGAGGTGGACTGGGGCGAGGGAGAGAGGGAAAGGTAGTAAGGGTAGAAGTAGGGGGAGAAGTTGTGTCGGTGGTCGAGGCGAGAGAGGTGGTACAGGAACGTTTCTTGTAGGAATGGCTCGCCAAAGCTGCGTGGGAAGCGCGAGTGAGCGCGGTATGAGCAGCACAAGCGGGACCCGTGGACGCACAGGACAAAGCAAGCGGCGTTCAGCAGCATGAAGCAGGTGAAGCTCAGGACGCCGAAGCGTACGAGGCGTGTCATGGCGACCTTTTTGTCGCCTGTCGACGAGTACAGCGCCGCGACGAGGCTCGAGCCGTACATGAACGGGAAGATCTTGACATGCACGGCTGCTCCAAACACCGCCGCAGCCGCATCCCACCGTCCCTCGTTCGCCAGCGACAATACGGCGACGACGAGGGCGCCAACGATCGACTCGCTGCTCCCCCTCGTTGAGATGTTGGCAATCATCGGGTTCAGCAGCCATATCGCCGCGACCGCCCTCCCGGCGTACTTCTGGCTCGCGCCCCGCCTCCGCATTAAGTTGTACAGCATCACGCCGACGAGGAGGTCACAGAGCGCAAAGAGGACCTTGCCGAAGGCGGGATGGACGAGCGAGTTGGGCGCAAGTGCGAAGGCGAGGAGCGGGGTGTACCGGTATGTCGCCCGCGCGTAAGGATTCCCAAGCCATTCTGGCGCCCATACACCCTTTGCCCTCCCGCAGTGTTGCCGTGCTAGGTCGACTAGACATGCCGCCGCGTCCGAGAAGACGAAGTAGTCGACGTCGGTGTATCGCACGGCGCTGTGCACGTCTTGATATGATCCCCAGAGCAGTAGAGCGACTCGTAGGGCCACAGCGAGGCCCTCAGCGCGAAGCAGCCGCATGTAGAGGGTTCTGGTCGCCGGAAGACCTTCCTCTGGCGAGAACAACACCGCTAGACTCTGCTGTGACCGCTTGCCTGGCCTGCTGACCGCTGCTGTGACCTTTTTAGTCGCTCCTCATACGTCCGCCAGTTCTACCCTTGCTCGCCTCCTTCTCACCGACCTCCCTCCGCCTCCCCCGCTTCGGATCAGGCAAACGACGGAAGCACAGCTCACAGGACAGCGGGCGCAGCAGGGACACCGGGAGGAATCCGCGCAGACATGGCGAAGCAGGTCAGCATCGCCTACGAGGCGTTGCCGACGGGAAAGGACTACGAGGCCATCCGGGCGGACGTTGAGCGGCAGATTCCCCTGCGCAACTTGCATTGGGTGCGCAGCTCGTCGGCGAACAGAACCATCAGGACAATTCAGACGCTCCCGCTCGACGTGCGACCGCTCAGCTCGTTCGGCGGCGCGACAGAACTCCTCGAACGGCCGTACTTGAACCTGCTATTCGTTGTGTGCGATGTGCGTCTATCCTTTCGGCCTCGAGCTCAAGTCAGCGGACTAACAATGCTTCCCCAGGACAACGAGGCGTACCGGGCGACCGTCCGCACCCAGATTCGCGAATGGCTCGACTCGGTTACGGCCAAGTACCACCAGGAATGGCTCATCGTCCACGTCACGTCGGGCAAAGGCAGTGGCGCCAAGTTTTACCAGCGCAAAAGCGCCATCGTCGACAAAATCAAGGCCGACTTCAACGTTGGCAAAAAGGACCGGCACGTCCTGCTTCGCCCGCTCCTTCGCAGTGTCCTCGCTGACCCTTTATCCGCTCTCCCAGCTGCATACAAGTCGTGCAGGGCTCCTCAGCGGACGATCCTACGGCATGGGCCGAGTTCCTCTCCAAGGTCAAGGAGGGGCTGATCGCAACTTTCGACTCGAACGTCGCGCTCTACGAGGAGAGCGTTCGCAAAGCCGACAGTCAGCGGCAGCTGAGCGGATGGCAGTTCCTGCCCTTCTTCCGCCAAAAGGTGCGCCGATTCCCCTTGAATCCGTCGGCGTCTGGGCTGACAACGGATCCTCTGCTCAGGAAGCGCTTGCGGACTCGTTCGAAGCGATGACGCTGTACGAAGACGCGCTCATCCAGTACGACGAGCTCGAAGCATCATTCTTCCAGGTCTCGAAAGGTCCGTAGCCACGTCGTCCAGCTTTGCGACGGGAACTGAATTCGCTCCTTCGGCAGAACACGCACAAGCGCCTTGGTTCCGCAATCTCGGCGGCGTCTCTCCCGGAGACGATGCACTTCCGCTTCTCTCGACGACCAACAAGCCCTACCGCAAGCTCATCGAGACGGACGCCATCACGATCTTCGACTTTCGGATATACCTCTTCGCGAGACAGGCTGTCATGCTGTTCAACCTTGGCAGGGTCGTCGAGGTTGCGCGAAGAGGAGCGTACTTCGTCAGCACCTTTGCGCGCAAGCTGCGGGAACATCAGGTTAGTCGTCTGCACCTTTGGCCGCACGTTGGGCGACTGACGCCTTCTCCACACAGTCTACGCTCGGCCCGAGCTTCGTCGAAGCCTGGACGTATTCGGCTTGCCTCAACATCGTCTCGGAGTGCGGGCGGCGGATCGACCAGGACCTGTCGGACCCGGCGGCAACGGGCTTCGTGGCTGTCAAGGCGGAGTTGCTGGAGCTCGCGAAGAAGCAGGTGCGCGCTGCTTTCTGGTCTCGCCATGAGTGAGTTGACGCGACTGACAAGAGAGAATGGTGCAGCTCGACAAGCTCGGCATGGGCGCCGGACACCTTCCCTCGACTCACCCCTTCTCGATGAGCTTCAACGAGTCGTCCGCGTCGACTGTCAGCGGCAGCTCCGCCTCGTCGCCCACATCTACTACGCCTCCGAACCGCCAGCCCGTTACTCGGAAAGACCTGCTCGACGCGATGGACAAGCGAGAAGCGTTTGACAAGCTCTACGTCGAGCTCACCCAGAGGTCACTGCAAGCGTACCAGGCGAGCGGGAGGAAGAGGTGTGCTGCGAAGCTTAATGCGTGTCTTGCGGCACTCGAGCAGTACGTCCATTCGCTTGACATGGTCGTTCTTGGCTGACAAAGACTCCATATCAGATGCCGCGGACGGCTTCCGACCGCTCAAAAGCTCTTCTCACAACTTCCGACGACCTACACCGACTTGCGCTGGACCGCCATCGAGTCTTATCTCTTGTCGCAGTGCACGTCGCTGCAAGAGTCGCTCGATATGTCCAAGGACCGCCTCCTCTCGACTCTCGCGCTCGTCCGGTCGGGCGTGACCGTTGGAAGCAAGGAGTGGGGACTGGAGCCTGTCCTGGATCATGTCGTCGACTGGAAGCGGCAGAACGCCGAGCTGGCGAAAAAGCTGATGGACGACGTATACCAGCTTTCGGCGACGCTGAGCAAGGGTGCGCTAGTCTCGTCACGTGCCCGACATGCAGCGGCTGACGAGGTTCGCTGCGCAGACTTCGCCGCCGTCGCCTTTCCGACTTTCCTGATTTGCTTGAAGGAGGGCAGCGGCGGCCGACCAGTTGACGAGGACGGCGTCACGGCTACGGTACTCGTCCGCAACATCCTGCCTTGCGTGCGTCGTCAGCTTCCGATCCCACTGGCCAAGCTGACCCTTTCCTGAACAGGACGTGCGCGTCGACGAGGTTCGCCTCAAGCTGGCGACCATGCAGGGAGAGCAAGTTTGGCTTACGGCCGGCGCCTGCACGCTCGCGCCTGGCGAGACGCCCGTGACCGTCTTCTGCCCCGTCAGTCGCAACACGTAATTCCTCACTTTCCTTCTGCTCACAACATCTTTCGCAGACCTCCGTCACCGGCCGCCTCACGCTCGAGCTTTCGCAACTCCGCTTCTCCCGCATCATCTTCCAGTACTCTCATCGGCCAGTCTCGACCCGTAACCTCGCGCCTGATCCTCGACAGGTACCGGTGACCGACAAACAGCCCGCCATCTTCCTTCCACCCGACCAGCAGGCGGTCCATATCTCCGTGGAGGAACCGCATTCCGGTGCGTTTAAGTACGCCACCCGTCGAGAGGGTGTAGCTGATGAGCGCTCTCCGCAGTCCACCTCGACCGGGAGCGAAGAATGATCCTCAACGTCGACCCCGGCCGCAACACCGTCTCGAAGATTGCCGTCCGCCTCGCCGTCGTCGGTCAAGACGTGCATTTCGCCACGACGACCGCGGAAGGTCTCGACGGCAGTCCGTCAGCCATCCTTCTTTTTCGTCACGTAAAGCTGACTGCCCAGCTTGCAGTCGCGTTTACCGCAGACGCACACGACGCCCTCGTCCTGCAGGACCTCTCACCCTACACATCCGTTCGAGTCGCTATCCCTTTAACCGGTAATATCGTCGACCCGAACGTACAGGTACGCCTTCCGCTCGGTCGCTTTCAAGCTCGGTCGCCCGCTCACTACCACCGGCGCAGTTCTCGATCACAGCGGAGTATACGATCTCGCGAAGACCGCACACGCGCCGAAGCTTACGACGAACGATGACCTACTCGGTCGCACTCCCGCTCGCCGTCAACGTCCAGGACTACTTCCGCGAGGACTGGTACGGGCATCGCAACCCACGCCATAAGCAGTGGTCGCTGACGAACCACTTCGACGCAGCTTGCTGTCGAAGTTCTCGGTCACGACGGACGGCGTGCACGGCCTCAAGGTCAAGTTGGCGACCATTTCTCCGCCGCCTTCCGTCGAAGTCAAGCCATGTCGCCCGAAGAGCGATGTGCCCGTGGTCAGTTTGTCCGCTCACCGCCGCGCCGTCGACATCGCTGACACCCAACTCGTCGCGCAGATCATCTCGCCACTTCAAACGGCAAACTTCCTCTTCAAGCTGCATTGTGACCGACCTACAGAGGTGCAAGGTGCGCTCAACGTCGCTTCATCACGCTCTTCAAGCTAACTCGCCATTCGCACCAGATCCTCTTCGACTTGTCCTGACCTATGCCTCAATCGAAGAGCGTGCGTTCTCCACTCGACGATTGAGTTCGTGGTGACGCTGACTCGAGGTCGCTCAACAGGCTTGCGCTCCAGAGTGAAGGCAGCCGTCGCCCGTGGCCTTGACGGTGCCAGCCTGCGCGAACACCGCCGATGGATCGTCGAAGCCTTCGTATCCGAAGCTCTCGCCTCCACCGACCTCGAGCGGTACTGCTCGTCCGAGTCGCTCGACCACTTGGTATACGAGGAGGCGACTTGGAAGAAGCGCCTCGACCTCTGCATGGTCCCGTCGTCCGCTTGCGAATCGGTCCTCTCGGCAGTGCAGGCGATTCACGACGACGTACGAAGTGGCAAAGTGGTCGAGGACGTGTGGCGGACGTTGGAGATTCCCTTGGACCTGCCGGCTCTCAACGTGCGTCTCTTCCGAACCTCGCGCCCTCAATCCTCGCTAACTCTAATGTGCAACAGGTCCTCAACCTGGTTGAGATCACCCCCGCCCTCTCGCGTACCGAAGTCGGCCAGCTCGTCCCCGCAACCCTCACCATCCGCCCTTCCTTCCGCTGGTCCCGCACACTCGCGTCGACCGCCGCACCAATCCGCCTCGCCTACTCCGTCGTTGCCAACTCGAGCGAGTGGATTATCAGCGGCCGCGCCAAGGGCGAGTGGGTCGCGCAGGACGGTGAAGAGGTCGTTGTCCAGCTCGGGCTTGTCCCGCTTCGCGCGGCAGCTATCTTCCTTCCCTCCGTCGTCGTCCAGCCAGTCCAGGATGGCTCGCGGTCGCACGAGCTCGTCAGCTGCGAGACGCAGCACGTCACGGCTGCTACGGCGGTCGAGGTCTTGCCCATCACGCACAGGACGACGTTCGAGATCGCTGTTCCTCTCGCCGCGTAGAACTCTTTCTCCTCACGTTTGCATGTTGCCATACTAGCCAGTTCTCTTTCTCTCTCCAACTCGTGCGCGAGGCGAAAGCAACGTGTTTCACAGCTCGCCAACCTTCTTGACCCCTCGCAAGACGTCCGTCCTGTCGTTCCGCTCCCAGAACGACAGCAGCGTTTCTGCGGTTCGCTCGGGCGCGTCCTCGTGCACGCAGTGTCCGACGTCGGGGTAGACTTCGAGCTGGTACTTGCCTGTGCTGGCGAAAGCGTTAGCTCAGGAGGGAGAAGGGACAGAGTAATGCGCACCTTGCATCTGCCCGATGAGGAGGTCTTTGTCGAGCCTGTCTGTGCCGGCAAGGAGGAGGAGCTTGGCAGCGCGGCAGGAGAGGAACTTGTTGCTCAAACCGGTGAACCAGCCTGCGCGTTGCGAGAAGCTTGGCATCACTCTCTATGTTGACCGAGATGACCGAAAGGAGCCGCTGCGACGCACCTCGCCAGTAAGGCTCCGTCTTCTCCAGCTCAACCCGCCACGTGAACGGACCTTTCGCCTCTTCTCCCTCGGTAGCCGGCTGCGCGGGCTTGATCAACGGCGGGACCGATATCCGCGCCGAATGGAGGTTGTTGATCGTTCGCGAGTTAACGCTGTGCGCGCGGTCGTAAGCGGAGAGAAGGGAGAGCGGAAGGGTAGGAAAAGGACGAACTGCCAGGCTATCGCGTCTTCTTGCGAGTCGAACGACTTGGGATGGCTCGCTATCAGCGTCGCCATGTTTGGCAGCGCTTCGATGGCGGTTCCTGCGGGAGGGCGTTAGCGTCTTGGGAGGCGATGGAACGAATGGGAAGTCGCACCTTCGACAACGTCGACTACCGCTACGCCTGTCACGTCCGCCACGTATTGCTGTATCCGATCACAAGCGTCGGCGACGACTGCACCGCCCTGTGTACCCAGTACGAAGACACACAGCGAGTCAGTCCCGCCGTTCTGCTAAACGGACGAGCAAAAGAGTCCGCCCAGCGCACCATGCTATGCCCAACGAGCATCAACGAGGGCGCCTCTTCTCTCCGCGGATAGACAGCCTTGAGAAGTGCGACGAGGTCTGCCGAGAGGTTCGAGAGTGACATGTCGACTGTTTCTGGCTCAGAAGCGGTCGAAGTCGAGGAGGTTAACCGAGTCTTTCCTGCTCTCCGCGGGTCCAGGGCTCGTCAACGCCTCGAAAGACTCGTCGAGGACAGGAAGGAGACGCACCATGCCCCCTCGCATCATACGCAAGCACTCCAACCCTCGCCCTCCCTTCTCCCGGCCCATCTTCCTCCCTCGCCAGCTGGACCAACCCCCTCGCCAACTCCGCAAACGAGAGCCCGCTGTAGCCTGCTCCGTGTACGCAGACAAAGACGACTCCTCGTCCATCGTCGTCGCTTGCGCTCTGACGGCTAGGAGGAGGAGGGGGAGTGTAGTAGACTCGAAAGCTGGCCACTTCCTCGGTCGGCGCGGGAGAAGGAGTCGAGCTGGAGGGACGGGCCCAGACGTTGTGCACGCGCACGTCGACCTCGAGAGCCTGCTCGAAGCAGCCCTCGGCACTGAGTGGGGCGTATTGCGCTGCGGCAGCAGGAGACGAGGCGAGCGCTCCTACGCGGCGGGTACTGCACAATCCTGACGAATCAGCATCTACGACGCGCGCAGAGGAACGGGCGAACGCACCGAGGACGTGGACGAGCAGGTTCAGAGGGGAACGAGTCCCGCTCTTCGGCTGCCTCGACATCGAGTTCCTCTACTTCTTCCGAGTCGAGCGTGGAGGGGCTGAGTGCTGGGAGGTGTGGGAGACGAGCGATGCGCGATTTGAGCAGGTCGCGGTGCATTGTGCGAGCGGAGAGTGAAGCGGCGGAGGGAGAGGAGCGAAGGATCCGCCTCGAGGACTGAAAGCCACTTCTTTTGAACAAAAAGTCTCGTTGACAGCGACGAGAGCAGCGCAAACAATCTCTCACAGGCGAACGCGGCGCACGAGAAGAACGTATTGAACAACGAAAGCCGCATTGCAACTCTCGTCCCCTTGACCAGGCTCCAGAACCTGTCGATCCACCCGCCTAAGCGCGTTTACTGCACACACGACAAGACAAACCAGCATCAGTGCCGAGTCACTGTTGCCGAGCGAAGGGAAGGGAAGGGCGAACGCACCTCGGAGGGGATCTCGACGTCGCCCGAGTCGATCGCCTCGATAACGTCGTGAGGGGGGCGTCCGTCGACGGTGCAGCCGACCGACTGGGCGGTACCGAGGATCTCCTTGACGCCGTTCGCGAGGTTGGCAGAGAGGGTCTTCTTGGCCTCGCGCATGGTGCGCGCGATCTCGATGATCCTGTGTCACCGCAACGCGGTCAGTTTCCGGGTGCAAAGATGTCGCAGGGACGGGAAGACGCACGTGTCAAGCTCGACGTTGCCGGTGTGCTTGATGTTCTTCTCCTTCTTGCGGTCACGAGGGGGCTCTGCGGACGAACACCACGATTCATCAACATCCCTTCTCCCTTCCGTTTCCTCCCAACGCGGTGGTACTCACCCTTGAGAGCACGGATGACGAGCGACGAAGCAGAGGGGACGACCGAGACGGCGGCTTGACGGTTCTGGATGGTGAGCTGGACCGTGACGCGGAGGCCCTTCCAGTCGCCGGTGGCCTTGGCGATGTCCTCACCGACCTTCTTGGGCGACTGCGAGTGTGCAAAAGGGGGTCAGTGGGCTCCGTTTGACGGGTCGAGGAGAGTTGGTGGAGATGGTCGTTGTCCGAGCCGTCTGCTCCGCGTAGCCCTTCCCGCACGAGCCTGATCTCCCTCGTCGTTTCCTGAACCACCTATCTCGCCCGCACTGATCCCGCACCACCGCCACCGCACCCTCAGCACCGCGCCCGCACCTCCAGCTCGTCCTCGCGCATCCATCCACCTCCTCCCAACCCTCTTCCCTCTCCGCACCCGATTGCTCCAGTGTCGCAAACCCATTCCATCAAGACTCACAAGACCGAGGGGACCGATCTTGGGGGCAAGAGCCGACGAGGCCTGTTACACAACCGGGTCAGCTCTTCAGTTCAGCTCTTCAGTTCCAGAGGGAGGGAGGGAAAGGGGGACGCACTCCGACCTCACCACCGGTAGCCCGGAGGTAGATGATCTGTTATGTGCGAGCAAAGGCAGTTCAGGGTGTCAGTATCGCGAGCGAGAGGGGGTCCTGAAGGCGAGGTCGAGAGCAGGTTCCCTCGACGCCCTGCCATCCCAGCCAACCGCCGTTTGCGCCGCAAAGGAGGTCAAACGCACCTTGATCTCCGTAGGGTCGACCTTGGGCGCCATGCTGTCCTGTTCGAGTGTCGAGCGAGTGCGCGGGCAAAGTTGGCGAGCAAAGGGGGTTGGCACGGGACACAGAGTCGCGCGGCGGGTCGGGTCAAGTCGGTGTGCGGGTAGAGCGAGTCGGATGCGTCGATAGAGGTGGTCGGCGAGCGGTCAGAGTCGCGTGGAGGGGAGGTTGTGAGTGCGTCGAGGTTTGCGATGCGAGGTGGGCGGGGAGAGGTCGTGGTGGGACGGGAGTTTGACGTGCGAGTGTCAGCTGTGTCTGTACTGTTTGATGGGCGTGTGTGTGAGCAGCGCTAGACGCACCTGGTGGTGTGCGAGGTGCAGGGGCAGTCTCCAACCTGGGAGTCCAAGCACCTCGAGGCCCGTCGTCCGTCCCTTCACCGGCTCGCGCTCACCACAGCTCTGGGTGGCTCGTAGTGTGCTCCTATGCTCTCACAGTACTCTGTTTGGCCAGTCTGCCAGCTACGAACGGCCGCCGCGCCCTCGCCATCGAGCTTGTCCTCGACCTCGCCGCCCACATCTCGCTCGCCTGGCGCTGTTCGCGCTCGAGCTGGAAGGCTGTGGCTTGCGTGCTTGGAGAACAGAAGGGATACAGATCGCGCTCGACGGCCGGGAAGCCTGAATGAAGCAGACTCGCTGTTCTATGCCCGCTGTCCTCCCGCGAACCCCTCGACACTCGCTTCGCCCTGTCCTTCGCTTTGAGGAGGTCCTCTGGATCGTGTCAACCTGCTCTCATAGTCATTGAGCTACGCTTACTCAACCTGCGCGCTGCTGAACTTCAGAGCCACCTGGAACGACCATCGCGCTTCCGGGGACACTTTACATCCGCGTCTCTGCCTCGCCAGCTTTCTGTGCTCGTCCCTCACGACCATAGTGTTCCGCTAAGCGTGAAGCGCCTTATTGAGTCAGCTCAGCGAGAAAGGCGGCAAGATTAACGCTCGGCAGCGGAGCAAGGCCACAATGAGACTGAGAAGGCGAAGCGTATTCCGTTTTGGCGGCTGAGTCGACCAATCGGGGAGAGAGAAGGGTGGATCACCAGTTGGTGAGCGGTGAGCGGCTTTAGCAGTTGTACGTTGTGGCCAGCGCGAGACGCAGCAATTCAACAGACGAAGGAGGACTCTCGAGGTCCCGGGCGAGGAAGAACCGCCCGCCCGCCTCGATCACCACAGCCAAGGCATCGTGCATCGTCGCAGAGCAATACGGCCAGCCAATGCGCCCGATTGTAGGCTGTAGGGCGTAACGGTGAGGTTACTTAGCGAGCAGTAACTGAGGGGGCGATATCGCGGCGAGGACAGCCGGTGCGATTTCGCAAGGTAGCCCGGCCTTCTCCTTAGCACTGCCGCATCCGCCTGCCGTCCATCCAAGAGCGTTCCAAGCGAGTGAAGGCCGTTGTTCGAGGTGCGAGTTGCGAGGGCTGTAGGCGACGTCGGAGGGCCGCGCGAGTTGCGGTTCGAGCGTGGCGGTGGTGCGCGCGTCCCAGGCAGTCTATCAGAGTAGCCAGACAGCCCTCCAGCCTGCGCGAGCGAGCTGTTTGAGGGAGAGAGCGGGACCGTGTGTCGTCGGCGCGGGCAAAGTTCGCCCTGCGGCTCCTGCTCGACTCGCTCTCCTCCTTCTCCCTCTCGCCCAGCCACCGCCAGCCGTGCGTACTGCTCTCGCTCACACCACCACCACACTCACGAGTCAGCGCTGACCCTCGCTCGTCCAACTCCCGCCCCGATCCGACCCCTCGACGACCCTCCAACACCCACTCCCCCTCGACTACCCTCGACTCGCCCTCACACGCTCCCTGGACGCACGGTTCGACTGGCAAAGATGTCTGAGAGCCTCGTCTACAAGGGAGCGTGAGTCGCACAACCCCCCATCGAGCCGACATCGACTCGTCGACCCGCCCTCTTGTCGACCTCTCGCGTGTCGGTTGCTGACCCCCTCTCTCTCTCGGTGAATTGCGCGGGAATCCAGCTTGGTCGGCCACAAGCAAGTCGCTCTTTCCCTCCATCCTCTTCCGCTGAACCCGAGCTAACCGTGTCCCCTCACCTCCGCCCTCGACCTCGCTTTTCTTCCCTCCCTCGTCTCTCTCCCTCCTACCTCTCACTTCTCACACCTCCTCGACTCGCCATTGATCGGATATAGGGGCGATGTCACCGCCATCGCCACCTCGTCCGAGAACCCGGACATGATCTTGACCGCCTCGCGCGACAAGACCATCATCATGTGGTCCCTCACCCGTGACGAGGTGCCTTTGCCTTTCCTTGCACTCGGTCTGCGGTGTTGCTGGGAGGGAAGTTGAGCGCGTGGAGGCGGCGGAGTGCGATCGGGACGTGTGGGAGTTGGCGCGAAGGAACGGGCTCTGCTGCCCGGTGTGGGTGCGGCAGCGGTAGCTGGGCGGACACGAGGAGCCACCTAGGACACGAGCGCAGGAACGGCATGCTGACGAGTTCTTGTACGGTCCCCGGCAGTCGTCGTTCGGCTACCCCAAGCGCATCCTCCACGGTCACAACGGCTTCGTCTCGGACGTCGTCATCTCGTCCGACGGCCAGTTCGCCCTCTCGTCGTCGTGGGACAAGACCCTCCGTCTCTGGGACCTCAACACGGGTCTGACGACGCGCCGCTTTGTCGGCCACACCTCGGACGTGCTCTCGGTCTCGTTCTCCGCCGACAACCGCCAGATCGTCTCGGGCTCGCGCGACCGCACCATCAAGCTCTGGAACACCCTCGGAGAGTGCAAGTTCAACATCACCGAGGACGGTCACTCCGAGTGGGTCTCGTGCGTCCGCTTCTCGCCCAACCCCATGAACCCCGTCATCGTCTCGGCTGGATGGGACAAGGTCGTCAAGGTGCGCATCCCGATTCCTTTCTATCTCTCTCAGCGTGCGTGCGCGCGTGCGTGCGCCAAGCGCGAACGGTCGTCCGAGCGCCTCGAGCCTCGACGACGACGACCGCGACAGTACGCGCGCGGATCCAGCGTCGAAAGACATGATGATCCCTTTACTTGCGTAAATATTTGCTACTTCAGAGGAACTATCTACTCCTATGAGAACATCCATTTTATCCACCAAGATCGCTGATCCCCTTTCAGACGTTGGATCCTGCGCCGCACCCGAGTTGGGCATGGCACACGCACACGCACACGCACGCACGCTGACACACGAGACGACGACGAACGAGACGCTGACTCCCCGTTCGTTTTGGGTCCGCTCGTGCCACGCAGGTCTGGGAGCTCTCCAAGTGCAAGCTCCGCACGAACCACTTTGGCCACACCGGCTACATCTCGACCGTCACCGTCTCTCCCGACGGTTCGCTCTGCGCTTCGGGCGGCAAGGACGGCATCACGATGCTTTGGGACCTCAACGAGGGCAAGCACCTCTACTCGCTCGAGGCCGGAGACGAGATCCACGCCCTCGTCTTCTCCCCTAACCGCTACTGGCTCTGCGCGGCGACTGGATCGGGTGTCAAGATCTTTGACTTGGAGTCGAAGTGAGTTTTCCGCCGCCTTCCCTTCCTCGTCCTTTCTTCCTACTGCACGCGACGGGTTATAGCACCTCTACGAACACTACTGACGCACTCGTACTCCGCGCGCGCAGGTCGGTCGTCGACGAGATCCGCCCCGAGGTCACCCCTACCAAGGACGGCGCCCTCCCCGTCGCTACCTCGCTCGCCTGGTCGCCTGATGGCTCGAACCTTTTCGCGGGGTACACGGACTCGCAGGTCCGCGTGTTCGGAGTGTCGTCTTTCTCTTCCTGAAGAAGAAGAGGACGTGTGGAACGAGGAACTTGACATGGCTCGAATGTTGGGCTGTGGCGGAGAGAGAGAGGAGAGCGAGCCCGCTGCGGGGCTGCGGGGTCTCGCTGCGGCTTGCTACGGCTCGTACAGATGCTCACTGGCGGCTTGAGAGAACGGCAGCGAGCGGTAGAAGGCTTCATGACCGGAACGAGGAAGCGACGGGACGAGGAGGCGGGTT